GACCACTCAGCTTGATCACTGTCTTATGTGCATTATGTTCTCTCGGGGTTGGAATGTTTAAATTTCCTGGTAAAGGAACCCACGTCACGGCTCTCTCCACCCTTTGCGGTTTCCACTTGTGAGAACCCATTGCACACCAATTTTGCTGTTGGGCATTTTGGCACAGCAAGTACCCTCTAGCCCACTCTGTGTAAGCAGGCCTCCTCCATTCCAGTGTGAATTCCAAGTAGGAGCTAATGGCAAGAGACTCTGCATCCTCCTGCTCTGGCCATGCCAGTGATACACAGAAGAGCAGGAAGTGGTGGGAGGGCACCAGAATAAGAGCAGGGCCACCATATAGATCTAGGCCATTGTTACAGCTCTAAAATTAGAGACATAATCATAATAGAACCCTCCTATTCTAACTTCGTTTGAGTTCTTCTATAAGGACTGCAGATGCTTTCACCCCACAAACTGGTGCTTGCACAAATCTTGAGGAGCTGTACTTATCTGCATTGCCTGCCAGCCATGACAACACATGTGGCTGGGAAGGGTTTTGTGTTGTGGCCAGACAACACTGCAGCTCATCTGTCCCTCCCCTTTTCTCCTTCTCTCTTTGCCTCTCCTCCTCTCCTCCCAATCTCAGTCCCACCGGGGCTTTTCTTTCAAGGTCTGCCACCAAATTTTCTACTTCTCTCCTGTCAGGCATTCTGCTTGTGAATTGCCAGAGTTCTCTTTTCTTCTGAGTGTTCACTTCTTTCTTCTCCTTTTCTCTAGTCTTTCCTCTTTTGTTTCCCATTAAATCCTTTTTTGTTTGTCTCACTCCCCCCCCCCCCCCCCCAGTTTTCATCTTGTGCAGCTTTTGCCTCCAAGTTCCTGTAATTGCAATTTGTTTGGATGGTGTGTGTGATTTCCTTTTGCTTTGACAGTTGTCTTTTGGACAAATGTTGATGCAGCTTGTGCTTTCAGGTAAAAAGTACAATACCTCATGAGAAAGAAAGTTTTATATCCTATAAAAACACAGAAGTGTAAATTGATTTGAATATTTTCAAACTATGATTGCTTGAAATAACTTGTTTTCCATAAACTTCACAAGTTATTGTGAAGGAATATTGACAGAGGGAAAAAATTATTTTAGAAGTCAGGTTTTCTGCAGTATCCCATATTCCCATCTGCTTTCAAAATGACTTTGGAATGGTCTGTTAATCTAAGAGCAAATACAGCATGAGAAATGGTGTCCTCTCTTTCAATGCTGAGATATTTGTATTTTTAATATGAACTACACCATTATCAAAACTCTTCCTATCAATTGTTGAAAACAACTTTCTCCATGTTCGAGTAACGTTTTGTATTCATTTATTTATCTAGGATGAGGAATAGCTGGAACACGAGAGACTTTCCTGGGAATGCATCCAAGAAGGGCTGGTGGAGGCTTCCTAGTTAATCAGTTTGTCAAAAGGAGGACTTTTTCCAGCCTGCAATGTTACTCACTTAACTTTTCATTAGGCCTTTTAACGTGAGCACTCTTAAAGCAAGCAGCTGTGACACGGAAGTGTTAACTTAGGCCAGATTCCTTGGAAGTCCTGACTTTTCACCAAGTGTCCTGTGCATTGCTCACCCACAGCAGCCACAGCAGGCTGAGCTCCCCTTGACCCCCCTCACTCACTACAGCCTTCCTCAGGGTTTGCTCTCTGGGTATCATGAGTGTTACTCATAAAGGGTTTGAGGTCCCCAGACAGATGTGTCTACTTCCACCATTAAAGTGGATTCAGGTGCTTGGCATGGCTGTCTCCAGGCAGATTTTCCCTTAAATAATTGATAACTGCCCATGGTTCTCTGTCTGGATCTACTCGTGTTTATAGGGAAGCATCTCACACTTTTTTATTGACGTGACCTGTTTTTACGCTCTCAGGTGACAAATTGTGCCAACCGAGCTTTCTTACACCTACTATGATATGATAAGAAATTTTTAAGTCAACCACAGTCCTGAAAACTTTGTAAAACTTTTAGCAGTGTGAGGCACCAGGGTTTGATTGCCAGAAGATGTTGAATGAAGAAAGAAGAGAAACGTCTTAGAAATGAACCTGAGTGGTGTTACATTGAAAATCTTGTTAAGGGCAACAGGCAATGAAGCACATGAGCAATTGGTCTAGTTAGTGTTTTGTTACTCTGGTCAAACATACCCGTTAATTAAAAAAAAACACCTCATAAATGATATGGTAGAAATGTCACAGAAAAAAATCTTCCTGTTATCTGCCTCCTTTCTCTGGCATTATCTTTGCCCTCCCTCTGGGCCCACAGGGCACTGGTTTTTCTTCCTCGAAAAGAAGAGGGTGTTTATGAAGTGTCACCATGCTGAGGACAGAGAGGGCTATTGTTTCTTGAGCAGTAACTACCAGTTCATTCCCTAGGTTCTTATTTTTATACTTTATAAACAGATCTGCAATGTGTTGTTTGCTTTGGGCAGACACTCATAGGGTTTGTGAGACCAGGCTTAGCAGAGTTGCAGACAGGATATATGCAAACAAAGCAAGGCATTGCACTGGCTGGGCTGAGCTCAGCTTTACACAAGGCCTTGATGAACAATCCTATGCAATTAATAATGGGTATGTGGTGGCTCTTGCAATGGAATGACTGGTTTCTTGATAAAGTTTATTTTGTTTGAAAACCAAACTTATTTCATGGCTTGCAAGTGGAATTAATGATTTTTATTACAGCTGCACCACCTACTGTGTTGTGCTTTTGAGGTGCAGTTGCTGCAGAGGAACTGCAAGCGGTGCTTTATGTCATGACAGGGTGGCTATTCTGTGTATTGGGGCTGCCTCTAGATAAAAGGTAATTTCTGTCTCTGAAACATTTTACAATTTCATCGATGTTTACAATTTTCAGAATTGCTTCGGAGCTCTGAATTTGGAAATTCTCTGCAGCTCTGAGATTTTGAGGACAAAGCCAAAAATTATGTAGAGACTGAGCGAACTGATGTGTGAAAACAATTTGTAAAGACTATTTCCGAAACAGTGGGATACAAGTATAATCTGCATATATTTGAAAGATATGAGCACTTGAGTCAAAAGAGAGGACTAATATTATATCAGCCTTGGGAACAGCTGGTTTTAGCCATGAAGCAGAGAATGGACCTCCCCTTAGGAAGCTCTTGCAAGGGATCCACAAGAGTCCCTAATGGTTTTAAATGAAAGTTTTCCTGAAGAGTAAAACATGTATGATATGGTTTGTTTTCATGTGCTTGGAACTACTTGGATGCTTTTGAAGCTGTCCTGTGCCTGATAGCTTGAAAAACACCTGTCTTGTCAGGTTGCTGCACACCTGTGACCTCCCCTGATTTTGGTGATTTGCAGTCTTTTTGTACCAGTTGTTCAGTGTCATCTCCTTAACCACAGGCAGCACTTGTTGCTAATGGAAAGGAACTTGATCTCTTTTTACACCTTTGCTCCCTCAGTCCACACAAGGAACTGAAGAACTAAATTTTTGTTTGACCCCACAATTAAGGACAGCTTTATTTAATGACAAGGTAATGCCTGGTTTTGTAGGCAGGACACTGAATTCCTTCTACCTCTGGCACTACAACAGAGATGTTTTGTGCCAGTGCTGTTTACATTAAAAAAAAAAAAAAAAGAGTTCCTTTAAGCACTATACAAGCAACAAATTCCACACAGTAACTTGTTCTACATTTTTCCTTTTGTTTGCTTACTATTGTTAAGTCCAGATCATTTACTCCTTTAAAAGCTGACTGACAGCTTTCAGTTGTGTAATTCTCAGTGTGCTAAAGGCCGTTGTGTTGACAATAACTGACGTTCGTGCATTCAAACATTGCTCAGGAGGGATGGTTTACTTCCACTGGTTATTATTTCAGGCATGTTTGCAAAGGGGAGAAAAAAGAAAGGCAGCTGGGAAAAGGAGTGACGCAGTAGCTAGGGCAGGGTAAGGATATGAGGAAGGGATTAGTGGTGGGGGTGGAATGTAAGCAACCACCCCCAGAGCTTTCACAGAAGTGACATCAATAAATGGAGTTCGTAGGTGGAGACCCTGGGTTTTGTATTGCAGGTGAGCAATCTCCTACTGGATCTGCAGAATCCCTGAGGGGGCAGGAGTAAGAAAGAGGAAATGAAGACATATCAAATATGAAAAATCGTAACTTGGTCTTTGGCTGCATTGTTGTCTTAAGTCCGTCCATCACTGTAGGAAACCTCTGTGACAGACACGGATTTGTCATGGGTAGAGGCTGTATCACATCAGCCTTCTCTGCTGGTGTGTCTGAGAGGAAGAAAGCTGGCTACATACATAGTCCCACTTGTAATTAGAAATATTTTATAACCCACATCCCTAACGGAATCTGGGAGAAATTGTTATGACAATGTGTTCCTAATGTATTGCAAGACCACAGCGCAATAATACTTTTAAACTTTAAACGTTCTGCATCTGATCTAATATTGCAACTCATCCATCAAAAATTGACCTTGAAGTCTCTCAAAGATGGCTGTTGCTGGAGTAAATGCTTATAATGAATGCTAGTGTTGCCTTGCTGAATGGGAAACGGTACTGTGAGTCCTCTGAGTGGCAAAAACAGGTCGATAGTTTGTGGCAAGATATCCCCAGCAACATCTGATGGGCAATGATCTTAGCTCTAGATATCAGTGCTCCAGTTCCCCATGTCAAAAAAAGGTAGTTGTTAAAGTACCACCATAGAATCATTAAAACAGGAGCAGAGCTGACCCCACTTGAGACAGGACCAGCTGTACCTAAACCTCTGCACAGACACTGAAACTGGGAGCCTGCGACTCTTCCTGTCATGGCACTGGTTTTTCACAGTAATAAATAGCATTCCTATGCCTGTGCATTGGGGAATCTTGTCTTCATAATAAAATCACTGCTATCCTTCTTTTTGTTTGGGGTTTTTTTTTTTTTTTTTTTTGGTGAACAAAGCAAAAGGTATCATAGAACAAATTTTACAGCAGCTCAGCAATACATTTCTGCTCTTACAACCAAGATAAATTTTATTTCAGAAATCACTGCATCAAACCCAGAGATATGCTGTATTTGAAGAGTGAAAAGAAATATAGTGATTTATGGACTAGCCAATCTACAGGCTCGCTGATCAACAAAATGGGACCTTTAAAGCATACAGGTAATGTTGGCCTCATATGTTTGAGGCACACTAAGTTTTGTTAACTTTCTTAGGAGGGAATATCGAAGGTCTTGGTACTGAGAATGGACGGAGCAATAGCAGAGTGTATGAGTTGTGATGATTTATTTCTTTTCCAATGCTTTTGGGTGACACATTCTATGAAATATTAGTGAATTAGCTTCTCTCAATTCAGCTGTTGGAGCTGTTGTTTCTCCTCTGCAGGCATTTTGCTGTGTCTCTGTCACTGTATTTACTCAGAAATGCGGTTTCACATAGAAACACATAGAAAAAGAGAAGTTTGGGCTATGTATCAGGGAAGTGATTTTGCTGGAACAATTAAATTCTGGAAAAAACTGAAGCTAGTTAGGCAAAGTGGACACTGAGCCATTTGGGAAGCCAGCTAAGCATCACTGCAAATTACACAGGAAGGGAATAATTCTGCAAAATGAAGTGTTGAAACTGGGTAATACAAGTGCTCGTTTCTGATGAGGTCCTTACTATCTATTATTTGTATAGAGATAGACAATGGTCTTGTTAGTAGTTCTGTGGAAAAAGAGAATTGAGACACCAGCATTTGCAGAATCCCAGTGAGTAATAATTACAATTTTTAAGCCATTATTTCACTATTTAGGATTGTATTTGAAATGGAGAAAAAACACTTTTGTTTACTAATGAAGATGGATGGAATTTCGAAGTGAAATGTTCAGGTGCTGCTGATGGCCTTTGTTATGAGTGGTTAAATTGCAGGAATTGAGTCAATCCCATTCCCCAAAGCACATTGCAGTTAAACTGTAAGAATGGAAACTACTTGAACTACTACAGAATTGCCCACATAGCCTTTGCAGGTGGAGTGGTTATCCTGTGTTTTGTGCACATGCATATTGAGTTCCCAACGGAAGTCCTGCCTCTGGCCAGGTTTTTGGCATTCTTTCCAAGGGAGCTTTTCTGTTTCTAAGCCAGTCATTTATGGATTTCTCCATTAAAGCTCCTACAGGAGAAGTGATAGAGAAGAAAGTAAGTTAAACCCAAGGCAAATGTGCATTTTGATTATTAGGACTTTCTTATTCTGAATTTTTTGTCACAGTTTTCAAAAACCATGTTAGAAGAGAAATAATTGCTTCAATATTCAGGTCTGGGAGTTTGGGGCTTGAATGCTTATTTTAACATGGCAATAATGGTTATTTGACAATATTTGTGTAGTTTGAGATATCTCAAGACTGCACCTCCTTTCACTACCCCATGTGTTTCACTTTTTGAAATTATGATTTAAAGGAATGTAACAATTGTTGCTTCATTTAACCTCTGAGCTGGCAAAGAGAGAAGGATGATATGGATGAGGATGATATGGATGATACAAGACTTAGGGTTTAAATTGTAGAGCACTAATTTAGAAACAATGTAGAACAATCTGGTACATGGTGAATGTTTGACTTTTTTCCTAAATAGATTATAATAACTCTGGTTGTTAAAGAGAAGAGAGCTATCTAGCGGTTACAGATGTCATCACCTTTTGTCCAACAGCTATCAAGGGCTGTACCCAACTTAAAAAGGTTTAAATTATCCAGGAATAATGCAAGGTTTGGGATTAAGCTCTGTAACATAAGAGGACAAATTCTACCACATGCTATGGCTTTACAAACTCATTTTCTGAAATGCATTTTATCTCATTAATTGAAAAATCTCATAATATTTTAAATAAAACTAACAGCCAGTAATGTGAATTAGAAATGGTTATGTTGGGAAACAGAGTTGCATGAGAAGTTGCTGCCTTGTCATGGGGGGTGGGAAAAAAAAAGGCAGAATAGTTGGCAAGTGCCATATAGGAAATTTGGCTACTAAACATTTCTCTTGTAGCAGTGAAACAAACCCTCCATAGACTGTGGCACCGTGTCCCTCATGGCAGCCCCTGGAGCCCACATGGAGAAACCCCGGAGCAGCTGCCAGTCATGAACAGCCGGGGAAAACTTCCCCATCCCACAGCTCCTGGAGCCCCTCAGCAGCCCAGCCTGGCAGGGACAGTGGGAACAGTGCCCACACTGGAACACCCCACAGCTCCTGGAGCCCCTGACCAGCCCAGCCTGGCAGGGACAGTGAGGACACTGCCCACACTGGAACATCCCACAGCTCCTGGAGCCCCTCAGCAGCCCATCCTGGCAGGGACAGTGGGAACAGTGCCCACACTGGAACACCCCACAGCTCCTGGAGCCCGTCACCAGCCCAGCCTGGCAGGGACAGTGGGAACAGTGCCCCTCACCCTGCCCTGGAGCCCCAGAGTGACCAGAGGCTCCGAGGCCCTGCCTGGGGGAGGCCACAGGGCCCAGAGCAGGTCAAACCCAAGGCTGTGCTCCCCACACGGTCCGGGCCCTCCCATCCGGACACCTGAGAGCTGCTCTGCCACAGGGACCTGACGGTAACTACAGGTTACAGGCAGTTACCTGCCTCCCTCTCTTTCTCCTGCTTCTCTCTTCTTGTTCCCTCTTCTTCTCTTTCCTTGCTCCTTTCTTGATGCTTTGGGTAGCTTAAAGCTGAGGGGATTGGATTTTGATTTCAAGGTTGTGGATTAATGTGTGCTGGGTCTGTACTGTGGGGGAATGTTTTGTCTGGATTGTGTGGTGCCCTTCTGAACTGTTGCCCAGTTCCCTTTTTTCCTCCCCTAAATTATCAGTACAGATGCCTCTTGGGAACAAGTGTGTGGGTTATTCTCTTGATGCTGTCTCAAAGTATTAAAGAACACTCTCTCTCTCTCTCTCTCTCTCTCTCTCTCTATGTATATCTATTTTAAAGTAAAACTCCTGGCTAAGCCCCTGAGCTTGTGGTTCTGGGTCTGGGGTGTTACAAATGCGTACATGAACGCAGAGTTGTGACTGCAGAGCTGTAGCAGGAGTTAATTTTCATTAATTTAGGGTTGTGTTTTGTCTTTTTAAGCTGCCGAGGTCTCAAAGAATCACAAAACTCTCAACTCTCATCCTGGTAGGTAGATCATGTAGAAATCATCTCTGAAATATTTTAAACTTTTCTGAATAATTAATTATAGTGACAGATTTTTCCAAATGGACTCTCAGTGCAAGGTATTCTATTGCATTATTCTCCTATAGAGACTTGCAGTTTATTTCTTTGCACTCTTTATCTTACATCATTCTGTGCACATGCCGTTACTTTTTTTTGTGCTGCTTCATATTCCCATTATTGCTTCTTCCCTTGGTCAGGCCATTCCAACATACACATTGCACCTGCTTAGATATCTTTAAAACTACCTCTACAAATCCCTAAATCCATTACAGATGCAAACCAGAGCCTCTCAGTGAGACACTCTGTCTTTTGGACACCAAGTTGTCATCAAAAATCTCACCATCACTTCTTCACCTGCTCATGTGGTGCCCAGCTGTGCCTTGTTGGCCCTGCACTTGCCTGTTGTATGAGATGTGCTACTCAGAGGTGAGATTTCCAGTTCTGAAAAACTCCACATCAATCTCAAGTTGGCCCCTGTGTTTTCTTCCAGAGAATTAGGTTTTAATTGGGGAGAGGGGAAGGTTTTAGTTCTTCTTCCATGTGCCTTGAAATACAAGTGGGTATTGTAAAGAAAATATAGCTGCATGAGGAAGCAGAGTGGTTAGAGTGAAAACTTCCAATCACTCTGGAAGCCAGGATCTTTACATGTTTTACATTACAGTTCACTATGTTAGCACTTGGCCACAATGCTGTGCAGCTCCTAATGCATCAGAGTTATGGAAACATCTGGGCTAAATAGCTTCATGCCGATCCACTGAGAAAATCCACCAAGGATTCAATACTTTTTGAGATATTTCATTTTCTACCTAGGATAGTAGATTGCATTATGCTTATATACCGATTTATGAAACACACAGGAACATCTTGTTTCTCTTTTTTGTTGTTTCTCTTAGTCTTTATGTGCCTACAGGGCACATCTGTGCTATTTTATTAAGAGCTACGTTAAGGCTGGGCCTTGGGTGGACACAGTGTGGGAGAGGGAGCAAAGAGGTTCCTTTTCCCTTTGCGCAGCCCATCCCAAGGCTGCCAGAAATTACTAACTCCTCCAGAGCCAGGAGTAATCCTTTGACAGAAAGATGTTTCTGCTGCATCTCTCCCCTGCTGGCCAGGAGAGCTGGCTGACCGTGTGGGAAAGTACCAAATTACCCTGTTGCAGCCCAGCCAAGGTGCTCTGGTTGGAAGCCCCTTTGCTGCAGGCATTGCTTCCCACACACTGTCTGTCCCTGGCACACCCTGTGCTGGGATTCTGCAGGAGCAGCACGTTCCCTGGCATCCTCTGATCTCCAGGGATGCTGTTCTGGGGACACCCAGCTCTGCTTTGGTGTGTTTGTGTCATGCTGGTACAGTAGCAACCACTGAAATCTGCTTTTAGATCTCTTGTAGGGCACACGCAAACCCTGCTGACTGTGAGATCTGTAATGTTGTAAGTTGATCCCATCTGCTGTCACAAGGAGCTGTTGGTTTCCAAAGCTTCCCTGCCTCTCTGAAAAGTTTGCATCCTGTACATTGCTCTGCTACATAACCCTTATAAAAACCTGATAGTGAGTATGACTTTGACCTGTGCCTTGCAGGTCAGTGTTGTGCATCTAAATGTCTTGAATTTTAGTCCAGCAGAGGATCCACGTGGGGATCACTCTGACAGCACATAAAATAACTGCCATTAAACTTTTATTACTGGGCAAAGCCTACATCCCCCTTCTTAAAGAGGCGAGGGATTGCTACAGACCCTTCCTTTTCCCCCCTGGAAGCATTCAGGTACTGGACATATCTTTTAATTGCTTCCTCCTGGCTCTGAAAGCTTAGCCTTCATCTGGGGTTCAGGTTGGACTTCAAATGAGGCGAGGAGCTGGAGAAGAGACATCTTGTGTGGAAGAGGCTGGACTGTCCTCATGGACTTACCTCCCAAGGTTGCAGGTTTGTTTAAGTTTACTGCTTGATCAGGACTGAATCCCAGTCATGGACTGCAGATCTGCAGGGCTGAGGACACAGAGCTAGTCTGGTATGAGGATGACATCTTTCCACGTGAAGAAGAGAATGTTGTCATCCTTGTGTTTCTCTAAGTTGTCAGATAAAGCAAATTCAGCCATGCTTGTGTAGCTTGAAGAATACATAATCGTTTTTTTAGGTCAGATCCTCCAATTTTAGTCGCACTTGAGAGCAGTAAATTAAAGTGTTTCTCATGATGGAAGTTTCTGAATAGTCTGATACAAATTTTCTGTGCCCTCATTAAAGGGATGATTTTCACCCACTGTACTGTTTCAGGCTGATGTGATAAACTCTGGCTCTAATGGAAAACCAGTTAGGAAGCAGAAAGAGGAGAGATTGCAGAGCTGGGGGCAGCAATACCCAACTTGTGACCCAACACTGACCTGCTGGAGTGGGTATGTGAACTTTGTAGCATCCTTTCTCCCAAAGGCACTAATTTTGCAGGATATAAGTAAGGACTCATCTGTCCTTCAGGGAGACCCCTCTATGTTGTGCTGACTTGCTCTTCACCAGGCCAAAGAAGTGTAGCTGTAGGTCAGGAAATGTTCAAGGCAACCCACAGTGTGGGGAGTTAATCTATTTTATGTGCATATAAAAAGCTTTTATAGGGATCATTATCAACACAAACTGTTGTCTGATGTGCACTGTAAATAAAGTGTAAATCACGGCAGCCTGGACTCCTCCTGAGCAGTGGGAACAGCGCAGTTCAGCACTGAGACAGGACTGCTGTAGCACTTCAGGTCATTGGGAACTTCCCAGCTCTAAAAGAAGCCCTAAACAAAACTGTAAGAACTCTGTGATGAGCCCTCTGAGAGTGGGAGCTTCCCAGAGTACAACGGGATTTTCTGGGATGAGAACAAAGCTCCTCTGTCTGAGCACTGGGCTCTCCTGGTGCCCAATCTGAAGCTGTAGACTCGGCCCCAACAGGAACTCGTTTCTCTGCTCCGTGTTCCAGCTGCCAGGCACAGTTTGTTGACTTTCCCCTCAGCAAACCTTGCAATGTGTATTCTAAATAAAAAAGTCTCCTACAAACTTGTGAAGATGAAAGACACCACTTCATAAGTCTTCCACCTCTGAGTACAGGAAGAAAGAGCCAACATGCAACCACGGTTATATTTAATGCATTGTTGCCAAGTACTCTGAGAATATATTGAGGGGTGCAGTATAATTTTTGTGTGCACTGGAACATGGATGTGCAAAGCTTCCTTCTGTGACTGGGGTTTGCAATGACTTAGAATCTCTTAAAACATTTTGCCAAAGTGTAGGCTGGTTAAGAAAAAAAATCATTTTGTTGGTAAAAATGCTATTTTTCTCTCCTTTTTTGAGGTCATGGGCCACCATGAAAGCACATCTCCCAAATCAAAAATTGCAAGTGTTATCCTTCCCTGTTTTTTCAACCTCCTTTAATTCCTTTCAGAAGGAAAAAATAGTCATTATTTCATTTATTAAAATCAAGGAAAGCAGTTTGGCTTTTCTTTTCCTGCCAGTTTTAGCTGCAGTACAGAATGTTTCTGACATCTGCTTTCCCCAGAGTCAGAAAAATCACACAATGATGCCTTGCAGCTCTCACTTGTTCTTGGGGCACCCATGATCTCAATCAGTTTTCTCAGGAATTTGCAGATGGAGAAGCTGTTGTATGGATCAGTTCTGTTTTTATTTAGAAGTATTTATTCAAGCTTTTTCACTTTTTTACTATTCTACAAGGTCCCTGCTGAAATTGGTGCAGTGTTTATTTGCAATGTTTTGGAAAATATTACACGTAGCTTGTTTATCTTATAAGTATTTTAATGAGAAGAATTAAAGTTGTCAGCACGTTGAGTCAGTCATCTACGAGCAAACTCTTCATGGACATTAGTTGATGGACCAGTTGGATGGTGGGATGTTCCTGAGAGAGTCTCTCTCAGAGTATTTTGTGGTGTGCAGCAGAAATCTGGTGTTGAGAGAGAAACAGTGTGTCCTGCTTCCTTCACTGATTTCTTTTCTTTACCCTGTAGCATTGAGTGGGTTCTTTACAGCTGGCAGGAAGAAAACCCCTTTGCTTCTTGTTCAACTGTAGTGTCTTATGTAAAAACTGATATTCCTGGAGGAAGGGGACGGTTGCTCCAAGCTTCTCCAGGCAGTGTAGCACCAAGGTTGTTCTCATGGAACCTCCGCATTCACGTTGAGATACATGCTCTGCATTCTTTGCTTTCCTAAGGGCAAGAACTTCCATGGGAAGCTGGGAAAAAGAACTTGATCCTACAGTTCAACAGATTCAGCCAATACTTGCCATGCCTTGAGATGGCATTTCCACTGGAATGCTGAAGGCACCTCAAGGTAGGTGGTGATTGTTACTTCTGTTTCACAGTTGGTAAAATGAAATCACTGGAGGTTTAAGTGGCTCACCTGGAGATCAGATAATAAATGTCAAACACCCAGCTCCCCAGCTCTCAGCCTCTGGCAGCAGAGTTTCATTTAGCAGTAAAGGAAAAATATCTCCAAACTCTCCAATTAGTCATGGAAGGAATGAATGTGCAGGAATCTCCTTCCCCTTTCAATCACACAGTTCCTTTGCAGTGATGGGAAGCTTTGCTTGGGCCTGAGTTCACAGAGAGAAAGGGTGACTGAGGTGAGAGGTGTTCGAGCAGCTGAGCAAACCTCACATGCACTTGAAATTACTGCAGGGTGTGTAAGTTCATAAAAGCCTCATAACTGTGAGGTTTATTAGCCAGCATAATCATTTTCCAAGGGAAGCAGGGCAAGGTGGGTGTTAATTAACCCTCCACTGTACTGCATGTGCTGTAACACTGGAGAAGTAGATTATTTCTCATTTTTTTTCTGCATGGGATTGACCCACACAGTCAGATGATGCAGGGAGTTATGTGGCTATAAAAACAAAGCAAGAACACAAAGCAAATCAAAACCCACCAGTAAGACACTAGGGTGTGTTATGCTGAAATGCTTCCAGTAGAGATAACTCATTATTAATGCTCTTGCACACAACAAGGGAGCCTTTGGGGAATGTTTGTCTGGGTGACTGTGCCATTTTTCTCCTTGACTTGCAAGAAAACTGAATTCAGACTGGAGCTTATTCAGAGAAATGAGCGTGGCAGATCAGGGGAATGGATTTCAAAGCAAAATCTACAACTTCTACTTGGGATGGAGTGATTTATTTTTCTTATTTGAGTTTTGCTAGGAGGTTGGTCTCCAAGAGCATGACTTTTGTGGTTAGAGTAATATCCTTGGTGGGCTCTCATGCAACTGGCAAGTACAATTCACAAAAAGGTTGGATTTTACAGATTTTCTTTTTTTTCTTTCTTTCTTTTTTTTTTTTTTTTTTGCAGGAGAAGTAATTTTTTCCACAAGACTCTGAAAGAATTTTATAATGCATATAAATGGAGTTTATTAAGGCTTTGGCAGATCAGTGACCCATGCTAATTTGTAAAACTCATAGCAAGTAGTCGAGTTTAGTATTCTTGGAGAGGAGGATTGGGAGGTCTGGGATTAAAATCCATTGATGTAACAGGTTGTGCACTTTTCCTGTGTGTAACACAAAAGTTGTGTTTCCTTTCAGGAAAAGACAAGGCATTTGTCATTTAGGAAGGTGATTGCCAACCTGGTTATGTTACCTGAACAAAGGGGTTTCTCCTGGAGCTCAGTGGATTCACTTGCTAGTTTGGGAGACTACGGGCTAATCCAGGACAGGGCTTTGGACACGTGGGATATCAGCGTGATTGAAAGGCCGGGTATTCAGTAAGTTTTCCTTGGGACAGGAAGCAACAAGGCAGGTGTGGCCCCTAAGAATTGTTTGCAGGCTGAAGAGATTTCAAGTTTACCAGAAGGTGTTATATCACTCTATTAATTCCAGAAAGTTTCCAGAGAGTGATGAGAGACTTGACAGCAGAATACCAGGAATAGCAATCCAGAAAAAACAGCCCTAGAGTCCCCTTTCTGTGTTTTTACCTTTCTCTTCAACATCTGTGCTTTTCCCAATGAAATCCTTGTAAAGGCAAGGTACAATAGACAACGATCCCTTGGTGGCAATGTTTCTCCTCCTAGATCTTGAAGGAAAACTAATTTTGTCTTCCATAGTTTATTTACTGACCTTGCCAGTGCTGCTTGTAGAAGACCATAACAATATAGCACCGTGAGTAATGGGGCATCTGGGGGAACAAGATGCTCCCAGCAGGATGGCTGATGCCATGCTGCAGGAAACTTGAGTGGCTCTTCAAATCATCACTTGCTTTTCCCCTGTATGACTCACTGCTGTAGAGTTTCAAGATTCCCTTTGAATGGTCTTTCATTCCTCTTTGTGTCCTGTGGGAGACCAGAGGCTGCTTTATGGAGCTGGTCTTTATGGGGAGACTCAGTGGTGTCTCACTAGAAATAATGTACCAGATGCCATTGCACAAAGATGGATTTCAGAATTACGTGGATGCAGTGGATGATAAATCCAGGTAACAACAAAGAAACATTAATAACCACTTGGTATAGAAACCTACTGAACTGACTCGGTCTCCTTCAGTAAAAGTGAGTGTGGTCCATAGATTTTGGTTATTCCAGCAAAGCACAGAGCTTAGTTTATCACATTTGCAGTTTCATCTAAACCTGCAGAAAGGTTTCTTGGAGACTTAAGCTTATACATCAAAACAAAAACCTTGAAAGATTCATGACTTTACCAGTATTTTTTTCCCCATTCACTCATTTCTGTCCAGATACATTTTTTTTCCATCAGCTGAGGACAGAGGCAGATGGATTGGTATCCCTAAACCAGGAGAGGCTGTGATGGGTGTTCCCCTCCAGCAGGGACCTGTGGTTCTTGGCAGCCCCGGGAAGGAAAGGGGCGACCCCAGCCAGGGGAAGGGTTTCTGCTTTCAGTGCACCAGCCAGATTTTGGGCCCTGCTGCCAAGAACGCAGATTTTATTGGTGCTGCAAAAAGAAACTCTGTTCAGGGGGCTTTAGTTTCAATCCCAGTTTAATTCAAGTTAATACTGCAAAGCCTACCCTCCACTGCCCTAGTGCCATTTCACAGCCCCGGGTGGAGCTGCCCTTGTGCAGCGGAGTGGAAATGGGTTCTTGGTCTTTAGGGAGTCAATTTATTGTACCAGATTTGATGCACAAATGGGCAAATTATGCGGGTGGGGGAGAGATGGGGTAGTGAGAGGAAGGGCCTGGGATATGGGAACTGGTTTCAATAAGAGCCAGGGTGAAATTTCATCCCCTTCTCAAGAAGAAACCAGCCTTTTCAAAGTCTCTCCCATTTTTCCAGGCTTAAAGTAAATAAGTAAATAGCTCGTGCTCCCACTTGTTGGCTTCAAATGGAACCCAGAACCAGGGGGTACAAAGGAGACTAAAAAAGCGTTTATTGGCTTGAAAGAAAATATTTACAGGTGGATCAGGATGAAGCAGGTTTGGTTCTTAAGAATTCCCCCATTTGGTTTCTGTAGCAGAGGAAGCAGCTGAAGAATTTTGTTCACCTATTCCTACATTTGCTCTGTCCCAAACAGCTATGCCAGGTGCTGGAATGAAGAAATACTTAATTACTGAAACTTCCATTTACATTAGATCTAAAAACCTCACTTTGTTACTTTCTTTAATTACCCAAGCCAAAGAAACACTACAGAGTGTATATTCCATTAATTTAGGCTCTGAGTCAGCAAGGTAATTTAATTAAGCACGAGTGTAATTCACAGCACATTAGAAGTCCCACTGAAACCTACTTCTGCTGTTCTGCAGTTGTTTCAAAGCTGGTTTTATTTCTTGACGCTCCAAGACAAGCCAAGCTTATTTTTTTCATTTCAGCTCCAGTTGTGAGCAGGGGAGAAAGGCAATTTGAGGTTAAGTGGAGAAAAATTTTACAGAGTGCTTGGGGAAAAGCTGAATTTGAAGTAGCAGAGAATGCAGAGGAGCAGAGCATGTGTGGGCTGGGTGTTTCTCAAACTGCAGGTGGATGCTCATTGCTGTGTGCCCAGTTCCCAAGGCATTGCTTGGATGGGCCTGGAAAGGAGGTGACAGGAGGCCACTCTTTATTAGATACCTCAGGGCAGGGCTGTGTTATGCCCCTCACCAGAAGTACAATGATAAAAACTTCTTTTCTGAGTGGTGGCAGGAACTAAATCTCTGCCTCATTGCTCACCTCACTTGCTGGGGTAGCTCGAAATGACCTGGAGAAGTCCCGCACTGCTATCCCAAGAAGGCTGATGAAGCTGTGGCAGAGGAATTGCCTGGATGAATTTCTGCTAAAGAGTCCTAAGGAAGCACTCCCCTTGGCATCAGCTTGGTTGCAATATGTGTTTTTAAGGTCCAGCTTGCTCAGAGTGTGGTCCTGCTCACGCTGAATGAATAACTCCATTATGTCAAAAAAAATTACAACTGCATAAATTAGAAGAAACTTGGATCCTGTGCCTTTCTTTCAAGAAATTGTGAATGCAGTTTTGGGAATTGACAAATATTTGGAATATAAATTGAAAACACCAGACAAAATTTTTTATTTCTTGTTATGGCAACAACAGTGTTATAACTCACTTTCTTTTGGCTTTAAATAATGATCTAGATAATTAAACATTTTGTTTTAAACCTATTAAAACCAGGCTATAAAAGTTAGTGCCAGTTATATATAATATATAGAGAAACTTAGCATATGTAAGATGGTTTTTAATTGAGGAAAATACCTAAGCAACTTCTTGGAAGTTTTGGAACATTTTGACAGAACTTCTGACCTAATGGTACAGAAAATGCTGAAAGGTTAGCATTTTAAACCAAATATTTTTTGTGTAAAACAAGAATAATCAATCATCACGTTAAAGGGGAATTGCTGTAACAAAGAAGCAATTTATCAAATGCAAATGCAGGGTTATGAATAGACTCCAAGAAAGCTCTTAGTTTCTTGTCCAGAGCTGCTTTCCCACCAAGTCAACATTATGTCACTAACAGAGTTGCTGGGAAACTGGGATACTTGCACGTAGAAAATTTGCTTGGAAAATGTTTCTATTTTTGGGTTTATCAACACACAATTCTGAAAAAGATTTTTCTCTTTCTCTCCCTACCCACTCCCTCTGTTTCCCTAAAATTTCAGATGGGAATGGTGGTGCCTCGAGTGAATACTGGTGCTTGGAAGCATTTTAACTTTGTACAGTAACATTTGAATGCAATGTTGTCATTTAAAAAAATTAAGCTGAAGAAATAATTCTTTAAAAATAGCACTGCTATACTTCTAAGCACAAAGAAAGTCCTTTCAGTTCCGCCCACTTATTTTAACTGAGTTGTTAGTTTAGTTTTCAGCACATCTTTTGTGAAACCTGGTCAAGCTGTGGAAACTACCAAGTTGCTCCTCTTTCTTTAGCTGCTCCTGGTGAAGTGTTAGTGAGTCAGCCAAGGGAACCCAGCACATTTCCCAGGGGAAGAGGCTCAGGAGAAAGACAGGCCAACCACTAATGAGGCATTCCCAGGAAACACAGAAGGGAGGGAGATCAAAGTGGAGCAGCTGGAAACCAATGGCCAGGTGGGCACCAGAAGGAAGTGCTGAGCACTCTTGCTTTGGCAGTGGGCTGAGGCAGCTTAGAGCAAACACTTGTGTACAGGGAATGCACCGGCCAGCAAGGTCAGGGGGAACTTGTCAGAAAGCAGCCAAATCATATTGCACAAATTTATAATCCCTGGTACACTGAAAGTCACGGTAGGGGTGCTTGTCTTGGTCTTGTCCCTGACACTTCTGCTCCTCAGTGACCTTACTGTTGTCCAAGGGCCTGGGGGCACAGAGGGAACTCTTCCCTTCCTCCCAACCGCTCCTCACGTGTCCAGAGACCAAGACAAAGAGGGCTCTGCCCCTCGAACAAACAGCCTTCAGCCTGTTCTAATAACCTCCTTCCCCAGACCCCTCAGTGTCCTTGTTCCTGTTCTCCAGGTTTTTCCTGTTGTGTCCACATCCTCCTGGGATGGTGGTGCCCACAGCTGAGCCGCCTGCTTCCCACCACCGAGCCAAGTGGGAGTGTTACACCATGTGTTCTACAGATGACACTTGTTTATTTTTCCCAGGACAGTTTTCCATTTTTTCCCAGCAGCATGATGTTGTTGACTCATATCGATGATTTAATACATTATAGCTCTGCAGTGAAACGGTACATTTGTGGGTTTGGTTTTGATTTTTTTGCCTTTCTGACTGCTTTAATAAAGAGGAAAAAAAAAGGTGCTATAGGATCACTGGCAGATTTAGCTTATTTAATTTGCTGGGTTTCTCATTGCTAAGGTTGAAAAGCCACACTGACAAAAGTACCTGCTGGTGCCATGAAGTCACTAAGGGCTATCAGAAGGGTTGTACAGCCCCTTCTTTTAATCAGTATCAAGTGAGAGGCTTGTTCTTCACTTCAGGTTTGTCTGTCTTCGCAGTATAATTTACACTGTATTTGTTTTTATGGGTCCAAAGTTAGAGTTGAAGGTGGAGTTAAAAATCTAGTCCTTATTTACCTTTGTTTCTGGGAAGCAACAAGATTTCTGTCCCTTTGCTGTCTGTGTCACAGCAATCTGAACTTCTCTTCAGCCCAAATGTTATCTATGTGTCCAGACCCTTTTCCTCCTGTCAACAAACCCACGGTAATTGAAGGCTCAGTTTTGTTATACATGTTTAAAACTCTGTTTTACTTTACAGGTCTACACAAGGACCATTATGTCATGAGAAATATGAGAGATAACAAGTCCTGCAAAGCCATAATTTGTGTGCAGGCTGACATGTTTCTGCAGCATGGACAGGGAAAAAGAGGTTGTGGGTTTGTTTTTTTTAGATTTTTAACACAGTTCAGAAACAGATGAGCGTTTAACCTCCTGAGACCAAACATATGTTACTATGAAGTAGCAAACTTGCGTGTTTGTTGCCCATTTCATGGCTGGAAGCTGAAGATGTTTTGGCATCACTAGTTAAAGTTTGATAAAGGTAATTCTTGGTGTGGAAGCACCCGAGCTGTTTGCCATGTTGGCTGCCTTTCAGTCCATCCCACTGAACGTTCAGTGCTTTCCAGTCAGACAGTAAGAGACCATTTTATGAATGCTTATAGTAACCTGGCAGTGTTTCCTGCCGCTGTGTGTGCACTGGCTCCCTGAATCCCAGGGTACTTATTTCTGTCTCTGTTATTTTCTTGTTAGAAAAACATTTAATACTCAGACTGTGTCTTCTGCACACATTCAAGTGGTAAAAGGCCGAGGGGGGGGAGAAAAATAGTCTTGAAATAGCACATTTTCAGCTCATGTTTTGTGTTTGGAATAAGTTTGTGGATGTTGCAACAGCTGTAGACTCTTGATGTAGTCAGTGACATGATTTCACTCATTCTTCCCCAGCTTCCTGAGCTCAGCATGTCCTGCTGTTGTTCGGGAGAGATACCGGCTCAGCTGGCTGCTTTTCCAGGCAGCACTGCTCTCCCCAGGCCTCCCCCTGCAGACACCAACTTCTGTGTGATAAGGAGAAGTTTTCAGCTCTGAACACTCATCAAAAACACCACTCCTCCGGTAAGTATGTTAAACTAAGGCCTCTGATGCCTGTCCAATTTGTCTCCTGCACAATACTCTTCTCAGTTTGCAGCTTTAATGCAGCAGGATCGGAAATAATCAGGCTTTGAAACAGAACCATGTGGTTGAACACACAGCACAGAAACCAGAATGTTGGAGAATTGCATCATTATCTGTGTCAGACACACAGAGCAGCCCACGAGAGACAGCTTTGTATCACAAATGGGGTGGTGGAAATCCAAGTCAGTCCTCTCTCTCCCTGTCCAGAATTATCCTGGAATGGGTATTTCTGACTTAAGGGGAAAAAACCCTCCCCATAAAGAATAGGGTGGGTTTAGTTTTTAGGACATTTAATGATGTACTGGCACATAGTAACTGCACTATAAATATAGTCTGAAAAAATATGAGCTTAGTTTGGAAGCTGCTCTCAGCTAAATTATGGGGTTTTGATCCTGACCTAAACTGATCCCACATGTTCCTGGATTCTCCCAAAGTTTGAGTGCACAGTAAATCAACTGTAATTTTTCCCTTTTATTGCAAAGAATGAACAGAAGAGATTGGAAATTATATGACTTTGGCATATGTTTATCACATGGTTTAGGATTGTTTGATATCTTTTTAGCTTTAAGATTTAAGTAAAGTTTAAAACGGGTATAGAGAATCAAAACTAGGTAACTGGCATTAGGTCACCATGGTTTCAGAAACATTCAGTGCCTCTACAGAGAAGAACTAATCTTACAAGTACTGGTGTGTTCTGCTCACACACACTGAGGATGTGAAGAGATAGTACCATAGTAGGGAACAGTAAAGAAGGAGGAAATATCAAATGACTTCCTTGGGAATAATTCCCAATGCTTTAAACAACGGTGGTTGTACCCCTGGGTTGTGCTACCTCTCCTTTGAAAAATGAGTATGTTCAGTATTTATGCTTTTTTTCCTCTTCTAAGGCTTTCTCTTTCCTCTTCTTCACTCCTTGTTGTACCAGCTTCAGTGGTGGTGCTATTTTGTACTTTTTCTTTGCAGCCCATACCTTGTCCCTTGTTCCTGTTCTTTGGCTCCTTTTTGCAAGTTGTTTTTTTTTTTATTTTAACTGGAGAGTTGGTATATCCTTTACTGGTAGTACCAAAGTATGGCTAAACTGTATTCTTGAACGTGGCTTTGCTAATGGACTGGCTTTCCCCTCTGAAACATTATGATGCAGCTGAGTTTTGTGAGCTGAGTGCCCACACAAGCCTGCTGCCATGTGGGCTGGAGAGCCAGCTTGTCTAAGCCTTCCTCAGTAATTACCAGGCAATAAAAATTAACTGCCCCATAAAACCACATGGAAGAACCAAGCTATTCCTGGCTGGCCCTGCTCAGCCATCCTCTTCCTGTGTGCTGGATCTTTTGGGCAGGGGGAAGGACCGACTGAGGTCCCTTTTGGCTCTGTGTCTCTGGTAACTGGTGCCCTGGCCCTGGGCTGCTGGTGTCAAGGCTCAGAAGCACATCTCAAAGCAGGAGCTTTAAGCAGTGCACCAGTCTGACCTAAGCAGTTCCTATTTTATTTGTCACAGAGGAAAAAAAGAAGATAACTCACTCCTCTAACACTGGACTGCTTTCTAGACACCTTGAGAAATGTTTCAGAGTGATGCTTCAAAGCCAATCTACTGCAGCACTAAATAAGCTGCTGGAGAGTGAAGGTGTCTAATGTGAACCCAAAGACAGGGCAGCTTTGCAACTCCCCTAAATTGGCCATGACTCAAACTGGCAGAACTAGTCCTAATTCTCTAGTTCACTAGATGTGCATAATGGCTTTGTGGAGAAATGAAAAATGTCAGGTTTCTGCCAACCTGCTCCCAGGATTTATATCGCCGTTGTGACTCCTAATTTATACTGCTGTGCTTCTGGTATCTTCTTTCATCATGTGTTTCTTCAGCCTCATTTTTTACTTCTCTATCAGATAACAATCCCATTTATTTTAGGGGATTTTTATTTTTCATTTTTTATTACTAAGTAACTGAGATTTCCGTCTTCTTCAGGGGTTGCAAGTTTAAAAATGATGCAGAAAACTGTTAAGATGCAGGGTGGGTAGGCTGGTGAGTTGTAGAGTCAGGCAGTCAGAAAGGATCGTAGGATATCATTTAATCCATACTCCTGCCCCAGAGAAGAATATTTACACTAATGTTCCTAACAGAGGCTTGTCTGAACTGTCCTTAAATATCTCCAATAATGACAACCCTTCAGCTTCATTAGGCAACCACTTGCCCTTCATGTTAGAAAGCTTTTCTTAATCTTCAGTTGAGTATTCCAGGATCCCAGAAATAACCTGTTTGGGGTAGTGCAAAGAGAATTCAGCTTCTTTTCTGCTTGTTGCACTGGTTTTCCAGGAGTGGAGGAGAGAAGCAACAATATGAAGGGTACTTTCAGAACGAAGTAGGTATTTTCAATCCTTTTTGACATTCTCGGTGCTGGGATTGCCCGCAGACACTTGAGGGTCTCCCCTTTGCAGGAAGCATCACAGCTCAGTGTTTCCTGCAGGGAAATCAAAATGCTGAGCTCTCTGCAGGGGCTGCCCATGGCCACACTGCTTCTAGTTAAACACCAACGAGCTGTTGGGCTGCAATCTAGGCAAGGGAGCTGAGAAGGGAAACACTCGAGAATGCCTTGATTAATAGCATCCCTAAATGATAATGGCTGTTTTATGGCTTTTGTAAAGGATTGTAGTGTTTCTCATATATAAAAATAGACAAGATGTGGTTGTAATTAATGTAGAGGCTCTTTGTTGAAGCTGTTGACTGTAGGAAAGAACCCAAGGGTTTCTTAGGCTCCTCAGTTGTAAAACTAACTAAATACATCTAGGGCTGCCTTGTGTCACTCCATGGCATCTTTCAAAGCTGTAATTAGCAGATACCTAATGAGTTGTGGCTATAGCATGTGGATCAGATGACTCAAGTATTTACTCTAAGCCTCTGATTCTCTTTCTCCACACAAGGGAGAATAATTTGGCTTTAACGTTTAGAGACTCATTTTCTTTGGTTCTCTTGCCTAGAGACTTCATTGTTTCCAGGACAAGAGTTTGTGTGTCAGTTCAAACTCCCTGGTTTGAAGCCTTCCTATTTTTTTCAGCCCACATTCCTTCCTTCCACAGTCTTTCCTTAGTCCCCTGGAAAACTTTGAATGTTATCTTTGACAGTCATTTCATACTGACTGTGCCTGAGCTGACCTTGGTCCAGAAATTTCCTAATTGCTCCCTGTCCTCAGCCATTCCACCATAAAGAGCAAATATTCAGATGAACCAAATATTGACTAAATCAAAGGTAAATATCTCTGTTAGCTGTTTTTCTAGACAGCTGGATGTCCCTGAAGACTTCTCAAAGCCTTTCTTTAAGGAATAACTGCATGACTTCAGCTGTGAGAACAGCAGTACATGTAGATCCATACCTGCAAGTGGCATGTTACAGGCAACTTGTATTGCATGTCCCTGAAAGGGATTTAATTCTGGGATCAGCACTTCTCTAGACATGTTTTCAGGGGACCTGAGCTGAATGTTCAACAAGTGTTTAATGAAGAAAGAAAAAGCGTGGGGGAGGTTCCCCTGTGCTGTAAGAGTGTCTGTTTTATAACAGCCATGCTTGTCACTAGAAACATGATAGATTAGCTCTTCATCACCAGCCACTCTCTTAATTCTTCAGATGGTGGCAAAGATGAATAGGGAGTGAGCTTCATCCTTCTGGAAAGCTGGGAATTTAAGCAGTGCCAATCTCATGGTTGCAGGCAGTTGACTGAAGCCCATGGGAGTTACAATCAGACCAGTAGTCCTTTTCCTGACAGTGATATTTAACGTGCCAGTCTTGTTTTCATCTCAGCCCAGCCATATTTCTTTCAACGATGAAAACAAGGAGCACTTTTTCCTTTATTCAGTTGGCTTTGGTCTGTGGGCACTGAGTAATTTAGGCAATTTATAGAAGATTGGCTCCAAGTTCCCTCAAAATACATAGGTTTGTATTTACATCTCTGTCTATGACAGTGATTTGCCATATAGTCTGAAGTTTTGAGGATGTGGGGTTTTTTGGGTTTTATTAAGCTGATACAAGGCTTTATAATTAACTCTCGTGACTGCTGGGAAAACAAGTTTCCATGAACCATTAAGCGAGTAAATAATTTCTGCTTGTCAGTCAAGAAGATCTTACTGTTCTGTTGGTTGTTTTCAGACATATTTAATAGACTGAACTAGAGGAAAATGCCTCCTAACAAGGATCTTGCTTTAGAGATGTTTATAATCCTCACTATGAAAGCTTCCCCATAATGATCTGTTTAGGATCTGTTTAAAACTCATGAGAAAATCCAGAACTAAAGCAGATAATGAGAATCAATTAATTACTTTGAGCCATAGGGAAAGTAATTCCCAACATAATAATTTAGGCTATCAGCCCATGGTCTACAGCTGAACTGAACTGCACAGTGTTATTTGCAACTGGGAACACAACAGTATAAACTGCCTGAGCATTCCTATTCCACCAGAACTCACAGCTTCCTAAACAAATGGGCAAGGCTGGAAATGGTGAGCCTGGGAGATGCATGGCATGACCAGACACTTTCCATCAATCCTCCCACCTCTTGGTGAAGCCCCTGGGCAGAAATATTTGTAATATTCCACCCTTTTCTTCCAAAGAGGTGACTCATGTCTGGGATCCTGCAACTTTTCCTAAAGGGGAAAGACTGAAACTCATGCTGTTATAGAACTAAATTCAGTGTTTTCTCTCCCTTAGGACCAACATTTTTAACTAAACTAGAAAACTGGCAGGTAGTCTATCGGTTTTCTGTCTTGCTATTCCAAACCATTCAAACCAACAAAGCCTGACTCAGAGGAGGGACGTGGTTTAATGACACAACTGTGTTTGCAGATAAACGGATGAGGTGACCTTTAGGTTCTTTCCCCTTTCTTGCAGTGACTGATGCCAAATTACTATACAAGAAAAAAGCAACTTCACAATTTACAAAGTAGCTGCTGAATTGTTCATGCAACTTTGTTCCTGCCGGTTGGGAGGGTTTGGGTGTTTGTGCTGAGAGCAATGGGCTGCTCCTAACCCAGCCACCCATAACCTTGGGAAGGCCTCAGCCATTCCAATTGAGGTGGGACTTAATCACCTTAATTGCCCATGAAGTCTAGGAGCACTGGGAGCTGGACAGAAGGAAGGGATTCATGTTGTAGCTGCACTGACAGAAACACCATCAGAAACCATCAGTTACCTCGTGGGTTTGACAGCAGCTGCTGGGCCAGCCCGTGGCTCCAGCTCCACACTGACCACTGCAGGGATCCAGCCACACATTCCCACGCAGGGCAAGAGCAGATGGTCCAGCTTATGGCACTGGAAGGAGACTTAGAGGACAAAGGGCAAAAATAAGCAGGAAATCAAGTTCTTTGCTCCTCATGGAATAAACATTCATTATTGGAGTGGCAGAGCAGCCCCACAGGTCACTTTTTGTCAGGCTGAGATCCCTCTCGCCAACCTGGTTTTCAAATCAGGTATCAGTTTGTCATGTGCACCTTTAGTTCTTTTCTCTCATACAGAAGGCTTAGTATAAATACAGTCAAGGATTTAAGAGTTTCTTTTATTTTAAACACATATATTGACAATATATATATATAACATTAGTGGAGCAAAGTCATAACCAGTACTTGTGTGCCACTTGTGGGCATCAAAACACAGCAGACTTGCATTTTACATGCTGTGTATATTTTATTGTCCTTCTAAGTTGTCTTCAGTTGATTTTCAAGATGGTCAGAGGTTGAAATACCAAGTAACTGTTTGTTTTGTGAATAGTATTCCAAGATAGAGCAGCTGGCAAAGAGTAGTTGAATACCTTATGGTGTGTCTCTGCAGAGTGGATGTAATTGTAAAAAATAATATAAAGATCCCAATGCTTGATGTTACTGACAGATGAGTGAATGTAGCACCAAGCTGCAGCCAGTGAACTCCACCTTTCAGGTTGTCAGATAAGCTCTTTTGAAATCTAATGGCTGCTTTTAATGGTTGTTCATTAACTTTTGAATTTTGGCCCCTGAATAACAGGTGGAGGCTGCTGTGACTAATGTTTTGGTGGTCTAGAGCAGGGTGGGATGTGCTGATGTGGGAATAAGATACTTTAAGACACAGCAGCCTCAGCTGATGACTGAATTTCAGCTTTTGGCCTGGCTGGGTTTTTTTGTTTTATTTGTCTAGGAGAGGGGGGGAATATTGAAAAAATTGTGCAACAGTGAGCAGTTCGCCTAAGCTCACATCAGGAGACAAAGAAAGTCATGCTTAATGACTAAAACAGACAGCAGGTTGCAAATTTGGGCTTCATGATGCATTCCAGTCAGTAACATGAAAGACAGGAAATATCTTACATGTGCTGCCTTTGGGGAACAAGCGAAGATACGGAGGTCGGGCACGGCTCGGCTACGTTTGCTGAGAAATCTTTTCTAATAGTGGGCTTTTTCCTTTTTCTGTTCTTTTTTTTTCCCCCTGAGCAGTGTGGTGTTGCCTGCAAAGCAGTGGAAAGATCAAACAGCCCCTCAGGCAGCTGCTCACATTGGTCAGTGCCTCTGAGAAGGATGAGCCCATCAGTGGAGCCGAGCACTGCTGTACATCACTGGCACGGGGAGGGGGAATGACCTTGAGCTCTTGGCCAAGTCAGTAACAGTGTCAATCCATTATCTCCAGGTACTATCCAACAAGCTGCTGCAGGCAGGGATGGCTCTGGAGCAGTTTGTAACTGCTTCAATTGGAAAGCACATCTAAACTTAATTTAGTGAATTTAGCAACACTGGAAACCCCCACTGTTACTAGGAGTGACAGAGCCCTGGGTCTGTGTTCCTTTACACTCTTGTAAAAATAAGATAATGCCCCCTTACGTCTGCTGTTCTTTCTGTTATCAAAATTTGGACAAGTCACTAGTGGGGGTTTTCTTCATAAATCCTCAAAAGCTGTAAAAAGTGGCAACTTCACAGTTGCTATGCCAACACTCCATAACAGAGCAAATGACATGATGTGGTTCCCAGCATTTTGGCTGTTGTTTTTCCTACTAGAGTGACAAGTTAACGTTGGCTGTTTTGTTACTGAGGAGCAGGATCGTTGTTCCAAACAGCTGTCATTTAAAAAAAGCGAGAATAGAAATGAAGGAATAAGTTCCATGTAACCAATGGATTTCCCTTGCTCATCTATTTAATTACTTCATTGTGGTGAGTATGAGGAAGATTTTCTATATGACCATAATAAGAAACTAGCCCTTCTATGTCAGGAATAATAGGTACTGAACTGAAGTTCAGTCCTGCTTCAGCACAAACCAATAACCAAATTCAGAATAATTTCATCATTATGGGCTAAGCGATGCAATCCCTGGCTTAGAGTGCAATAAAAATCTACCAGAAGCACAGAGAATCAGCAAAAACTATTTTCCAAAGTCTGGATTTCCTGTGCACAATAAATTGTCAGAACATCTCATAGCCCAAGAAGGTACAAATTAGGTTGTTGGTTTCCAGCTGCAAGTTATTGGTGTGGGGAATGACATGGATCAACAGAGCTGCTTGTGCACATCCATGTTTCCAGACTTTAAAGAGCTACTGACAAGGTAATTGTTTGATAGATGCAGCATGTTATGGGGCTGCTCTCCAAACAACACCAGCATCAATATTTGCTCATATTGTCAGCATATGAGCGATCTGCCCTCAAATTGTGTCTGAAAGCAACACGACCACATTTTCTCAGAAAAAGTTGCATTTGCATGTTCAGTGGAGAAAAATCTCTGTTGGTGATAACACACTGTGGTCAAGCTGCTCAAAATTGCTGAGTAACTTCTGCCAGACAAACGCTCGCTGAGCGTGTTCTGAGAACACTGAGCACGCGCTGGGCTGGCAGAGCTGTCAGTCTCCACATGAACTCTGGGAACCAACTCATTCCAACTCAACTGGGATTCAACTTGCATTGCCCTGAGCAACACCAGGAGTTTCCTGAGTCAGTGAATAGGATCAGTTGTTTTAATTTGAACCTTTCAGAAAGCAAATCAGAACAAACCAGTCAGACCGACAGCGTTGAAATTGCCCGTTTATGTATTATGATGTTTTTGGTCTGCTTGCACTTTTCTCCATAATCATATTGTCATAAACATTTTCCACTGAAAGTATAATGTGAACAACCCTTTTACTTTTCCAATCCAGTGAATTTTTAGGAAGATGAACTGAATAACATTTCCATAAATCAGAAAGCATTAAGTGGTACCAATGGAAGGGAACTTGTTTCAACTGGACAGAAATTCTTCTTCTCTGTTGTGTTTTTATGCATTGGGGCCATCTACAGATGAAGTTATAAGGCAGTTTTCATGCATGAGGTAAGAAAATGGTCAATACTAGGTTTTAAAGCATTTTAGGAGACTTTGCCCTTAGCAGTGTATGTCTTGTTTGACCAGTAAATTAGAAGGGATTCCACTTTATATTAAAAACAAATATAAGTAGGCTTGAAATTTCTCTAAAACGCCCTTATAATAAATTCCACCTCAAACAGATTTCATTGCGCTGCAAGTTTTCCACCATATTTTTCAGCTTATGGGTGCATGTAAAATATTATGTATTATCCTTTCTTTAGTGTCACTAGTGCCACACTATTTAGGAAGTTCATTTGGTTGTCCTGGGGTTAAAGAAAGCCTAAACTTGTACTTGACACTCTTTCTTGTTACAGGGTCCTGCTTGCTTTCTGCTCTGTAGAAAATGGATCAGTGTCATTGGTCTGTCTTTCCATTATTGCCATTTTCCTATTTTTAGCATATTTTTCATTACTATGCCCTAATTCATGTTAAAATTCAGTGTGTCCTGTTTCCTTGACTCCAGACATTGCTCCTTGAAGATGCAGATCTGCTGAAAAACAGTACTCTCTAAAAAGTAAACAGTTTCCCTTACTCTCAGACTAACATTAAAAAACAGTCTCTCAAAAGTTCTCAAAGGAACATGTTTAAAAATGAATGGGTAGACATTTGTCTTTGTAATGGATAGTGTATTTTTAGGTAGTATAAATTTTATAGAAGTCATAAAGTTTTATGAACTTTAACAAATGTCCTTCTCAGAATAACTTGGGTCTTACTGTCAGTATGTTATCTGGGAAAAGGCGACCAGATCTGTTCCTAAAAGTGAGGAATTTGCAAGTGGGAGGTTACTTAGGTTTGGGAAGAGAGTTTAAACTCAATCCTTTCAACGCCTGCATAGGCAATGCAGCAAAACCAGTTGTGTGGCTTCAGCATTCTTTTGGTTTTTCTCTAAAACCCAATAAACCTCTGTACCAGGCAGGATTTGTCTTCTCTTGCAGGAATTTGTCTCCCTTTCTTGGGACAAATGTGACCTGCTCACTAGTCCCATAAGCTACAAGTTACTTGAGCTGAACTTGAGGAGAAAAGGTCCCTGGACTTGCTGTGTCCGTGTCCCACGTGCTGGCACCCAGCCCTCAGGTGAGCCTGCACTGAGCTCAAAATCCTCCAGTCACCTTGAGGTGCACACTGAAGGTAATTGCAGCAGAGCCAGGGACACAGCCCATATGACAATTACTGGTTCAAAGCCCATTCCATTTATGGATCGATCCTGCCCTGTGATCCCGTGCAATGACACAAGCTCTGTGTCAGCAGGAACTGGGAAGCAATGAGTTTTACCCTTTCTTTCCCCTGTTAACTTTAAACTGTTGACACGGTGCTAAATTCAGTGCGCTGAAGGTGTTTCCATGTGTCACTTCTAATAGGATACAGGTGTCAGACAATTTGAGATTATTTCAAACCTAATTTTCTTAGAGTGAAGATACAAACAGTTACACCAGAAGCAGATGTTGGGCCTTTCTCACCCCTCCAAAATGTGGTTTGGCATCCATCCAGACCGAGTCTGTAGGGAAAAAGAGAAAATTACATTTAATTTTGGCTTGCTTGGTTTCCTCCTTTCAAAATCTTCATGAATGTGCAATAAAAAAAAAAAAACAACAACCCATCCCTTTTCCTTCTGCTTACACAGGGACTAAGGATCTTGTTGCAAACAGATGGAGTACAGGCAGGTTGGGCCATGAATGCTTTTCCACCTCCACACCATCGCTATATGGTCCAAAATGTGGCATAAAATGCTGTATTTTCCTTTTTGCCCTCTTAGCCCTGGCTCTGTCACTGATTGTCTAGTGCACTGATGTTGAACTGACAGCTGGGAAGCGGAGGGGGAGGAAGGACAGTGCCTAGACCACCCACTCGGGGCCCTGACTCTGCTCCACCTCCGCTGACCTACCTGGGGGTGGGCACTGGGACTCAGGAGAGAAGCCCCAAGAGCATCTCCTTCCCTCTGCCTTCAAGCTGCCAGGATTTTCCCTGGACTGCAGCACAGCCTCAGCTATACCCAGGGATACAGAAGCTGCATCACTTGCCGGCGCTGGGCTCTCTCTCCTGAGGGCAGTACGTGTTCTCCATCAAGGGGGTCAATGAGTTTAGTTACACTTCATCAGAACTCTTGTAGGTGTCAGGAAAACTGAGCTCATAATCCTGGTATTACAGCCTTGTGGGAAAGAAGACCCTACTCTGAGGTTTGCCACGTGAATTTTGGGTTCTGCTGCTCAAACACCTCTTTCTGCAACTGCCTTTAGTAAAGGAATCTTGTGACTATAAATCCCACGTGTGTGACAACTGTATTTAAAGCTGAATTACCAAAAAATGCTCCAATTTCAAGGGTTTTTGGCATCAGTATTTGTTGGTCATTCAAATGCTACTGAACAGCAAATCCTTTAAGAGTGAAGAGCCATAAATGTACCCTGGGAAGTGAGGGAGCAACATATTTGTATCATCCAGAGGAGGAAGGGCACGGAGTCCTTCCACACCCGGTGAGGACTCCATGGGCTGGTGAATACAAAGGGAACAGTGAGCAGATGGTGGACAGGAGGCACTAATGCCACTGCTGGTCTCCTGGGGTCGCTCCAGATTGCACCAGGAAGGGTCTCCAGGTGGCTCCTGCTGAGGAAGGTGGGTGAATATGATCAATAGAAGGCATCAAGTGCTGGCTTGCGAATCAAAGGCACAACTGTGGAAATGCCAGTCTGCACATGGGGTTTGACTGAGCTGCCAGGAAGTTATCCAGAGGCACTGGAAGACCAACCCGGTAACAGGAAATGAATGAAAGCATTTCTGAGCGGATCCTGGGCTGTGAGTGCCGCTGGGGGTATTTGTACAGGCAATTCACCCCATTAAGGGGCTGCTCAGATGTCACAGATTAGCCACTGCCAGCACCAGTGACCTTTCTGCACAGTGCTTTAAGAACAAAAAGATGGAAATTCCCATTTTCTAAACGTGGTCCAAAAAAACCCCTCTGTGCTCTTGTTAAAGCAGCTGCATTGAAGAGGAGTGATTAGAACTGGCCTGCTTTTTTTTTTAGCTTGCACCTGTCTCTCATTCCACAGCTGAGGACACACTGAAATCTGCTTCCCTATAGGCCTGGTCCTGCCTGAGCTTCAGGTGGTAATTAAATTCATCATCATCTACACCTATTTCCACTTAACCTCTTGAGGGGAAGAGCCACCTGAACACCAGCAGTTGCTGGAACTTGCAGGAGTGAGGCACCCACAGGGAATAGAAGCTCTCCCATTTCTCCATCTCCAAAAGGGTGAGACTCTTTTTGGTTTTCATTCTTACAGAAGTTGAGGGCTTGCAAAGGATGGGGGTCAGTTTTGAGCAGAGTTTTGTGTCAATCTCTCAGGAAGGTTTTTGATTCTTGATTATTTTGCTTGGGTAGTTCTTACACACTGGTCTCACCCACCTTTGGAGCTGAAGTTTCTCCATATTCCCTCAGGTTCTTTTCACCTATGAACATGCACAGTGCCAGGAGTTTAAGAACTAATGGCTTCAAAATTGTCGTTATTAGCATTTTTTGTAATTCAAAACTATTCAGTTTTTGTGCCTGTAAAATGTGATGGATGCCTGGGAACTGACTGGCAATATATAAGCAAATTAGTCTTTGTACAGTAAGTCAGACATCCCACATAATCTGTATTTCTGGGGAAGAAAATGTCAAAGTAGAACTTGGGATTGTTTTGTGACAAGGTGCTGAGGCAAGGCAGCAGGATGCTCACCGAAAATTACTAACCAAAAACATGCATAGCCCTAAAACATGTCAAAACAGGGTAAGAATAACACATTATTGTCATATAAAATGCTGCTTCATCTTGGCCCAAAGTGTCACAACAGGTTTTATCACGTGGCAATTAGGTACAAGGCTCTTAAAAAAGATTAATTTTCCAAGGGAGTTGTACCTATTTCTTATGTAGACTAATTTTACTGTTGTCGCCGACTGCTTGAAATAGGAATAAAATTAGATTTTCAGAATAATACTTTTTCAGGCAAATGCATTTAATGTGAACAATATCCCCCAAAATGGCTTGCCACAGAATTAAAACCAAACTAAACAAGAAATTTAGGAAATATTTTTAAAGAAATTTTAGAAAGATGCCACATTTAGTGAGGTGGGCTTCTTTGCCTTCTAAAAAAAGTTATTAATGTATTTTTCTTCTATAAAAGTGAGGCACTCATAAGGGTTTTTTTTATTTCAAGGCAGTACTGGAACTTTGTGTAGTTTGATTCCGATTGCATGATGGAAAACGACTACTTTTGGCATTCTAATCAGCTAGTGAATAAATTCCCTAAAAAGTGGGGATACGAACCAGAAAATGTTATTCATTAATTTTGTTTATGGTTATTTAATTTTAATTATAATACTTTAAAGCCATTTAAATCTGCAACTCCATCATGTGTAAGTTAATGTGGCACGTTTTGCAGAAATAATCAGGGCCTGGTAATCCAGATCACCACAGAGCCCATAATTAAATCTTTGATGAGAGATTCAAAGTGATTTTTAAATGTGCACGTGGCTCATAAAACACTTGAGAAAAGCTCTACTTTTGTCATCACGACTTCACAAATGTTTCTCTGGCATTGCCCAGGTTTAATGTCTATTCAGATTCAAAATAGAAATGTTTGTAATTGAGTAACTGCCTTGTAAATAAATATTGTCCGTAGGTAGGAAAACAAATTAATTCTCACATCAGTTTTCCTGTGCAAGGAAGATGTTCATCCTCCTGCCCCTCTGACAGCACAAAAATGGGGTGCAAAGGGGCAGTTTGGGTTGGTCTTTGTTTTCTGGAATCATTTCCTTGTAATTGAATTCCATGTTTGAGACGCTGCCCCATGTTACAAGATGGGAGCTCAGGGTTTCCAGTGATAACAAAGGTGCCTGCAGGCAATTAGAGACCTCGGGGTTTTAGGAGTCTGGTCACTAAAATATGTTACAGCTCAAGGCATTGTTTAACAATCCGAGTCTCTTCCAGCTGTGAAACACTCCCATCATCAAGTAGGTCTCTGGGACTCCCTCAGGAACGGCAGGCTCTGGATCTCCAGCTGCTCAGAACAAAAATAAATCTCTTTGAACACTTATTTGCCGTCACGTTGTGTGAGGACTTAGAAAGGCTGAAATATTTTAATCGTTCGTCTCCATTCATCAAATCTTGTCGTTCCTGACAAAACTCCAAAGTGGTTTCAGCTGTGGGTTAGTTGTGGCTGACACCAAACTCTGTGCACGGAGATCAGCGTCGTGGTTAAAAGACGTGCCACACACAGGCCGTGCCTCTGGAACCGGAGCAATTCCTGCCCCTGCAGAGACACCGCACCACAGCTCCTTGTTCCTTATGCTCCTGGCTGTCACAGAGGGATAACAGCAGAACCCCAGTAGCTATTGATCACCAGCCTCTCCTAACCAGTATTGGAATCTCCTTCATTAATGGCCACCAGCCTTTGCTACTGACACATGGTGTTTGTTATCGCTGCTGTGGTAACACAGAAATATTCATGCACAGGTTTGGTTGGGATAATTTCTTAATGACAAACTCAACAGAACCTGTAGGTCTTGACTTCACCAGGGTGCAAAGAAAACCTGTTTTCCCTCTCTCTTTTCTGAGCTGCTTGTTATAAAGTGGGAACTGGGTTTTTTTGGTTTTTTTCTCTAGATTTTTAAATGTTATTGCTGACCTAAAGAGAAAGGGAATAAAAAAATCAAGGGAATTTGGCTGTAGTTTAAACGTTCTTTGACCTCTTCCTTGCTGGTACTGAAAAACAATGCCTTGAGCTGTAACATTAGATAAATTATTATATATACTTAAAAACATTAGGTAAATTATCAACAATTGTGCTGCACAACTTGGAGGTGAGTTCTTACAGACTTAAAGGCTTTTAGGTTGCCAAGTATTTCCAAAGGGACTCCAACATATTTCATTACACTGGTTTTTCCTTATGTGTTCCTCCTTTTTTTATAAGCCCTGTTTTGCTTCTCCCAGCCTTCCATCCTTCCAGAGCAACCCAGAGCCCTTCAGTGCCACACTTGTGATGTTGGACTGGTTTGGAATGTGCAGTCAGCAGAAGGGAAGGTGGGAGCACATGGGAAAACACACTGCATCTCCCTATGCAGAGATATCCCAAGTGTGCACCTCAAAGGAGGAGCAGTTCATTGCTGGCCAATCCCATGGCTATTGCATGAACACCCTCATCATTCTCTGCTCTTCTGAGAGATAAACTTCCCTGGACTTCAGGAAAACTTCACATCAGCGCTTCTTAATATCCTCTATCAGAGGCACAAAAAGCCCTCAAATTATTTAGGGAGAAAAACCTTATCCCACTTCAGAGACAAGATAACCTGTGGAGGTGCAGAGCTTAGATTGTCTTCCCAAATGGATACAGCATGGGAATGAGGAATCAGAGGTAGTGCACAAGAGTTATTTTGGAGGGGTTTTGTTTTCTTTTGAAGCACGAGCCAAAACCCCTTGCAGGCTCCTGTGGAAACGTTCACATTAACATCAGTTCTTAATTTTTCTGGGTTTTGGATCTATTTGATGAAGGACAGAGAATAATGTTGAAATTGCTATAAAATGTTAAAAATGTTTTGACCTGCTCTTGAATTTTTATATATGTTTTTTTAAGCTCTGTGGTTTTGACTATTGTTTTATTTATGCCCATAGCTGTAAGTAGGGATAATAACCTGGGCAGTGCTGCAGTGGCCCTGCTGACTTCACCTTCTTTATCAGTACAGTTTTCCACCAAATTTTCTGTAGCTTCTGAGATTTTTGTTTAATTATTCTCTTCCAGAGAATATTTTTCCTGTAATGCTATTTCCAAGGGCTTTCTGTCTGATTTATTTTCTGTTTTCAGGACTCAGTGAAGCAGAAAACCAAAAGTTAGTCTTCAGTGGTTGGGGAAAATCCTGAAAGTTGGCGGAGGTGGTCTCCGGATGATCCAGCCCAGTTTTTCCAGGACGAGGGAGCAAAGAGCTGGCAAGTGCAGGTAGGCTTCCTGCACTGAATGTGCTGAGAAATCACCCTCACAAACGCATTCCAGCTTTGGCAGTGCTCAAGTAATGGCTGTTGCTGCTCCAGGGAGGAAATAATTAAAGCCATTTCTTGACTCTGACAGTTTGATACCGCTGGTTTTCAATAGCAAATTACCAACATCTGTACAGCAAAATGCAGCTACTGCAGCAATTATTGAGCGGGGCTGACCACAGAGGTGCTGGAATTGTTCATTTGCTGCATGTCCCCTCCTCAGATGTGACCCACAACTGAGACCTGAGCTACACACGATGGCAAACTGGGTCTCTTGTGTTAGAAATGTAAATGAAACCATATGGAAAGATGAATATTCCGTGAAAACCCCAGTGGCAAATGCATCAAAGGCAGAAAATGAAAGGCTGGAAAGACATCTGAATGGCTTTCTTAATTATGCAACAATTTCAAGTTTCCAGAGCAATTCAGAAGTAAAATTTGTACAATTCATTCAATTCCACAAAAATTGTGGCTTTTCATTCCCACATACTGTTATAACTGTTTTGCATAGTAAACATACAGAGTGTGACTGTGCAAGCTGAAAACTCCCATCTAGGCCCACAGCAAACAGCACAGCACTGCAAATTTTCACTGCTGGTGAAAGAAAAAGGTAGCAGAGAAGTTAAATAAGCTCTGTATATCCCTAACTCAAATATTTGATTTTAAAACACTAGCTAGAAAAGGTAATACCAATCTGAGCAGGAATGAGAGGCTGCGAGATGAAATATGTTTCTGAGAGAGAAGTGCTTTGGGATTGATAATAAAAATACTGCCTTATTTCACTGCTTTTGTTGTAACTACGTGTCTGTCAGGGTTTTATATTATAATCCACTTTGGTCAGGGATTTACTGATGTGTAAAACTTGAGTTTAGTTTGTAAATTGGCACTCTGTCTTCAGCTCCGTTTCACTGTTATTCAAGCTTCTGAACCCGATCAAGGCATAGTATAATTTCCTATAAAAATATGCAGTAGTTTTAAATTAGAGCTTCAAACTTCAACAATCTTTTGGGTGGCCTGATGGGGGATAAAAATAGCTTGTACACCTACCAGCTGATAACTGAGAGGCTTTAAAATAGATTATAGTCTTCATGGCCCTAATCAGCTAACTAGGTGGTGGCAAAAGTTACCTACAGACACAGCTTAATTAAACCCTTACTTTCCTTTAGAGAGGAGAGAAACATGCTTGAAGTCCTAGGAATTCACAGCATGTTTGTCAGAGTTAGATGAATTTAATTTAGATATTGATATGCAAGTGCCAGTCAACCTAATAATGCATTGAATTCATTGTACACAGGTATATCTTGAAGAGAGCATCTCATTACAATGATGTATTTTAATAATTATTATACTGCAATTTTCAGTCCTCCCTGCAAGCAGAGTATTGTGCAGGTTATGGTCAGATGGTGACTAACCAGTCTCCATCATGCAAGTCCTCCTTGTAAACCTCAAGCAATGCAGGCCATGACATTTTGGGTGGTAGTACAAAATTCAAGTGCTGTGCAGAGGAATTAAATGGAAACTAAGTAGACTGGGAAATCTTTGTGCAGTTTTGAAGAGAGATTCTGCTCTGTATTCAGTCAGATGTACATTACAGAGGAGAAAACAGCTCTTAGAACTCACTCTTGATCTTCATTTGACACGAGTGTGGGCAGAGCAAGCCAAAGTATTATATTCACATCAGTAACGCCCCGAGCCCCTGTGATGAGTTATTGCAGTGAGACCCCCATGAATCAATATTGATTGGCCACTTACTTTAAGGCTACTTAATTAAAACTAACAGGATGGCACAGCTCCCAGGGAAATCCACAGTGCTGTGATTTATGAGTGTGCCTGGGAGAAAGGGGGAAGGACAAGGTGTAACAGTTCTCTTTATTTTGCAGTTGAGATCTTTCTCCAGTGAGGGTAAATGAACTGTTTAAAAAGAGCAACTGGATGAGGGCAATAAATAAACTAGAAGGGCTGTTTTGGCAGTATCTTGGCTGTTAGAGAGGAATTCTGGCTTCTTACCAGGGTACCTGACTGTCCTATTGCATATGAATGTCATCCAGAGCATCCAGCATGAAGCTCTCTCATGTTAATGAGAGAAGAGAATTATTTCCCTGTAACTGGGGTTGGAGCGAGCACAAGTTGCATCACTGTTCTGTCAGGTTTTCATTTCTGCTGAATGTATTTAGTTCCACAATTATATCACATTTCAGCTATTTATTCACAGTATCAAAATCCGGGGGAGTCCACCAAGCTGTCTTGAAGTGTATTTTTTCCTAGAAATCTACGTAATCTACTCCTTATTTTTACCTATGTCTCGATGCTTTGAGGAGCAGTCGTTTATTTTTTGTCAGGCTGGTTTAGGCAACAAGTTGTACTTTCTCTACCAGCCCTGTGAACTGTGTGTGTTTGTTTGACCAGAGTCATGCGTGAGATGCAGAGAATCCAACCCACTGTGTCACTAACGAAACCCTGGGGCTTTGCACCTCCAGATATTCCTGTTTCTCAGTGGCCAGTGGACAGAAAAAGTAAGGAAAATCCCACACAATGAATGCCATAAGGAATTGTTTCTCATCTGCTCATATTTGCACAAAAATAAATATAGGGAATTATGCCTTTAAAAGCTGAAGCCTTTGAATTGTGCTTAGCAGGCAGAAGTCGAGAAGTCACTTGCAACAGAACTGGGTTTGTTTTTTATCAGCACTTGCAATATCCTGAATCTCTGCTTGCTATTGCAAACAGTTTGGTGAGGGAGCAGCTGAGATGCCAGAGGACAATGTATCACTCCCTGAGGGGAACCTCTTGGACACTGTTAAGATAAAGGCAAGAACAGCACAGGGAAGTGTGATTTCGGCAGTGAATTGATTTCTTTATATTTCTCTCAGAGCAAGAAACAAACCTGAGAAAATATTTTTTTACATCTGATGCTAGAAGAAACCAAACTTTTTTTCGTCTCCTTATTGTGCTAAATGATAATTTGTGTTTTGTGAACATTCTAAATGAACAGTTACTGTTTCTAGAGGATTTTACTGATAATGTTTGAATTGAATTAATGCTCTTGGCTGAAATCATCCACTCATTTTTTTTTTTAGTGTTGTTTAGGTGTATTAATTTCCAAAGACTGGCAGACATCAGTTCTCTGTATTCAAAAGACTGAATTTTTGAAGGTTTTGAACTTTAGAAGCTACAGAACTTGCTGGTTAAAGGATTTAATCTTGGAGTTTTGTCAGGAGTCTGAAAAATTGTGCTTTGTTTCTTGAGTTGTCCATAAGGGACATCAAATTCTCCCAACAAACACATATTTGTAAGGAGTTCTTGGGAATGAGAAGTATTTTATTTAATATAGAGTTTTCTTCACAAAATTATTTGAACCAGTTGCTTTCTCATTCTTACCCTTCCTTCATTTTCTTCGTCATGCTTATGGCATCACTGTTAGGACTCTTGGAGGGATGGTGGCTCTGACTTTTCAGGGAAGTTTTCTTTTGAAAACTTTCTCTTTGAAACTTTTCTTCTCCTGGTATTTCAGGAAGGACTATGGTACAGTTGCTGGGAGAAAGAGTGTCCATGCTTTCCCAGATATTGGCATAGAGATTTAACTGGGCAGAAGCCCCCAGACTCTTGTGTGGGTGAGCACGTTGCTGGCTTGTGATCTGGTGTTAGCACAGGCAGCGCTAGCAAACTGCAGTACCTGCTGGGGTGTTTCCATCTCCTATTAAAAGTAGATTTATATAAAGTAATATTTCTCTGCACTGCCATCTAGTGAAGTTACCACGCTCTGTAAAGGCTTTGAGACTCTGGGCTGAGCGTTCTAAGAGTGAACTGTATCTCAGGGGCACACAGGGCTTGGTGCACAAAACAGAGTTCAGTGCAGAGCAGCTGGTACTGTCCTGAGGGTAACAGCAAATATTACACAATAAGTGAGATACAGTAGATGTAATGATTGTGACAGAGAGAGCCAAAAGGGTTTACTCATGTTATCAGAGGAGCAGGAGTGACTGGCAAAGCACAGATTCAAAACACTGAGTTTTAAATAAAGCAAGAATCAAATCTCTGCAGCTGCTGGAATGGTCCAAGTTCAGGCTTTTTTGGTAGGAAGTACCCAGGTTTCCTGGGGTCTGTATCTTCAAGCCCACGGAGTGATGCCAACCAAAATCCTCACTGGAGTTCTTTGGCCTAGAACTTGAGTGACAGTTTTTAAAACAAGCTTTTGAGACTCTCAGTGATGCCCAGGTTGTGTTGGGAAACTCCCACTGTGAGTGTGCTCTGACTGATGGGATTTGCTGCTCCAGTGCTGGGGTGGGCACCTAACGGGGTCCTGCTGTGAGCAACGTTCCACCTCTCCATTTCTGCTTAGCTCAATGAGATTGATTTTGTTTAAAGATCCTTGGCTATTTTTGGAACACACAAGTAGGTCAACCCATTGTTTCCTGATAGTGGAAATAGCTAAAATAGGACACACAGCTCTGAAATCATTACTCTCTCTTCATGGATCATTCAGTGAGCAAAATCTCTCGTAATACTCCTGTGAAAGTCGTCTTAAAATCCGAAGCTGTTCCCAATGCAAGTTGAAAATGGACATAATATTAATATGGTTTAGAAGAACTAAAAACTCAAGACAAGTGAAAACCAGATCCCAAATTTTGTGAGTTATCCCTCAACCATAACTGAATTAAGCATTATCTTAAAACATAAATGAAAGATGAGTTTATATTTTAAGTCGGGGTTCACTTCTAAAGTTTTTGGTTCCGGGCAGGACCCGTACATGCACAGACTTGCTGTATTTTCCAAAGCTGTGGAAAAGAAGTGAAGCAAATTGGTCATCTGGCAAATAAAAGACAAGTGCAGGGTGGAATAAGTTTCTGATTATTATTTATTTTGGAGTGAACCCTATTTTAAGGTCTTTCATTGAATTGTGTCATAAAGTGTAAATTACAGAACAAGATTTTTTAACTTTATTTGTTAAAGTGTTTGAGAAATCCATGAGCCTTTGAAAAATCTGGAGCTTGTAGTTCTGAATGAGTTTGCTATATTCAGAAATTGGAGCCATATTTAAAGAAAAGAAAAATCCTTTATTTTACTGAAGAAAGGCTAAATAGGATTGAGCTGTAGCCACTACCCCCCTGAGCCAAGCTGACTGACTGAGAGGAGCTGTTCTACCTGTCTCTTGAGGCAATGAATTACTGTCTTCTAAATAATCTCAGAATGCCAGGGCAGCCAGACAATGACCATGCTGGGAATTATAAGTAAGCAAACACTTTGGTTCATTGGCAACTGCACTGCTGATTTTTTTTCCATTTAATTTCCAACCAAATTGCATTTAAGCTTCTTTGTTCAAGGAGTTCCCTTCCCGAGTTAGACACAGTTAGGTTTGAATGCTTAATTGCCTGTTGTCACAATACTTACAATTCATTTTTATTGGAAAAATGCAGTCCTGAGTGGAAAACTTCAACCAGTACAGTTTGTTTATTTGCAGTTTCCTCCAAAGTGTTGCAAGGGGGGTTGGCATAGGGAGAATCTGGTTCCTAAGCAGCCCTGTTATAAACAAGCAGCTAAAAAAGTACATTAGGGACTTAGAGCTGTTAAATGCATTATTGTTCTTAATTCTGTGCTGTAAAAATGTTCTGTTGAAAGGATGAATCCAGCTGATCAGGTATGTGAATACTGAGCTATGCAGAACTGCTGCAATTGGGTTTGATAAAACAAAAGTTTCTCATTCTGTCAGTAACTTGAATACTGTCCTATTTCCACACAGGAAAAAAAGGTAATAAAAAATGAGACATCAAAAGTAATGAGACATCGAGAGTAACCTTTAAATAGTTTTCCAGTGAAAAATATATGGATTTTACTGCTAGCTCAGGCTAACATGTAGTATCTGCAGAAATGGCTTGTTTTCAGTCAAACCTCTCTAATCAGGTGTCAGAACAGGGTTTTGTTGTTTGGTTGTTGACTTTGCTTTTCTTGGAAGACATCCTGGCTGTTATATCCTCTCTTTCCGCTCTCCAGCCAGGTAGTAATTGTATTCCACCTTGTACACAGGGTTTCCACTACGTGTAAAAATAGTGCACATTAAAAAAACGTTGGGAGAAGGGAGAAAGATGTAAGTTAGACACTGCAGGTCATCCTGTCACGTAAGAACAGTGTCAGGCCCAATATCCACCTCACTCCAATCCCTGTATCCTAAAACCACCAGGAGGGAATACCTTAGGAATAAGAATTCCCAAGCAAATAGTGATAAAAGTAAAGGCTCCCAGGGAAACTTATTTGCAGCCCACCTGTCTTAGACTCTCCTGGTGGACATCACTGAAAAGTAATGTTGTAACAATCACTTCATATCGGTCGAGAAGAGCAGAGCTCGTCAGCAATTTATTACTGTCCAAGTTTATTTACAGTTCTATTTTTCTTTCCATTTACTGAAAGAGTGAAAGGATTAAGTGAAATATTTTTACAAAACAAATGAGTGGTTTTTTCCAGGAGGAAGGCAGAGGGATACTGCTAATAAGGACAGATTCCTTTGATGTCAGGCCTCATGCTGCATAAACTTGGTGGACCCATCATTTGTCCTTGTCATCTCGTAGGGTCTTTTGGCTCAAGGCCAAACAATTGATATAGTAGAGAGCTTCCAGCTAAAACAACAGCCTCTGCATCTTTATCTTCCCATCCATCAGATGGCTGGTGGAAGATAGGGCTAATTTGTCACTCTACCCACGTGGAAAAGTTTGATAAATGGTTTAATTAGACCTTTTTCTTTGTGGTTTTTTTGTGGGTTTTTTTTTTAAAGAAATCACATTTCTTGAGAACTAGAGGTTGGGAAAACAATGGCTAAGGATTGAATTAGAAAAGGAAAATATTTTTTCTTCAGTAAAGATGAGAGCAAACACAACCATTACACAAGTGGGAAGAGTACAGTTGGTGGGAAGGAGTTTCAAGGGAAAAAAACCAAACCACCCTAACACACAAATACTCTGTGAGCTGTGCAGTTACCCAGAGATAGTGCCTACTCCACTCCAAGCCAGAACTTGGCTTGAAATCTCATGCTTCAGTTTTGGGACAGAGGGAGGCTGGTCCAAGGCCATGTGCAAATCTTCTCCTCATGGGTCAAGGACTCAGCAAGTCCAGATCCCAGTTTAGAATGTTCCTGCTCAGGACATGCTAAAGGTAAACATGAATTTGCATTTTCTTATTTTCTCGAGGTAGTTTCGTTGCTTATGAACCTACATGGGTTAAAACCATTGGTTTTGATGTTTTCCAAACTTTCAGCCAGAAAAAAGGGAGGAAGAAACCGAGTAAAGTTCTGGTCTCAACCATTGTTTCACCCACCATGTTTGGACAATTATCCTCCCATTTTGCATGCATAATTGTGGCATGTATTCCCATATGTGGTGGATGTGTCTGTGACAGCTGCAAATCTTAAGTTAGATATGTCCAGTCTTTGTATTTCTAATCATCTTTTTATGTAACTGTTTCATTTGGGTCACCAAGGGAGTATATTTCTCCTTTCTCTGGTCTGACATAAATTAACAAAGCAAAAGACAAACTGCATCCTCCTTTTTTTTGATAAACTGTCCAGAAATTGGATGTAATTCAGAAATAATTTAAAAACTCTTTAACCTCTAGGCAGAAACCTATAATAGTGAGGGAAAGACAAATATTTTTCAATTAAAAAGATTTAGAATCCCTTTCTCTGTAGAACACTAATCTGAAATGACACTGAGGGGTAATAGGCCTGGTATTAGTGCTTCCCCAAGGAAATGTCTTATCTTTTGCACTAAATTAACTGTGTCTTTCTCACACATCCTAAAGCTGTCAGTTTGGGCATTTTGTGTAAGGAAGCTTCTGATTTAAAGTTTCTGAGAAGAAAGGCAAAACAAATGTGTTTAAACAAGAATGACCTTTCGTGCCCAGTCTCCACAGCCCGTTCTGAAGAGGATACACATTAACATTAAATCATTAGCACTCCTGGAAAATCCACAGGGACAGGCTGTGGGAGAAGCCCCTGTGTGGGTCAGATCCTGGAGGCGAGATGTGTAACTGCAGCACATGCCAGGAGAAAGTGATGATGGACTGGGATAACACTGGGGCCTGGCAAGGGCATCCAGCACAGCTACAACCAGAAATGATCCCTCCTGACTCCTTGGTGGCCTGAGACCAAATAATCACAATGCAAGTGCCACGTTGGAAGGGACACCTTTAATAAAACAGGGAAAAATGGTGTAACAAGGCATCTCCTGCTCCCATGGGCAGTGTAATGGGGATGGTGGAGCTGTCCATGCACGCAGTCTGGGCCCAAGGCAGGAGCTGCCCACATCCCATGTGAAGTGAAGATAAATTGTACCTGCAGCTTTAGATCTTCACTAGGAAACCTGATTTATCTAACTGCAGAATCTAAAAGTTCAGCAGTGTTACCACACAGTGAGGCGTGAAAAGTGCATTTACAGGATTATTTTTTGCATTGGAGGGAAAAGAAATGAAGCATTTTCTTCTGTATAAGAAATGTCTTGGACACGAGGAAAAAAGGATTATTTCGATCCCTGTGTTACTGATTTGCTATTTTAAAGTAAGTGAATATATCCAATATGTTTGACTATATATTAAAAGTAAGAACTGTCAGAAATAAAACTTGCTAAGTCTAGAGTAATTCTTTTTGATTTAGAGCCAGTTGTGGATATTAATATTTTAAATGAATTCAATATGTTTTGAATTGCTTTGCCACTTGGTTTACTTGGAAACTAAAACCATTTGTAACAAAACAGCTCAACGGCTTCTAAGTCAAACCAGTGTGTGAGAGCATGTGAAACTAACACTTCAGACCATCAAAAAAGAAACTTGTGGATTATATAAATGACAATGATTAGAAACCAGACCTAAAACTCTACAGGTACTTGGAAAAGAAAAATAATTCTCCACATTTTCACCTTATGATTTACAATAAGGTGCCTTTTTTCCCCCCCAGTCTTTTTTACTACACACAGAATAGGCTCAGGTACTTTTTTACAGGCACATTTAATACTAATAATGTGCATTTTAATATTTAGTACCATTTGCAAAATGAAGCCTGCTTTTAGTTTTGTTTATTCATACAGTCACACATCTTTAGAAGAACCTGTGAGTAGAGGTGAACAGCCCCTAACCCGTGCCAACCCCTGTACAGAAATCATGTCTAGCAGTCACTCCTAAGACATGAAATGAAGCAGGCTTTCAATACTTCACCTTACAGTAGAGTGAGTTTTATTCAAACCAAACTCTTCAAGTGTTTTATTTAGACCCTGAGCTGAAATGAACTCTGTAAAATGCTTGCAAAATAGACTTTTCAACACAGGTTTTCAAAATGATGCCTTCATTTTTATGCAGTGGCAAAGGTTGCACTGAACAGAGGGCAAACAGCAGCAAAGGACCTGATTTACTGAAGAGTAAAAAGCTGCCCAAATGGATCCCAGGTGGAGTTCAGTCCTGAGCAAAGACTTCAGGATTCGGTCATAGTGCTGACCACCATTGTGTCCACTACATATTATTAAGAATTAAATTAACTACATTTTCTTTTCAATACAGATTCCAGTTGCTCCTGGAGTCACAGAAAAGGGAAGAGGAAACACCGGGATGAGGGGATATAAACCCACGTGCAGGGACATGAAGCAGAGGACCTGTATGTACTGAAAGTGGTTTATATATGTGTGCTCTGATCTTTAAATGTAACCCTAATGCTTATCACGAGTTAGTAATTGCTTACCAGAACCAGACTGGCCTTTCAGTGTAGCATCAAACTCGAGGCAATGAGGGCAGCATGAAAAACAGCTTCGAAGTTGTCAATGCCTTGGACTCCTTTGCCTTTTCTTTGCCTGTAGAACCAGAAATGAATGTATTATCCTTTCAAACTGCTTTGATAAATCTCATTCCCTTTAGCATTAAACATTCCTGAACATTTTTATGTCTCACTGAGCTCTTTCAAACAAACATAAATTAATTCTCTAGCTCAACATTTATTCCCATATAAGACCTAATTCCCCTTGTCTTGAGTGTTATCCTTGTCATGGTCATTTGTGCAGAGTGACTTACTTACTCTTGCACCTGCTCTGACATGGCTTATCTGAAGCCATTCTCCATTATTCCTCTTTGCTTTTCTGACAAACCACTCTGTCAAACCTATATATTTACACAAGGAGCACCCCAGTAAACAGTTCATGTGCAATATTCAGTATTTGTGTAGTAGCTGAGAGGAGGGAAGCTGCTGACAAAGTGCATGAAGGTGATACAGACTTGATAGAAGGTGAGGTTTTTGTCCCAGCAAATCTTTGTAAAGAAATCAGTGCTCAGGAAGAAGGAAGGAATGATCCATCCCAGCTCAGACAGAGCCTGAAGCACGTGTATATTCATTCAATAATTCCTCTTTTCACGTGTAATCTTAAGTTATATGTCTTAGTGATGTAGCAGTCCTTGAATGAGTGAGATGGCACACCAGATGACATGACAAAAATATCAAGTGAACAAGAAGGAAAGCACAATTTGTGCTTCAGGGTATGACTATTTCAGAAAGTCCCTGCTTCCTCCTCCTTGTGTGTGCTGTGTCATATAAACAGACTATAAATTCTTCTATGATAAAGTGCAGTTCTGAAGTGCTGAGGTGCAACAGAGAAAACCAATCTGCATTAAGATACAACTGATTTGTCTCTTACACTTGACCTGCTGTTTGGCTGCTGAAGAGCCATCCTGTAATCGGACATGTCAAATTACCCCCTCATTTCCTTTAGCCAAGGGAAGCTGCTAAAGGAGGGCTCTGCCATACTCAGTTTAATTGAGATGATCATCCAAATGCACAGATGTTTATTCCACTCTCCTCCAGTGAAGGAAGTGGGACTCTATGGCTGTGACATTTCCAGGACTCTGGACAGGGCAGGATCCATGCAGAAGTGCTCTCCCTTGCACTGCAGTATTGCTGCACTGTTGGAATTAACTCAGCTCCGGTAAGGAGGCAAAAACTGAGGGAAAATGTTGTCAAGTAGCCTGCAAAATATTTTTTCTCCAAGTGACTTGATTTTGTGACTCATGTGTGAAGTTTACGTTATCTGCTGTTCTATTCCAATTGATATGTACATTTCTAACTCGCGTGTTGTATTTTTGCATATTATGGATCTAATTAAATCTGGAAGCAGATAACTAATTCCAAATGAAGTTAGACAGAGGTGACCTATAGTGTTAAACTTCAGTGTTTTCATATATTAGTTTCCTATTAGATTTCATATACTAATTTTAGAATTTAACAGTGCCAGTGACTTTATACTTAAGAGTTATACCCTGCCATTGGTGCATTTTAGCTAGTTATAAATTCAGTCAAATTCCTATTCCATCTATTACCAGCTCAATGCATTATACAGTAAAACTGACCTCCTAAACCTTCCCAGGTAAAACAACCAAACAAAGGCTGCTGAAAGCTCTAAATATCTAAAATGGTTTAAGTGTCCTTTAAGAAACTTCTTTCCAGTGCCTACATACATCTGCCCCCATTATAACTGTATTTTGGGGGGAGAAAAAAACCCACCATTTGGGAACTGTATTTCCTCAGGTAACATTGGTAAAACACATAAAATTCCTCTTGTTTAGGCCAATGTAAACTTGTGAAATCTGGAGGCTACTATGAAACATTTATAAAATTGCAATCCTGCAAAGGCCTTTGCGTGGTGAATGCCAGAAGTACCACCGTGTGCAGGACATATTTTTAATATTGATAAAAATGGAAAAAACCCCATAAGCTCAGCCAAATCTGTGTTCCAGGCTTGGACTGTGACCACTGACAACCTCTCAGCTACACGAGGAGTTCAAGGAGTGCACCACAGTTTGTCAGTGGCTCCCATGTACCTCTTGCTGCCTCATGTCTGAATGTCACCTTCCCAACTCTTCTGTGTGGTAAGGAGTGATGAAATGTTAGTTTAACAGGGAAAACTGAGTTTCAGATATACGAGCACTCCTCTGTTTCCTGTATTTCCTCATACAATGAAGATATGATCCTGATTTCAGGACTAGTGATATCTCACACTGACACAGTGCCTTGAGAAAACAATAGGATAGGCTGGCACAGGTACGATAACATATTAAATTGATATAGCCAGGATAAATACCTAGAAATGCCACCATGTACTAAAATAATGTATCAGCAACGAAGGACTGCAATTCCTACCTCCTTGAATTTCAGGAAAGGACTTCCATTTTCCTCCAGGGCCTCTCTTTTAATAGGGGAGGGGAGGGCAGCTGAGATTGATAAATACGCAAGCAAAACCACAAGTCAAATGGTGCAGGCTCCAGTCTGGATCTGCTGTATGTGATTCCAACAGCCTGGAACAACCAGCAGGAATTGCTGTTCCCAACAGTGGGGCATCTCCACAGTGCAGGGGCTGCTGTGCTCATTTATCAGGTTTTATGCTGAGAGTCCAGGTTTTACAGCAATACAGGACAAAAGCTGAGTCTGCATATTGTCAAGTCCACATGGAGTTTGTTTGAGGATGCTGTGATCAAAATGGAGAGGTTTTGTAGTGAAGACACAATTAAATCATAACTATCTTTTTCACAAAATGAGCTTTTACTGCTGGAATTACCAGCTGGGCTCCAGTCACAGCATCACCAAGGAGCTCTTGGACTCTTCCTTAGCTCTCCACTGGTGCTTTGCTTCTATCTGGCCTAACAGGCAGAATAGAGTCTGGCCTGCAAAGTTATCATTAGAATGTCAATAGAAATATAATTACATTTTCTCCAGCAATGGAATTAGCACCATTAGGAAACAAAACCATTTTAGGTTTCTCCTGCTGTGTTTGTATGAGCTTGGGGTCTCTAACTGGCAACCTGGGAAATTTGGCCTTTGTGCTCAAATAATGTAATGCTATGCTTTCCAGCTCGAGATGAAATTACTGCTGGTGGGGTTTGTGCCGTAGGAAAAGAATTGCTGTTGCTAAATCTTCTGATAGTTCAGGCTGCTTTGCCTCCCCACACGAAGAGAGTTATTTACATGGCTTTGCCTACATAGTTATACAGCTACAGCTTATGCACTGTGTGTTGTTTTGGGATGTCTTTTTAGGAATGTTAGTGTGAAAGATGCTACCATGTGAATCATTGTAAGTGCAATTTCTGTGGAAAAGAATATGAGCCTTCTGGTGCCCATTCCCTGTCTCCGTGAGCACACTCATTTTCTAAGACTCTGGAGGTGTGTGAGGGAGCTCAGCAGTGAGCTCTGGGATGCTGCTCCCTGCATCTCCTTACTGGGGACCCAGGGTGTGCTAAGGGTTTCCTGGCAGGCCATGTGCCCACATTTTTCCTGGTGAAGGCAAGGACTGGGGATAGCAAAGGGGAAGGGCTTGGGTAACCATAGACTTGTATTCTGTGTTTTAATGTACAAGTCAGTTAGGAAATAAATGAATCACTGGAGATTCCTGGAGTGTTTCTTGCACATCAGGAGATTGGCTTTTCCCTCAGCATCCCAGAAAACACAGTATTAGCTCAGAGTGATGGTGAGGAGCTAATTCTACCTATAATTGTACCTCCTGTACCAGTATTGCTGCATTCTCAAAAATGGTCCCAAATGAGATAAAATCACCAAACTGAAGCCAGTTCCTCTTACACGTAGCCGTGAGCCTTTTTCGAAGGAGTCTGAAATTACACTGCATGATAGGTATTCCAGCTGCTCCTTCAGCCTTGTCCAACTGCGGTGATTTAGAGCAAAGCCTTCATGAAAGCAACGGGAAATTTGTGCTCAGTCTTGCCTGGCCAGCTGGATTCCAAGTGCAAACCAAGCCTTTGTGCTGCCCTTGCTCAGGGATGACAGTACAATCAGGGTGGGGGTAGGTTGGCATTTTAGTTCAGACTAGAGTGCACTTCTGAAGCAAATTCCCTGATTTCTCCCAATTACCATGCTTGTCTTGGCACCGCAGGTCAGAGCACAGGAGCCGGACTTTGGGATGAATCCAGCATGAGAAAGGTGCTCCACAAGGACAATTCCTGTGCTCCAGCCAGGCCAGATTGGAAAACCCAACCAGGTGTGCAATAGGGATGTGGGGCCCCGACGACCAACTGGAGATCTGCTCCTATTTGGCTTTCCCATTACTTTCCAATGTAGATGGAGCCATGTGACACCCAGAGTCCCTCAGCAGGTAAGACAGTATTAGTGCATTACAGACTGTTGTTTTTACTAAATAGTTTTAATTAGGCACTAGAAAACCTAAAATAATATGCTTATCTCAAATAATTTAAACTCAAGGCTTTCAACTTCTTTGCACAGTTCCTTATTTCCCTCCTCAGCCAAAGAAGCAGCTCTGCTTTTGAGACTCTCGACTACCATATGCATGCTAAAAAAAACCAACAACCAAACCTCTCTTTTTTCCCTAAGATTTACATGCCAAATGTGCTTATTTACTCCTAGGTAGAATGAATCTTGTCCTTAATTACTTTTATACCAATTACATGCTTTTAATCTATGGTTTAGTGATTTATCACTTACAGCTGCAGTGAGCAAAACATACATAGGCTGGGAAACACATCCCTTGTGTAGATGGTGCTGTAGGGCCTTTTTAAATCATGCCAACCCCTGTGAGTTACTAAGTAGTTTCTAGGCTTTGAACAAATGAGCACATTTTAGTCAAGGCAACTCCTTATTAGGAGTATAAAAAGTGTAAAGCTCAGGAAAACTTGTTACAGAAAACTTAAGATCACACACTTTCAGGATTTTGTTCTAACATTCTGTATTGGTTTTAATCTTCCTCTTGTTTTTCTGCCATTGCTTTGAAATTGCAAGTGGGTAAAATTCCTTAAGTCAGGATAGGATGAATTAATTCACAAACTTTCTGGGTATGTGGATTTAAATTTTTTTGACTGATTTCTAGTATGTCAAAATCCTACACTTGTATTGCTCTCCCCTTCAGAACATGGGAAAATGACAGCATTAAAGAATTAGTCCCCAGAGCGTTATTAGCCACTTCCAACTGATGGGGTACAAAGAGGCTTGATGGTTTCTTCAATACACTGTGGTAAAGCTGGGAAAGGAATCCAGATGTCCTGGTCCCTCATCCTGTCCCTGAACCACAAACCACACGTCCTTGCCTTATTAGTGACAATCACAGCACATGCAAACAGACTATTTATATCTAAATATTTCATCTGTTCTCACTCATTATTCCCTAACTCACCAATGTAATTGTGCTGGCAAGGAGACAATCCCAGTGAGAGCAAACAGATTGTTAGGTTTTCTGCTGAGATACAAGCTGCAGAAGACCAACTCCCAAATAACTGAGATCAAAAGGACCGTGTTCCCATTGAAACATCCTTGGTCGTGCAGCAGGGGGACAGAAGGTTTCGTAACATCTTCCTCGGCCGACTCTGGCAGCTGCATTAAAAGCACTGATCAAGAAGGGTTAACTTGGAAGAGTATTAGCCCAGAATGAGTTTAGTCAAAAAGAAAAAAACACCCCAATAAAAAGGGACTTTGGAAAGTTCTGGGTTTTGAGTATCATGGGATATTTAACACTCCTCCAAGTTTGCATAACAAGCAACTCTGGACAGAAAAATAAGACGACTGTGCAAAGCAAATCCAAGATTCACATTTCATAAATATTGTTCCAAATTGCTTCAGTGATTACATCTTCTCTGATTAGCAAAAATCATGCTCAGTGTGGTGAAACACTTGCTTCCATGTATGGGGAATACCAAGGCACCTTGGGCAGGACACAAAAGTCATTGAGGATCCTGCCGCTGAAGTCAGCGACACCACATTTCACTCTATATAAGGCTGCCTCAAACCAGGACTGAAGTGGCAGCTGCAGTCTGCCTCCCAGATGCAGACATTGTAGATATATAATGTGCACGGTCCTTTTTATTTCCCAGTGACAGGCAGAAGCGTGGTGGTGTTTGTCAGCATGTACACAACACGTACACTGGTCCTTCTCCACAGGATACTGGAGTTTATCACCATAAAGCTTTAGGTTACTAATTCTAACCAGACTTAGAGCAAAGGCTGAGAGTACAACATTGATTCATAATGTTCAGGTTTCAAAAACCAATCTCCAGTTAACAGGAATATTTTGGCTGGAGTTTTCTGTCTGCTGACCATGCACTCCCAAACGTGGAGCACAACCAGTTGTATTTGAGAGCACTGGAGGGAGAAGGCAGCTAAAGAGCTCTGTGTTTTCATCTATTACTAGGCCAGAAATACTCCCCTGTACATGTGCTCTTTTGTTCTCTCTTGTGCAGTGTTGGGTGACCTGGTACAGTCCCTGTACAATTATGAAGCCCTCTGTTGTTTGACACCACGAGTGATATGGGCACCATAACCTCTGTGTGGCCCTGGAGCTGCACAGGAATGATTTCCTGCTCTCTGCAAAGGAAGATGCCTTCAGATTTTGTTAAATGATAACAAATAAGGAAAAGGAGGCCTCCCCTAGTTGTAGCAATCCTATCCCTCCCACTGGGCTTTCCTAGAGGTGGCAGAGTTGAAACTCCCAGGTTTTATTTTCAGAACATGATCATTTCTCATTTTGATATTTTAAAGTAAACAATTCCTGGTTCCCATGTATTATTCAAGGAGAGAGAAGTGGGTATCCAGTGCATAGATAATCAAACATCCAGCCTGCACCAGACAACCTTCTCAAATCACTTCAGAAACTTCCCTATTGCTGTTGTTATCATTCTCCATTCACTTCCTCCAATTATCCAACACTTCAAACATCGTATCCCATGTTTTCCCCACAGCTGTGGGGTGAAGCAAGCAGGAGCTGTGTTCCTTCCAGCTCCCCTGAACAGTGCTTGCCTACAGGAGAAGAGAGGGAGCTGCACAGATGTTGCTGGTATCACATTAATACAGAAACAACCTGTTGAATGTAGATTTGTTTTCAAACCTTTCAGTGAGAAAATATCGGTTTCAGAGAGAGGAATTAATGATTTTAACCTGCCTATCATGTTCTTTCATTGCCAGCACATAAAATCATTATTGGTGTTTCAAGCTGCAAGTAGTAATGTTGAGGATATTTTCATTACTGCCAAAACATTTACATGAAACTGCTATTCAGATCAAATTATCTTGGAACTGCAAAGCGTGCGTGGATTCCAAATTATCCAACTTGGAGTGGTGGCTGCATATTGAAATTACACAGCACAAACCAGCAAAACTATTGCTTCAGATTCACAGGAATGGCAAAAAAATAGCTCTTAAAAGAATTCTTGTCCTTAAATGCAGTACTGTTACAGACACAGGATTTGGCTGTATTTAAACCAGTATTTCACTACCACAAAAACAGAGCTTTGCACTCTTTGAGCCTGCTTGGTCCTGACTCTTGTTTCCACAGCCCTTTAAAGATGAGCAGCACTGCCCGAAGAGAACAGTGGCACGGAAGTGATGCATTAGGAAATTGAAACACAGAAGGTGAAGAGCTGGGACTGTTTGGGGAATGACAAACTGAAAGCATGAATTCCAAAAATGCAGTGAACTGCCAGAGGTGCTCAGTGCTGGGAGGATCCTATTAACTATCTCACACTTATCTTTCAGCAACACACCAGTTATGGAAAAGACTCTGAAACATCACCAAAAAGAGGACTGGGCAATACTGTGAATTTCAAGTCTTTGATGAACCATCATTCCAGGTATTTTGATGTGTATTCCTTTGCATAATGTTCTAAATACCATTACTGTGCTGCTTTTCAATAAGGATTCTGTGCTGCAATGAAAGAATCATATGGCCACGTTAAAGATGTCCCTAAAAAACATGTGCTTTCCTGGAAAAAACACAAAGGTCATTTTCCAAGAATCACAGGAAGGATTGTCTAATTTAGCAACACAGGTAAGGGATCATTCCTCTTTAGCAGAGAGGGGATGGACAGATGAAAACACTATATGCAGGAAAAACTAAAAACTTCTAACAGCCATCAGAAAAGGGTTTACAAAGGAAAGTGAGTGCTGTAGGAGAAATTCCTCACACCTGTGAGGAATATTGAGTGTGGCACTGGAGCAGGGTCCTTTGCCCTTTTGGGCCCTGATAAGGGGAGATTAACATCTAAAATTTGTGTGCTTTTTCCGTGCAAGTTTGTAGTTGATTTGTTCCCATTCCTTCAGTGAAATATCCTGAAAAGCAACAAAAAAAGCAATAGGGTAAGACAGGTCCCCCAGATGTGGTGAGGAGTGTTCAATGGGTGTTTGTCTGCAACAGGAAATAACTGCCTGTGTGCTCTTGCACCAGGCTGTGTTTTATCGTGGCATCAAATCACAGTGATTTCGGCATTAACTTGATACACAGATATTCTCTGCTGCTGGGTGTCCTGGGTGTAAGTCACACATAAGGCATCCTGTCTGGAACAATCTGGTATGCTTCTCTGGGAAAGGGAAAAGGAATTAAAGGAAGGACCATACTGGGAGGAAAGAAATGCTAATGATCTCTTCAGGGGCTGTGCTTTTCCCAGTTCTTTTAATGTGCATGCAGTGACAGCTCCGCAAAGTAGAATATACAGAAGGAAATGCACAGTGCCCACATTCCAATTCATAGTCACCCTCTGTGTTTTCCATGGTATTTTCATTACCTGGTGAGATGTCCGTGTCCCCAGACACAGGTACAGAATAGTACAGGGTGCAAAGCCAGAGCTCTGAGAATGCCTGAGCTGGTGAAGGAGAGACAGCCACGTCACCCCTCACTGTCTGCAGGACTGCTGACGTGGTAGGTCTGGCAATGGTCTTGATGGCACCTGGGAGAACAGGGGGACATGGTTTCCCACATCATCATCTTTGTTACAAGCTCTTGAGGCTTCTTTGTCCTCCACCTTAAAGACAAAGAATTCTGAATTAGTGGCTTTGATTCAGGAGGGCATTTCAACACCTAATTTAAAGCATCAGATGAGCTCCAGTGAGTACAGGAAGTGTGGGGGCAGTCAGAATCACACAAGCACATATGTAAATATTTCCCTGGTTGAGGCTTCAAGTTGCATTTGGGAAAATGGGCAGTTAGAGAAAAAGAAGAATTTCTTTTCTTTTTTTTCCCCAACAGCATTTAACTTCATTTTTCTTAAAGTAGGGATGTGTGAAAAGCTGCACTGTTGTAGATAAAAGTATATAAAACGTGGTAGATTAAAGATTTGGATATTGATTTCTCAGGAGACCTTTTCCAGTCTAGACTCTATTGACATATCCTGCCAATTTGTTTGTCTGGTCTCCCTGTGAACATAACATTTGATACTGCAGGCAAGGTAAAGATCTTTGATAAGCTTGCTGCTTCCTGTGTTCACAATGCACTTTTGAAACACAACTTAGAGCTCCTCTGCATCCCCCCCATCTTGCATGTTTTCACCATGTGCTTTCATGCTTTTCATTTGTGTACCCCGTGCCTTCATCCCGTGGTGGACCATTCCCAACTTCCAAATCTCCCATGGAGAGAAGGCAACACCCCCTCATCAGGTTTACCCTCTGCATGGTGGACACACACTGCTGAAGTGGTAGGAGTTGATTGTGATCTTGCTTGTTACCTGCCTTCACCCTTTGGTAGCTATTTTTACCAGTGCCAACAAACTGGAGACTTGGATAGGGACTGAACATAAGAAATTAAAGGGATTTCCACCAGAAAGATTCCAGAAACTAAGCGGATCTTCAGGGGGTGATGCTGACTCACTAATGGCACTTCTTGCAGTGCCTTTATTGCTTTTTAGTTAAGCACACAATGAGTCTCTATAATTAAGCCACAGGCATAATATGGGACAAAAGGCACATCTGGGGTTTTTTTCTGGTTTTAATTTTCTTCCTTGTAGTTATTACTGGGCCCACTCTAGTGGCAACAAGTAGACATGAAGAACAGTTGTGCTCAAATTTGGCCATTTCAGATGAATCTGTAAAATTTATGCTAGTTTCTGAAATACCATCTTTATTGCAAGTTACATAAAGCACATTTTTTTCTAAATGCCTTTGTTAGTCCAGATACTTTGGTTTGAAAAAAAAAAAAAAAGGGAAGAATATTTGAAATTCAAATTAAAAAATGATCTGACAGTAAATATATGTGTGTTGAAATTTAGGGAGACCAGGTCAGTCATCCACAAGGCAAACCATCTCTGTTTGGAAAAGTGTCTTTATGCCCTCCCCTGCATGGAATGAATGGAGTTCAAAGTCATGTAACCCAGTTGTGGCAAACAATCGTGGTTAACTTCCTGTGAAGACCCTATTATCAAAACAAAACCCTAAAACACTAAAGAAATCCGTTCTTTTAGGAATATTTGTTTCTGTACCTTGATACTGTGATCTCCCCAAGTGGCAGAAATGTTCCCATTTTCTTTAGCAGTGTGTCTTGCTAGGAATAACCTGCATGTATCTGTATGTGTATCTGGCATTAGCAAGTGCTTCACACCCTGAAGTTCCCCCGGGAAGCTTGCTTCCCTTGGCTCATAGCAAGCTTCCCGGAAAATCAGTTTGTACTACAGATGTAGAAGAGTCTTTGTCGAAAGGAAATTCCTCCCAAACCACGGATAATCATTATCCATTCTGAATGACCTAATTATCTTCTGCTTTTTTTTATTGTGTGGAAAAAGAAACAAGGAGCTTTCTCGCCCGGTCCCTCAGAAGTGGCCGAAATGCTCCGTGTCTAACGGAGATCACGGAATGGCCGCTGTCCCATTGTCCAGCGTGGGTGCCTGGGCTCGTAAGCCAGACATTAAAGTGAACAGAACCAATTAGCCCCTGCTCACAATGGCAAAACCAGCTGATGTTCCCTTCATTTGAAACAATGGGAGGACCTGCATGGGCTGTGTAACTCCTTCCAGAGTGGGACCGTGAGAAAGTGAAGCCCGTAAATGGCCTTTCAGTGGATGAACTCCTGAGCAGTCTTTCATACTGTGAACTCATCACTCAGCTGTCTGGGGGTGGTTTTCTTTAGAAAATCCCAGTTCAAATGCAACATGCCAGTTTTCAGTGATAAACCCTTCTGCTGAATGATATTCTGTCTCAGCACTGTGTTTACCCCAGTATGGATTTATTCAGCAGCATCTTTTCCCTCCAGCCCTCTTTTACATTCCTTACCATGCTTGTTCCTCTTCCTAATAATCATGGAATAGCAACGACCACCGATGAGAATGTGGCAAGAACTGAATGTTGCTCCTAACAATGGCAGTGAGGCTTCATTTAAGATTTGGATGCTGAGAGAATTCAAGCAAAGAAGTTGATGAGATCAGAAATTCAGCCCTTCCATATGAATTCAGTAACTTACTTCCTTTTGACTACTTTCTCCTCCACCTATTTGGAATCTTGCCACCACATCTAATCCCTGGATATCCAGAACCCAGTTCCTGGTAGCAACAAGGCTGAGTTCGAAAAATGACTGCTCTTCAGAGCTGCTGTACAGCACTGTGTCCCTTCCCACCTGGAATGTCTTCCAAGCATCTTCAGGCAACAGTCCATCCCTTGCAAGTGTGAAGTTCTTTGAACCAACAAGGCCTTTGCTAATGGCAAGGCACACGTGCCATGAACTTTGGGAAAACAATCCACAGTAAACAGGACCATCTACTTCATTCAGTACCTCTGGCAAGAGTCTGTTGCCTTGGTTGCCAACTGATGCTGTGAATTTCCTGTAGGCAAACATTCCTTATGAGCATCATTTCTCCTTCCCCAGCTGCTGCATTTCCCTGCAGTTCAGCTCAGTCTGGACACCACAGCTCCAGAGGTCTGACTCCTGCCTGGGCAGGCCTGTTGCCTGCAGCTCGATGGTCTGTTGCTTTCTGAATCTACTTCCTAAAAATCAATCTGAACTCAAATTAATTATTTCATGACTAAGACTCACTAATTCCTTTGCAAGAACTAACAGTGAAGTCATCTCAGTACAGGATACTTGGAAGAATGGTAGGACTTTGTGGTCATTGAAATGTAACTATGAGGTCTCCCCAAAGTGCCACTGAAAGAACGAGGAGACAAATACAAAGAAGGGCCATTTCCTTTATTATCCAAGAGATGGTACCAGAGAGCCCCTACCTCTGGATTATTTGTCTATCCAGTGGACTGGGTGAAACAACTACTCAGATTCACTAGTTTTATGGTCATTCTTCTCTTGCTCACCAATAGATGGGAGCAGAGATTTCTCGACTCATGAGATTTTCAGGCTACAGTACTTGCAGTTTTTTGAAGACTAAAAGGGGCAAAAAAAAAGAAAACCAAACAGTGACAATATAACTCATTCATGTGTCCACAGGGAGAAGGACATTGTTTTCTTTAGTGGCATACAAATGAGGGTTGTAATGGGACTCAAATGGAAACCAGGAGTCAGCACTCTTGAATTCTTTAACCTTGGGAATCTCTGGTTTGGTATCTAGCGCTGGTCAAAGGTATTTAATATGTTTACAACCCCTCATTATTATTTCCCAGATATAAGTGTGTTTTGCTTGGATCCAAGCCTTTACAAAAGCAAATAAACATGTCCTAAACTTCCATTCATTTTTCTTACAAGATCAAAGAGGAAAAGCTGTCCAGAAGTAAAAAGCTAAGCCTCTAATGAGATGATCAGTGAATTGTTTCTCTCTTGTACTATAAGCATTTAAATTACAGTATTGCACTTAGGGCACTCTGCACTTCTGACTGGTGTAGCAGGATCCAGACAAATCACTTCAGAAATTAGCTTTCAGCATAGGTCCCTGGCCTCTGACCTTTCATCAGAGACAAGCCAAATGCTGCCTATTAATTGTGCCTGACACTCCTCAAGGGGTGGATACACCATGAGAAGTTTCCTACCAACAAGAAGCAAAATCTTGGATGGCAGTGGAGCAGCTGCACAGGTACCAGCTGTGTGACACTGCAGTGCCTCTCTGCACTGAGCCCAGTGGGGTCTGTCTGTAGTAGATGCTTACCTTGGAGGGGCAGGATGGGCCTGGCACAAAAGCTACAACTAAACCTGCACTGATTTGTAAAATCCCTCACAATCGACAAGATTCATGAAGGTCCTGAGTCACTGACTCAGGGGGGTGCCAAAACCTTTTTATAATCCTGTGCTGTTAAACTAGAAAATGCTTTTTTTAAACCTTTTTACTGATATGAGTTTGCATAGGTTGGGGTTTGTTTGTTAGGGGGAATTTTGGTTAATTCATAGTGGGAATATAAAGGATCTTGGCTTTGAACTGCGTTTCTCAGCTTTTTTCATGTCTTTTGCTTTACTCCAGGGGATAGATCTCTCCAGCTGCCTTTCATGACATGGCCTGAAGCAGGGGTCTGAAGTGATTTTTTTTCCTTCCCTTCTGGCAGTAACCCTGCCAGATACAGATACCACTGGTCTTAACTAGCACAGCCAGAGCTGAAGTTGCCAAGAACTCTGGAAAAAAAAGGGAGGAAAACAAAGTCAGCCGACTGCATGCCAAGGAGGAGGTATTTTGGAAGTTAAAAACTCTGATTTGTTGTTTGGATGCATTTGGAATTTATCAAAGCCACGTCTTCATTCTAGTAATAAGCTCTACTAAAAACCAAAATCCTCTACATAAAACTGGCTTTTGACTTCATAATTTAACAACAGCAGCCTTTCTGAAATTATAGTTTCTGTTAGTGTCGAGTTAAAAATTAAAATTAAAACCTTATCCTGCAAGAGGGAGAAGTTTCACACCTTTTTATACCTTTCTATAATAAGATGGGGGAGGAGTTCCACAAAATTCCCCAGCAAAACATCAGATTAAGATACTGTGGTGATTCAAAATTTAAGTATGTAATGAAAGGGAATGCATCTTACCCAGCTTCAGCTGACTGGGGCTCAAGAATTAACTATTTGTCCTACCCTGTCAAGGCGGAAAAACAGGTACCTCTGGAACCCTCTCCACATGATGCTGTGGAGGGAATTTTTTACCCTGTGGAGAAATACCAGAGTTTTAATTCCCTATGGAGAAAACCAAAAGAAGCAGCTTCGACTCAACGCCCAGCTTTTAGATGCCTAAACTGAGGTGAGTTGAGTCCTGTCCCTGCTTAAGTGGGACCAGTTTTTTTGGAGTAATAGTTTCTCTTGAAATTATATCAGTGGGAGTATTGGTCCTAAACTGGACAATCAGGCAAGGGAGTGAAGACAGCTCCCCGTGACATGATGTAAAGTTCAGCTCTGAGTATCGGCGCTGTGCCTGCACTCACGTAAGGAAAAAGGATCCACTTAATCACGTGTTCTTTTTTTCATATACAGAAACATGATCTATGAGACAGAGCTAATGCATGAAACTCAAACCCTTAGCACAAGTCTTTGGTTTTTCCTGGGCTACAATTTATTCAGCGCTGTGGAGGAGTATGGCTCCTATTACACATCAAAAGTCTTTCGCAGGGAAACACTTGGCTCCAGATTATCACTGTGAAAGCCACACATTCCCGACCCTCTGTGCCCCCTTTGATCCAGAGCAAGCAATGCCCAAAGGCAGTTGTGGCACTGGTGTGAGGAGGCTGCCCCACTCCTATGCAGGGCACCGGAGCAGGAGCTGCACAGGGGCCGGGCTGCCCCATTTGGCAGCACGCGCTTCCACTCCACTGCCACACAGGCATTCCTCCTGCTCTGCCGGCCAGCTGCAGCTCCAGGCCCAGCCTGGGATTTGTGGTGAGGGGATTTTGCTTTGACAGCCCAATGTCATTTTGTTTTTACATAATCAGCCCTTTTTGTTATAAGCTGTGGGCTTCAGATAACAGCGGCGAAAAACTATTTCAAGTGGGAGCAGCACCCTGGGTACAGAGTGAGACAGAAAACAGTCAGAAAAACCAAATATTCCTTATTTCTTGTAATCACCTGCCTTACAGCAGTCAAATGTTGACAAGTGTTTGCTGATAACTGGCTTGCAGGAAAGACGAAGTGAAAGAGAACAGCAAGAGAGGGGTTTTTTGCATTTCTGATAAACCTCTAGTTATGCCCTTCAATGACAGTTTTGCCAACAGCAAAAAAGTAAGACAAATTTTTGCAGTCTGAGGTGTCTGGAAGCAAACTCACACATGCCTTCCCTGTAGTAGGCTTTTGTTTGAAGAACCTTTCCATCTGGACGAGTAGCGGGAACAGGAAAGCATTTGAAGCTGGGAAAACTACCATCCTGCTGTCTATAAAGCACTGATAGGATTTTTATGTGGAGCCCTAAAGAGAATGACACGCAGTGCTTTTATGCCAAATGCGAGAGCTCAGATGTTTGCAAGCAAAACAAAATAAGCTGAGGCATTGAAAGCCCTTCCTGAAATGTGCCTGGTGGCTGATGCCGTGGCCCGTCCCCCAGCACATGCATTGTGCAGGCTCTGCCTCATGTGGACCCCTGGGCACAGCAGCACCACTGCTGAGATCCTGCTCATGGCACCCCCTGCACAAAGGGGAAGGTAATTAGCAGAGAAATGACTATTGGCGCAGCTAGAAAGTAGACAAGTAATCCTTTGGGGTTTAGTTCATTGCCTCCTTGTTTTCAAACCAGCGCCTAATCTTCCCAGACCCCACTCCGTGGCTGCTCCTTTCTTCCTTTCTGTTCTCCTTCCCCCTTTTTTGCAGGGACTATGGCTTATTCTGATTCACTCCGTTTCTTTCTTCCCCAACAGCCACAGGGCAGCCTGGCTGTTGCCAGGGATATAGTAAATGCATGTGACACCGGGCCACCACCAACAATCGAGCGAGTCACACTCATTCCTGGTGTAACGGCGCTGAAATCGGCACAGCCGGGCTGGGAGCTGGACAGCCCAGCTATGAACCTGGATAAAGAGTTTTCTTTAAGGAAAGTGCTCTTAAAAATAGCTTTCGGGGAGAAATGTGCGGGTTTTACTTGTAAAATGGCTGTTGGCAAAGGATTTGTTGCCAAACTCCAGTCAGAGCACCAGTGAGAGGTGGTAAACATGCCATTCTGACAAGGAATTAGCAGGCAACATAGCACTGGGGAAAATATTACGACTTTCTTCTTCCCTGACCTGAAAGAGCCTGTTAGGAGATTAGGAATCTCCATCTCTCAAAGGTATAGCTGTTTTACCAAAATTTAATTAATGAAGAATAATATTTTGGGAACAAGAGAAAACACCTCTGTAGGATGTGGAGTGTTAGGAATACATGGAAAGTTGCCTGTATAAACAGTTCAGCAACTCTGGGATAAATTATAGGAGCATTTGTATGCATGATTGCCCATCTGTGTAAAACAAGACGTGCAGCCACAGACAGGAATGATGTGCAAGGCAGACGTGGGGCTGATGTTAACTTGATCCAGAACAGAAGATCTGTCCCATCACATCTGAGTTTGACCCAAGGAAGTTTAGATAAATCTAAATAAGTAAATAAATAGAGGAAGAGGCCTCAGTGAGAGGAAACTCAAGGTATGCTATCCACGAATCTGTTTCTGGCTTTGGGGTTTATTTAGACTCAAGTCAGATTTTGGACTGTTATTTCTCCACTTGAAGGTTTTTTGGCAGTTGCAGGAGGGCCGAAGGCTCAGATCCAGCGTGTTCCTTCCAGCTGCAGGCCCAGCGCAGGCCACGGGCACTGGCAGGGGTGTGGTGAGCTGGAGGGCTTCAAACCAGGGATGCTGTCAAGAACTCTGCCTTCCACAGCTCCCCTCTCAAGCACCAGCTGCAAAATGTCAACACCACCTTCCTCAGAGAACACAATTAATTAAACCAGGCTTAATTAATTAGTGTCAGTAAAGCAGATGTAGCAGTTATGGTGGAAGTAAACAAATGTACATATTGTAAATTATCATCTTCTCTGCAAAGGATTTGGTCTGAAATCCCTGTGGCCATTTCATTCCTCCCCACGATGCTATTGGGAAGGCCTCAGGGAAACATGCAGAGATAAACTGCTAATTGATGAGGAACTAATATACTTCTATAGGTTTATATCTCAGAAAAACAATCAGCAAATAGATTTGTTTATTAACCCCTTTGGACTTGATGGTGAAATACAATCCTGATATTTAATTTCCATATCATGCAACATCATGTGCCACAAATAGGTCAATTGTTTAAAGTCTTGGGAGTTTTATTTGAAATGTTTTACACTTGAAAATCCAACTGAGGGTTTTGTATCATCTACCAGTGCTGTTCTTTGATAGAGCAGGAGAAAAAGTGTTTCCTATACAGGTAATAATCAACTGTGTATCTTGGTCTGAGTGTGTTGCTCACCGGAGCAGATTTTGGCCTGATTTTGCCCTACTGAGAGTGAGGAAAAATGATGCTAAACTTGGGTTGGTTACACTGAATGTAGCCTGATGTGAGTAAGGGAGAGCATCATAACCCCACTGACCCAATATACACCTCCCCTGAGGCAAAAGGGACACCTTTTATAAGGTGCTGATGCACTGACAGCATTCATCCCTGCATTGGAGGTTGAGATCAAGGGAAAGAAAAGGGGAAAAAAATTGGTGGGGTAATGAAACACCAGTAACTAGTGATTGTGAAGGTATTTGTTATATGTGTCTGTGCAGTTGGTGTTCTGTAAAGCTGAATGTGAGTGTGAAAAAGCAGATGTGGAGCCACTCCAGTCTGGAGCCTTTAGAAGGAAAGTGAAGTAAATCTCTCGTGCCCTGTAGATATGAGGACAATGCAAACTCAATATAACGGGCACTGTAATAGTGAAGCACACTTGGAAAATGCAGATAGAGAAGGCATACTTTACTAGGGTACAGTCATCTCTCTAATTCATGCTGTAAAGAAGCCACGAAGGGGGAAAAATTCCCCCTTTCCTTGGTGATGACTCAATGGATTAATGTAGGCAGCAGCATATGGCCAGGGTGCTGTGAGGGGTAAGTTGCAGAGAGAGGCCACTACTCTTCCTGCCACTTAGCCTGTGTGATTCCCCTTTCCTCCCCCAGGATACTGATATCAATTAGTCTCTGTGGAAACAGAAGTTTCCGTGGCCCATGCCAAGGTCTCCCCTTTCTTTCTTCAGCTGACAGCAATTCCTGTGCAAAGGACTGCCCAGTGCCGGATGGTGTGTGACGGACACTGCTGCAGGGTACGGGCTGTGCCCACCGGGGACTGCAGGGGAGCGCAGGGCCCTGCTGGCACCTTTGTGGGCTTCCAGTTTGGTGTTACCTGCTTTGTGCTTGGGGTGCTTCTCATCCGTCCGTGTGTCCGTCTGTTCGTCTGTCTGCCTGTGTGTCTGTCTGTCTGTCTATCTATGTGTCCGTCTGTTCGTCTGTCTGCCTGTGTGTCTGTCCGTTTGTCTATCCATGTGTCCGTCTGTTCGTCTGTCTGCCTGTGTGTCTGTCCGTCTGTCTATCCATGTGTCCGTCTGTCTGTCCTTGTGTCTATTCGTCCGTGTGTCTATCCGTCCATATGTCCGTGTGTCCATCCGTCCATGTGTCCATCTATTCGTCTGTCTGTCCTTGTGTCTGTCCGTCTATCCATGTGTCCATCCATCTGTCTGTCCTTGTGTCTATTCGTCCGTGTGTCCATCCATCCACATGTCCTTGTCTGTCCATCCGTGTGTCCATCCATCTGTGTGTCCATCCATGTTTCCGTCTATTTATGTGTCCATCTGTGAGTCCATCTATCCATCTGTGTCTATCTTTTTGTCCGTGTGTCCGTCCGCGTGTCCATCCATCTGTCCGTGTGTCCGTTCATCCCTCTGTCCATCTGTGCTCTGTCCATCTGTGTGTCCATCCCTCTGTCTGTCCGTCTACGTGTCTGTCCGTCCATCCGTCCATGTGTCTGTCTGTCGGTGCACCCGTCGGTGTGTCCGTCCGTGTGTCTGTCCGTTTGTCCGTGTATCCGTTCGTCTGTGTGTCTGTCTGTCCGTGTGTCCGTCCATCCATCTGTCCATCCATCCGTCCATGTGTCCGTCTGTCCGTCTCTGTCCGTCTGTCTGTGCATCTGTCTGTGTCTCTCTGTCTTTGTGTCTGTTTGTCCGCGTGTCTGTCTGTGTGTCCATGCGTCTATGTGTCTGTGAGTCCGTCCGTCTTTCCGTCTCTGCCCGTCAATGTGTCTGTCCGTCTCTGTCCATCTGTGTCTCTGTCTGTCTCTTTGTGTGTCTGCCTGTCTTTCTGTCTGTTCATCTGTCTGTCCGTCTCTGTGTGTCTGCCTGTCTTTGTGTCTGTGTGTATCTGTCTGTCCGTCTTTGTGTGTGTCTGTCCGTCCTTCTGTCCATGTGCCTCTTTGTGTCTGTGTGTCCATCTGTCTCTCTGTCTGTCTGTCTCTGTGTGTCTGCCTGTCTTTGTGTCACTCTCTCTGTCCATCTGGCCCTGTGTCATGTCTCAAAATAACGTTTCATATCCCCCTTTTTAATTCTCTCAGTCTGAATTCTCCCCTTTTAAATCTCACACAGGGCTTTTGTTCTTCTCTCTCATTTAAAAAATTACTTTTTTTTTGCTCTTTTAGTGCATCTTAGAGAGGTTTTACAAGACAGCTTTGCCAGCAGCCAGCTACACTGAGCCTTCTGGGATCTGAGCACCTACTCAGGCAATGGTAACTTTGCATTTAATCGTCAATGACAGGTTTTACATGAACACAAAATACAAGTAATTCTCAGGAACTTATGCACTAAAAGCTAACCAGCTCTCCATAACATCTTGTCCTTTTTTTGTAACCTTGTTTTATATTCTGGATAACACTTAAAAGTGTGTGTGGGGGGGAGCCCAGTTGAATGCAATTGAGGCAGTTGAATGCAATGGTCTGATAACAAGTAACTCAACATGTAACTAAACAATACCATCTTCAAGAAGTCACTGGTCAGATCGTATGACCTCCACTTATACAGGAATTTCTGAGAGCGAGTCCAGCACGTTAGTGCGTTACAGAGTCTGAGTACTTCTGCAGACCTCGTATTAGTAGATGCCCACAGGCATCACCTCTCCTGCCTCTTCCCATTTGCCAGTCCTCATGCTGTACCCACGCCACGCTGGCAGTGCCTTTCCAAATCTCTGCTCTTTTTCAGTAGTCAGTGAATGAGAAGCCAAAAGCCAAGGGGCTGAAATGTGGAGGCCCAGCAGGGTGCTATGGCTGCAGCCTTTGCTACCTGCCTGCAGGAAGCTGAACAGGTTCCATCCTCCTGTCCTGTACGTTAACTGGCCCGGCCTCTCCAAGGAGAGGCAGCAGCATTGATTTACTGCACTGTATAAATGTGTTTATGGCTTGGCACGAACACACTTACACTCGCTATTTTCCAGCGTGGATTTCCAATAAGCCCCTTGCTCAAATGAGTCTATTAAATTTAGAGTGCTTGAAGCTAAAACTGAATTCTGAGAGGTAGCTTTGGGGGTTGAAGCCCAAAACAGCTGGGAAAGGCTCCTGGAGCCTTCTGTTAGTGCCCGTTGGGGTTGATATTTATATTGAGCAAAAATAATTGAAGAAGTTAAAGCAACCCTGGCAGAACACATCGCCTCAGCCTGAGCTGCCTTTTTACTTCAGCTGGCACTCAGACGCACCCGATTCCACAGGGTTATTAGAGCAGCTCCTGAATTAAGCCAACGTGAAATCAGAATATGACCCATTCCTTTCTCTCCTTATGGACCTAATTTCCAGTAGTCTCATTTCCCTGTTTCTGCAGTGGAGTACAATAGCCGGGGGAGAAGCCCATCCAACCATGGTCCCTCCCTCATGGGTGTGTTTTGGTCTCTGGTGTTCTGCGGGGCTGGGATGCAGTTCCCTCCCCTCTCCCAGCCTGGAGCTGTCCTTGGAGCCTGTCAGTGCTGCCCTGCTCACTGCTGTGACACTGTCATGTGTAACAGCAATTTCCATCCCTGCAGGGACAGGAAATGGAGCAGAAAGTTTTAGAGGACCCCTAAGTACAGTCCATAATTACCTATACCTGCTCAAGATTATGTCTCTCCAGCTAAGGAATAAGGCTGATTTCTAGTTGCTAGTAGTTGGACTTTATTTGGAATAAAAAAGGAATGCCTTACTACCCATGGAGGAAAAAAAAGAGATTTGTAGAGAATGGGATTAAATTAAAGAAAGTAGAGTTTAGGATGAACTCTAGGGGTAAAAATCTATAGTAAATCTACTGAACTGTGGAATGATCTCAAGTGAGCAATGGAGCCTCACAGTGTGAAGAAATAAAATGATATCTGCCAAAGCCTTGGGAAGGCAATGTCTGGGGAGGCAGCACGGCCTGGCTGTGGCAGTGCAGGAATTGTGGGTGTTGGGATTATACATTGTACATCCACTGAACCTACACTTGTCCTGTATTAAAGTCTGTGTGTATTTCTCAGGTAGGTACGACCTGCATAGCTTTAAATCCTGCCTCCATTTAAACTAATGGGAATCGTACAGGCTAACTGAACAGGAAGCCATCAGAGCACACCAGTGACTCTGGCTGTCCCACCCTCAGCACATGATGCCTTAAAAATTCTTCAGACCTACATGAGTTAGAATGTGGTTATTACTGGATATTTCTGCTTAAGAAGTCTCCTCTTGGTTTTACAATTATCTGTAGCATTCAGCTCTAGTACGTACGGGGAGAAAAGAAGACACAAACCAAAAGCATTTCTCTCATTTGCTGGAAGGAGAGAAAAATACAACTGGACTTGCTACAGAATTAGAACTAAGTAGAATTACTTTGCGCTTTTTTTTTCCCATGGAGTTTGTTCAGTTTCTGGCAGATAACAAGGAAACATCTCCTGATCTGTAGCTGTCTGGGGAATCCCTTTTCTAGAGGAAAGAGAAGTTGAGGAGGAAGAAGGTTGGTGGGCTGAGTCCTGAACCTGACCTAGAGCTGTGCCAACAAATCCATGTGCTGTGTGTGAGTGCCCTGGGGAACAGGACCCTTGTAGGTAAGCAGGATTGCTTCAAAGATATGTGGTGACAATACCAATTTTCCTTTGTAGCGCAGAATACACGGAGCCCCTGGATTTTGTCCAGCCACTTAGACTGAGGCACTCAGTCGCCTGTCTCCCTGGCACCGGCCACGAGGCAGTGCTGACAGGCTCTTTTCAAAAAGTCTCATGGTTTGGGTCTGTTCAGGAAAAAAGTGCCTCTTGCCACTCACCAGATATGCTGGAGGGCTCAAAACACAGACATGGAAAAGCAGTGGCCATAGCTACTGTCCTGGCTCCTCCCAGATGTTGGCTTTTCCATTCTTTGGGTTAAGACTACTGCTGCTTCCTCTACCAGAATGAGGTCAGCGCCATTTATATTTGTCTTCTGTTTTTGATCTATATTTTTGGAAAACTTGTCCTCTTGGAAAGTTTATCCCCTCTGATTTTTGCTTCTCCTTGACTAACCCCACTTGCCTGGTAAGTCCCAGTATTTCCCATCATGACTCAGAGTGGCTGGGGGGGCTACACCGGGGGGAGACCCAAGATCTCAGCAGAGCTGTGCAGCACAGGTTCACCAGGGTGTCTGATCCAGCCGAAATGTGCATCAGCCCGGGACACAAGAGGAATCGCTGGGATGGAAGCTGAATCTTTCATCTGCTCTTCGTGTTTTCTGCCTTCTCTCTGGGTTTGTTTTCTTCTCTTTTCTTCCTTTGCAATTGTCAGGGAAGCATCTGTGAGTTTCCTGAAACAAATGTTGCCCATTAAAACCCCATTGCTGCCTGCCAGAAAGGAAAATGGCATCTTATTTGAAAACAATATGTAATTGTTATTGCTGTCTTGTTGCAAGTTATGCCCTTGAAAAATGTTAGGGACTTATTTAGTAGCAACTGATGCTGAGGAAAAGCCTTACTAAAGCAGAAAATTAACTGTTGCAATATCTTTTACACAGCTTCAAACACCACAATACAAATGCCTGGTCTGTTGTGCTCGTGGATGTGTTTATGATCACTTGGAGGATAAAATACAACACTTTTCCATGATGGAGACTCCGGTCCCAGCCAAGAGAGCACAACCACACCGGTGTAACACTCCTCCTGCAAACACACCACCACCCAGGTACCGCCTGGGGGTCCAGTGCAGAGAAACTCTGCCTGTAAGGACAGTTTTTAACTTAAGCTGGCACCCTCCAGCCCTGCACTGCCAGGCCGAGCTGCTGAGTCACTTACAGATTGTTAATCTTCTTTTTTAATGTTTTCATCTCAATCTATTTTGTATTGCCTTTTATTTTACTTTCTTTTTTTTTTTAGTTGTTTGGTATTACAATTAGGATTCGTTAACGAATAGTAACAGATTTTTACAAAGCAAATAGGGAAACACAGATCTTTTCTCTTGGAAACCCGGCATTAATTTGTGCACACAGCAAAGCCACTCTCTCAGTGGAACTTTAGCTACTGTTTTTCACAGTTACCTGCTATTTTTCAGTGAATATTTTATGTATTGAATGTATTTTTCCCCTTCAGACAAAACATATAAATCCATTTCTATCATAAATTAGATAAGGGTTTTTATAAACAAATATATAAAAAATATTTGTTATATAACAAATTGTGGGAGCCAGTGTAAAGGTATTATCCTTCTTGCTTATCCAAGAGAGTTGGGACCTTAATTCCAAAGAGGTGAAATTCCTGCTCACTGCAGAAGTTTACTTTTAACTACAGTGCTATAACAAACAGGAAAAAAGCTGTAATAGAGTTTTAGCCATATTTTCCACCTTGTACTGTTACTGCAACTATCCCTTTAAAAGTCTAATGAGCTTTTTATAGTAAAAAAACCACAACTTATTTAGAATTTTAAAATATTTAATAATTTAAAATTATTCTAGTGAAAGCAACTCTGCAAATGCAGCTCTGTGACGGCAGTCTGGGAAATATGGGATAGTGCCCAATACATCCCATTTATTATTGCCAACTGACCCATGTTCCCATGTCATCCCTGGGCACTCAGGCACCATGTTAAACCTCTCATTCTCTACTTGCAGCATCTGAACCATTTTTATGGTGACAGCCAATGTTTCAGCCAGCACAGAGCATTTCTTCTTTTATGACTTTGAGATGACCTATGGAATGTATGGATCTTTAATACAGAAAAATGTTCTGACTAATTTTAAGAAGTGAAATACAGGCAGAATCGTGTCTGCCCATCTCATCCTACCTTTAATAGAATAAATATGACTGAGTGTAATGGCCAAAATCCCTGACAGCCTCAGGTTTGCCAGCACTGGTTTTCCATGTGCTTTCAGCCAGGGATTGGGAACCTTGGCTGAGCGCAGAGCACTTAACGTGCCTCAGATGGTGCCTCAAGATTTCCTGCACACACATGAGCAGACAAGCCAGGGTTGGGAAAAGCTTGGGTTCTCCACCTTCCTCAAAACACTGGTGGAAGGGGAATTCTGCCTGTTGTACTCAGCGTGTCAAGCCCTTTGCAGAGGTCCCATAAAGGCACCTCATCACCTTTGCTGTAACACCTCATAGCCCCTTGTTAACTCTTCTCTTTTATGGTCCTGTAGGTAAGAGTTCATCTGACTGAAATATCCCTGAGGCAGCTGACAAGAAACCTTGAACTGCTTGAATACAAAACCAGATGCCTGTGTTCACTGTGGGGTGACCCTCTGCTCCAGCTCTGTGGAGCAGCGAGGCCGAGCAGTCCCAGGGCAGGCGGGAGACTCCGGAGTGCCGCCAGGCTGATGGAGACCGGCGTTTGTCCGAGGATTATCCTCAGGCCCCTCATCATCACATTTTCGCTTGTTCTGTGTGGGTGGGGACTTGATGACAATTCCCTGAAATTTCAATTTGGAAGAAAGAGCTTCATGTTTGACCTTTTCTCTCCAGCGCCATGTCTGCCTGCCTTGCCCACAGGCTTCAGATGGGTCCTGTTCCCTTCGGTTTAAGGTCCAGATGAGGTAAGCTGGAGTAGCAATGCCTGCTCTTTTTTTCTGGTTTGCTTTTGGCTTAGAGCGTTATCAGGCAGTCCCTGGGTTTAGTTTCTGCATTCGTTTCACTGCTTTCATAAAAGCGGCTCAGCAATTTTGGATGACCGATAAGGAATGAACTTTCTCTCACCCGCAGCTGCTCTGATATGAATTTTTAAAATCCCTCTGTACTGAACAAATGCAGAAGATACTATTGACAATTTTCAAATAACTCAAAGAATTTTCATACATGAATACTCAGAGTTTTATCTGAACATGATCTAAATGCTCTGAAAACTTCCAAAGGCCTCACAAGTATGAAGATACTTTCCTCAAAGTCACAGGAGGATTAAAAGTGAGAGAAAAAAAGACAATACCAAGAAATCAGCTGGGCACTAAGTTCCCCTGCAAGGCTTTAGGAGTGACAGCACTTGAGTCTAAAAACTAGTAACTGAGAAAGGCAGCGTAGAGATGGGAATGGAGCAAAGGGCTGCCTTGGCAAGAAGCAATCCGGCAACTTTTGACTCTGCTGTGATTTTCTTCCCCCTCCCAAAAAAGAAGAAATAAAAAAAAAAGCCAAGTTATTTCAGTGTAAGCATGCTAAATAACTGGCATCTGTCCTGAAATCTTGTAAAACAAATTGTAGCTCTGTGCAATTAAGTCGTCTGGGTAATAGTGTCCTCCAAGATTAGACATCTCTAATGGGAGTGTTGACAAGCCCTTCAGTGCAGCAATGCAGTGGTGCCCCCTCAGAGAAAGAAGCAAAGCTCCTGGGAAATAATTAAAGAACATTTTGGTCAGCCTGTGATGCAAATACAAATTTTTCAGGTTATGCAGAAATAAACTGGAAACCCACAGAACATCACCAAAAGAGACTAAGGAAACTGAGTGATGCTTGTCCAAATGGGCCTGAAAGGAAACAAAAAGGCTGGGAAGACAGAGGATAAGAAGGTTTTGGAGTAGCTGTGGTTCAGGAAAATCTCTCCTCCCTGTCCTTCTAGTTTTTTATTGTAGTCTGACGGTGGAGACAAAAGTAACCCATCTTTTCATTAATCCTAAACCCTTCTCCTTCATCTGGAAAACTGACATCAATTAAGACTTTGGATTCACACTGTACTAATTCGGAATCTTGCTAGGGAATAGTACTTGCATATCCAAATCTGTTATTTTCACCAGTCTATGCCTCTATTCTGTGTCAAGCAAAGCTTTTCTTGTTACCTTTTAACGGTGCTACAAATAGTAGGGTCTGCTCCTTACACAGACCATACTTGGCCAGCTCAATACTTCCAGCTGTTCTTCAGCTCTGTTACTTTTTCCTTCAAGAAGCAAATTTAGTGCAAAAAACATGAAGGCAAAACAAATATTTTAAAATTGATTTCTTAATTGTTGATGGCTATCTAACAAAGCCGACTTTTGGTTATTTTGGCAGTACAGTAAATTTAGGAGGTACCTGTGGGGCATTTCTGGATAAGAAAACAGTCAAACTTAAATCAAGACTTGAAAAATTAAGAGTCATAAACTACAGAGAGGAGCCAAGTCACGAAGTCTCTTCTTTCTCTCCTTTCCCAGTCTTCTTCATACAGCCATGATTCACTGAGGGAGTGTTTTGAACATTTCCACAACTGCAAGTGTTTGGGCAGAAGGAATGGGTGAAGGAAATGTATTTTAACAATTAGCCAATACATGGTGGTCTCTCCTGAAAAATTAAAAAGCAAGAAGTAGATACATCCAAGGCATGAAAAGGAGAGAGGATGTTTAAATCACTTTTATAATTTTTTTGTACATGCTGATGTATTGATTAATGATACAGTGTTTTTTCTGATGTACCCTAGAATCCCTAATTAGTGCTTGAGCCACCTGAAGGGATTATTTAATTTTTAAATAATTTCTGCAGCGAAATGAGGAGATCCCACGTCGGCTGCATGAGCGTTCCTGCCACTGCCCGTGGCTGGAGTTGCCTGATGCCGTGAGTTTTCTGTGTCATGGACCATCGTGAGAGAAAATCATGTGCTGAGGGAGAAACCCAGCAGTGAAGGAGTAAATAGCTGCTCTGAAGATCAGCTTATTAAGAGGCAGACATCTGAATGAAGTGAGGTTCCTGGGGAGTCTGTGGCACCAGGCATGCCAAAAAGGGAGGCATGAAACCCTGTTATGTGCCATGACCAAGCAAAAGGCGTTTTTACCTAGGCAGGATTGGTGGTTAATATTCTGCTCCTGTGCTGTGCTCACTGAAGCCCCGGAGTGCTTTTGTTCCTGATCTGGGTCTTGTGCAGCACATTTACATGTGACCAACTGTTGGAGTGGCTCAGTCACCTCGGTACAGAACAGGGCTCAGCTGAAATGCCAAAGGCACGAGCTTCGTTTGGGACGTGAGGAAAAACCAAACAAAAATATCACAACTTTTTTTTTTCTTTTTCTTTTTTTCTTTGATAAAAGCCTTAACAACAGCTTCCTTATTCAACAGGACGGTGTGTCGTATGGTTACATTACATCTGGTCAAAAGCCTAAGGATGATTTAGCTTTTAACTAACTTTTTTTACTTTTAATTGAGTTTGTTAGGCGTAAATAGCTGAATGACACAGCATTTGTTTAACTCAGTATATTCACAGCTTAATTAAATAATTCACATGCTAGTCTCTAATCGTGACGTGAAAAGACCAAAAACCAAATTAAATAATCATAGCTCCCTGAGCCAATTGCTTGGAAAAGAGGAGCAGGGTCTGTTGAGACATATGGCAAACAATCTTTGCTGCAAACCAGCAAGCTAAAACACACCACTACTACCATGTGGTAAGAGTACATATCCTTTTGCACAACATATTTTCCAAACACACTCTCGCCAGGAGCAGCAGGTGTGTAACTGAACTTAGGTTTGAACAGATAATTTGAGCACTATGAATTGGAAGGAAAGGGAGGAAACTGGGAAAGGGGATGAAATATTGTGAATTAAAATTGCAATTTCCCTTACAGCTTTTTTAATTGTTAGCTTATAAGTTGGGAATTTGTGAAATGTGACAAATAAGGAAGTAATTGAGAATGCCTGCTGCACTGAGATCTGTCTCTGCCAACATATGCGTAAGTAGAAATTGGTGTTGGAATTAACTTCAGTGGAATTAAGCACCCACACCAATTTGAGTGAGGAATGAAGCCATAGATATAATTGCTATGAATTTGCCAAGGTTTGTTGTTTGTTTTGGTTTGGTTTTTTATATTATGGCTTTATTACCTAATCACCCTGTTGTGCTGCATGCATACCGTATGCAAAAAAATACAGATTCTGTGCCCAGCAATGCAAAGAAGTCACCTTCTATTGCTGTGTTTAGCAGATGTTATCCCACACGGGAACAATGGCAGTAACCTCAAATAACAACAGTTTTCTGTTGCCCAGGTTCTCTGCTGTGGTGCTGTGGTAATCCTGGTGTGGCACAGGCAGGACGAAGGAGGTGTGCAGGGGAATATCCACTGGAGCCAGAACGGCAGGGCCTCGGTAAGTGAGCTGTTTGTTCATATTCTTCTACTGCGTATTGGAAAGAGTCAGACCCAAGCAGAACTACCAGGACAGAATATTCCTCTGAGAGGATGAACATGGGCTATGTGTCTCAGCTTTGCCAAAACGCTATGGAAACCACTGCTTCAGTTTGGGAATAAAGACGTAGGCACAAACACTGCCTTGGGCAGGGTGAAGACCACCCTTGGGCAGAAGTGTTTGGGAGCTGCAGTGGTGAAAGGATGGGGGTGTGCTTTGTTTTGCAGAACATTTGGGTGTGTATAACAGGCCTGTCTAAACAGAATTGGTGTGTCTGATGGCTGATCCAATATTCCAAGGAGGTCCTCTATTCAGAACTTGTTTTCCTTCCGCGCTTACCCTACTTTGTGTATTGTGCTAGATTATACTGGTTTCATAAGTGGCAGTCACAGTTACTGTCCATCTGGATATGTTTTGAGGCTCTATAAAGTTTTAACAACTGTGAAGGGGGAAAATACAAAAATATGCAGCCAGTCTGAAGTGGTTATCTCGAGATTTACCCTCCTGTCACCAGGAAGGCACAGAGCACCCTTCGCAGTCCTTGTAAAACTTATTTAGATCTGTACCTTAATAACACAGCAAAAAGCATTCTCTTGTGAGTTGAGATTATCTCTCTCAATCTGTAATCTCTTAATGAATGAAAATAATTATAATATTAAAGTCATACTAACACATCTCTACACATTCAGTCTTGATTCAGGTCATGTATAACTGAATCAGATACTTGGTTAACTCTTGTGCTTGTCCTATTGCTTGTTGTTAAATTAGGGGATTTTATACTTTTCAGTATCTTTTAATAAGATTTTGGTTTGCTATAATTTATTCTCATGCTATTCACTATGGAATGCCAGTCAGTTCTCAAAATACTTGTACATGCTTGTCACATTTTTTTTCACATTTAAAAAGCCCTCTTCTCCATGTTAACCCAGACTAAATTACCCTGTCAATCTTTAACTCCTACCTCTGTGCTGATAGATTATGACATACATCTGGCAAGGCAAGATAGTTCTGCAAATAAACTACTCAGGTGCCCATCGTGAATCTGTGTAGTAGGGCTTTTGAGGTCAGCAGGTTTAGATTGGTCATCTCTAAGTGTAAAAGTAGGGCAGGTACTTGTGTCGAGTCGAAGGGACACAGGGTTTTGGGACTGCACCTCTCTCAAACTCCTGCCTTTGTGTCATCAGATAATTCACGGCTCGTTTTCCTCAGGGGCCTGGGCTGTTTGTGTGCTGCTCAGCAATCAACAGCACTGTGGTTTATTCCCAGCTGTGGCACAGAACAGCACCACTTTTTGCTCAGCCCAGGCAGGCTTCCTGTGGATGGTGGGTGACTGCAGCCCACGGCTCCCGGGAGCTGCCTGTGAACCCGCTAACGGTGTACAAGTGCAGGGCCACCAGTGCCAGGTCTGTGCTGTGCTGAGGTCACACTGTGAGAGGAGATTTATCAGCACAGCATGTCCAGCTGGAGCTGGAAGCAGAGCCTTTCTGCTCAGCAGGTGCTACAAAAGGACTGGCACATGCCAAGTCCTGGTGCCCGGAGTGCCACTGCACTGCCCATTACTGCAGCCCTCAGTCAGCTCCAAAGCACCCTGCGGCCCAGCTCTGCTTTCAGTTGTGCTGCTCCTGATGTGCTGATGAACACACAGCAGAGGAGAGGCCAAATTACACAGAACTGTCTTGTTCTGATGTACTGGGCAGTTAGTTGCCAGCGGCCCCCGGAGCACAATAATACCTGTGCTGAGAACAGTGTCAGGGCTCTTTGCACAGCAGCTGAAGCCGTGCCTGCAATTCAAGTGTGATTTAAGTCTCTCTTGTTCATGCCCAGCTTTCTGGTACTTCAGTCCTTGGCTATCCCACATAGGCCCATATATTTTTTTTTTTGCCATCTTCTGCTGGGGTAGGGGGGAAAAAAGTTCCTGTGAGACTATCACAAGGCAGAGATGCTGTTAGGACAGGGAAGGATTTTCCTGTAGGGTCTTAGTGCCCATCTGTAATAAATTTTTATGAGGGTTTGGAGGAAACAGAGGCCTGGGCTAACCAGCAGGTTAGTGGTTTGGAAAGCTGCACAGCCCAGTTACTGGCAAATCTTTGTTTTATCCATCCTGACAGGTTCTGCCATACCATACAGGTAGGTATTTTTTCTAATGCTGTAATATAAATCACTGTCAGTTCATCAGCATTCCCACAGTTTTCCAAAGTACTTTTGTGTCTGCCAAAGATTCCCACAGGACCTCTAGGCCTAGAGGATGCTATATTAGCTCCTTTAATGGAGCATGTAGTGCTGAACTGTGCTCTGCTGCAACATTCCCACTCAGAGGAAGAGGCATAAGGAATGAGGTGGTCCCAAGAGTTACAGCTTAAGAACCATATTAGAGATCTCTAGTCTTAAACCATCATAGCAAAGTAAACCAATATTTTACTTATACAAAAGCTTTTTTCCCTTTCACTATTCACTTAAGAAAATTCCATATGAGGACCTCAGAGTAGAGTAAGACACCACCAGGAGATTGGAACCTTTGCCAGCCTGCAGAGGCCTGTCCTCCAACTGAGAACAGCTCAAGTGCAACGTGTGCTGGCCACGTGTCCTCCTGTGCCTTGTTCATTTTTCCTTTGGGTGAGTACCTATTTCCCCTCTTTTTTTCCTAAACTTTCAAAAAAATTTAAAAAAAAGAAATAGAATTCAGTTCATGTATTATTTTGTGAGCATCTCTTTTATCTCTGGGAGTTGGAATTACTGCCTTTGCCATCTAATAACACAACAGAAGTCCTGAAAATAGGAAGTGATGTCTCAGATCCCAGGGCTGCTTTTGCCACCCCACAGTGATGCTGCCCTGCTCTTGTGCTGCCCTGCTTTGCTGAAGGTTGTGAGAGCAAAGCTCCAGCCACGCTAAAGGATTTGAAGCAAAACAGGCCCTTTTATTTTCAGATCATCTCAAGGGCCTTCGAGAGCGGGAGGAAACCAAATGACAGTTAATGGATCTGGGAGGGCCTGACCTGAGGATAAGGTTAAGTGGTGTAATAATCTCCATCCTGAACTTGGGGCTGTGGAGCAGCTTCCCTAATGTGCTTGGTCACAAGGTGAACCACTCTGAGCAAACCTCACAGATTTTCTGCCCACACCACTTAGAGCAAAGCTCAGGGTTCTGTTAAACACCTGAATCCTCCCCTAAAACACTTCCTTTTCTTTAATTAATGACTACTTTCCTCCACATTACACTCACTGATAAACTTGACATATTTCTGTGCACTGCCCTTTCTTTGGTGCTCTGATTTTTTTACTTCCAAAAGCACAGTGTATCATATTTTCTAGATATAAAACATTTCTTAGTTAAATTATAGGCTTTCTTCTTTGAGAATCAAAGAAGTTAATGCATGAGTTCTCTTTGTTTGGCTTTGTTGTGAGGGAAGGGAATGGTCTGGCTGAAGAACTGTTTCTTTTGAGAGAGTGTTGGATGGCCGTATCAGTCAGATTTTTGTTTTTCTTTCTTTGCCTAGAGAAACTCTGCAATTCATTAGCTAGTTTTATCTTTCTTTCAATGTCTTCTTTATGCTTGTTGTTAAGACCAGTGTAGGCAATATTATCCACAAACCTCATTAAGGAAAAATGTTTTAATGTCCTTCTCTCAGAGAAATGACACATATTACCAGTGTAGAAAAAACAGCTGAGCTAAATTTGGAATTTCTCTAAAACAAGAAAGAGACTATTGGAGTCTCTTCCCAAGAGAAGAACCCACGGGGATTTATTCCCTGGCGACTTAGGAATTATTTGTTTCCAATATACAACGTCCCAACTCAACCCAGCCATACTCTTGGAATATTGTTGGGCTGAAGAAGCTCTTTAGCTTTCAAGGCTTAACACTGACTTACTCTCCCTGAAGTACAATGGTGTTGCAAAATGTCAGGCAATGGAACTGATAACAGGATCAGTCAAAAGAAACACTGGGGTAGGAGACCAGCACTTGGTATGTAGACAAGGAAAGCCTTGCACCTGAGCTAACAAAAGCAGAGGGAACCTGAGGAATAGGCTACACAGCTAGGTAGATGGCCAAGAGAAATGGAAAGGAATGGAAAAAAAGAATGCATAAAAATAATCCTTCAGAGAAAGTCACTAATCTCCTAGTCAGGATGAAAAGGCTACTGGGAAATGGGTGGCAGCCACAATCAAAAAGTACTGTATTTGTAACAGAGGTACACAGGTATTTTACTCTGACTTGTCCATGATTTGTACAGATAAAAAGTGCAATCAGAAGTTTTTGAGAGATGTAGCTCCCCCTTGAAAGTGTTCATATGAGTGAAGGAAAGGCAGGAGGGGATTCAGAAGTGGATGCAAGTTGTTTACAAGGCAGGCATTACAGACAGCATGCTTTTGTTCTGTTTGCAGGCCAAAAAGACATGGGAAGAACCTGCCACCTCTGCCAGCTGTGCCAGAAAACTTCTTTCCTGAAGAAGTCGTGTGTGATTGATCTCTGAAGCAACTGCTGAGTTACAATCCCACAAAAAACATGGAATTGCTGTCTGCTCGTGTTCTCTGGTAAGTGCAGCACTTTCTTTTAATTTAGGCTGTAGCTCTCATGGCTCATGCTTTCAGCCCTGGGAATCCTCTGTGGCCCTTTGAATTGGCCAAGAGAAGCACTGTACAAATACACTTTCAGGATCTTGTGCCAAGGGATCTTCTCCTCTAGTCAAGCCTCAAAAGGTCAGGGTATCTTCAGTGGGGTTGATTTCCCTGAACTGAGGAGGAACACAACAGTGCAGAGGGATCACACTCCCCCCAGCCCCCAGAATGGTTAATAACTGAGGTGCATCAGGCTTTCAGATGGACACAGAGAAGAGATTTTGTGTCCTTGATGTCTGTATTTTATGGTATCATAAGACCTAGTAGGAGCTCACCACTCTGAACCCCTTGTCAGCGGTCATTCCCATAGGCACATCCAAGCACCTTGATTTTAAGTTCTAAAGCATTATATATCCCTAGCAGGAAAAAAAAAGTGAAAGAAATAAATTCAGTATTGAGAAAACAATAAGAAGCATAGCGGAAAGAATAATGAAAGATTGGAAATGATTTATGGGTGTAATGGATCACTCTATATATCTTTACAGAAAGAAAATATCCAAATTACCTCAGCTTTAACAGTCATATTCCTAGTGACTGCAGAGGAAGAACTTTTAAATGTATGTGTAAGACTGGAAATGGTTATAAAAGATCAGAGGCTTTCAAAATTCACTGTGTACCAGGTCTAGTGAGTGCAGTGCCAAGAGTAATATATGAAATCTGATCCGACAGTTTCATAATTTTCCTTTGTTTGAGGAGATCCCCATGCAATGCAAACGTACAGCATCGTGCCAGGAGTAAGAGACACGGTTAGTGGAAAGGACTCGGAGGTAATGACCACTGGGCAGTTTCTCCCTGGCAAAATATAAAAAGAAAATGAAGAATTAAGTCCATTAAGAAATCCCAAGGAACATGGTTTAGATTAAAGGACCCTCCTTTCAGCCAGGAGGCTGGAAGGTTGATGTAGCACTGCTCGTGCAGATGTTTGGAAAGTATTTCACAAACTCTTAATTTTGGAGAGTGCTTCTAAAGGCTGTTGCTCTTCCGCTGATCTGCGCCACCTCCAATTTATCTTAAGCATAAAATAGGAAAAAAACCCAGAAACTACAGCTTCTAGTTAAGTAGGAGAGGTCTTTTTAAAGAAACACAATAAAACATAAGATGTTATGGTCCAAATCCTGTAGATCCAGTATCTATAGTAGGCTGGCAGGTCTCCTTTTACCTATGAGCAATAAAAATGAAGTAAAAGCAAATCTGTCAAAACTCAGCGAGTTTAATTCAATCCCTTGGTTCATATTGGCTACATGTGAACAGTGCATAGAGCAGTAAATTGCTATACTGAAGTCCTGGGAGTTCAGACTTGGTTGTGTGGTTTGTCTTTAAAAATCTGGTTCTATATTATGCTTCAGGTAGATTTTTTACCAGGATTCTGTACCTGGCAACAGTACCTCAGCCCATCTCTGCGTGAATCCGGTCCAGCTCTGAATATCTCGAACACTAAGCACACAGAAAGATGACTTAGGTAAGATCTCAAGGAAGGGAGCTTGTGTCTGGGCCAATGCTCTGAGGTTCTGCTCATTAGTTTTGCAACTTCTTTGTTAAATTCTGACTTCAACTTGAAGAACACTCAAAGCCCCTTGTCAAGTGTAAGGGTGAGAGCTCCTTCTCTCAGACAGAAACAAACCTGCTTCCTGGTGCCAGTTCAGCTCTGACAAAAGGACAACCCAGCTCTGCTGATGTTCTCTGTACTACATTTTCCTACAGGACAGGGGAAATGCTGAATGTTGCTGTTCTCCTGCCTGCTCCCCCTTTCTGACTCTCTGCATTTTTGTGCATGTTTTCTGATCATCTCTCCAAGTCTCTCCCTCATTGTCTGGAGAAGGTGGTACCTAATGGCCATTCCCCAAGGAAACAGTTTCTCCTTTCCTAACCACATTTCATTGTCCCAAGTGCAAGATGTGATGAGGGATGGCTCTTGTCCTAATGAAAGAGAGTGAAGGTTCCATTGACTTCACCGGGGTCAAAACTTCACCCTCTAGGACCTATTGGTAGAAATGGGAGGGAATTTCCATTTTCACAGAGAATTTGCAACCCCTTAATTGTGTTGAAACCTCCAATATTTCCTTCGTGGGGCAAAGTTCATATCTTCTTTCAGATGAATGTAGTGGCTGAGCGTCATCTGCTGCTGCAAAACCTTTACGAGTCACTTAAAACTAGAGCAGGCATAAAAGAGAAGCAGGGTGGGAAAGGGTTGTTTGCTATTAAACACCAACACAAACCCAGCTTTTTGTCTGTGCCCTTCCCCCTTTTTGTTCACACACTCCTCTTCACCCTTCAGACAGCCTTAGAATGCTAATTTTTCTAATCACTTGGAGAATAAAAACTATTATAGAAATCAACTGAAATATTATTTTAAACCCTGTTTAATGAGACTGGATCCACACCTATAAATAAAGTCTTAACTTCCAAAACAAGGGTGTGGGAAGTACCAATACAACCTGACACATTAAAATTCAAAGCAAGTATTTGAAATCAGTTTCAAAAAGGGTTGTTCAACACATACTGGCAGGTGGGATTTATGAAGAAATGGTTTTAAATAAAAGTCTAATTGTTCTCTTTTCACAGATGTTTAGGATTTCTCTTCACAAAGCAGATGATACAGATGCTCAGGAAGATTCAGTGAAATGGTAGTGTAATGATAAAGATTTGATTGTGCTAGTCCACCAGTTTGTGAACTTTAAGGTATTCAATTATTCTGATTTTCTCAGGGTAGAATCTGTATGCATGTAACCCATGGTTAGCACTAATAACAATATGAAACCCTTCCCACATCAAAGCTGTGACTACATGCTTTTGTCTGACCCAATGGTTTGAGAGAAAATCTTGATAAATCAACATGAGTTTTTTTCTTTTTCCTTTTTTTCTTTTCCTCTTTCTTAAGTTTTGTTGTCTTGATTAGATAAAAAATAATAGGGGGCTGTCAATCTGTTTTCTTTTCAGGTCTTCTCTGCCTCTTTCTAAATTAGTTACAGCCTGCTTTTTGTAGCTTTATAGCCAGCCTGACCTAATTTAATTACCATGACTTGTGTGGCTTAAAGATAAATAGTTTTATTCAGTCTGCCTACTTTTGTATAAGTTTTCCCTTTCACACATCTCTCTATATTTTGGCATTCAGAATTCTTGTCCTCTGTTCTCGGGTAGGTTAACACAAGGTTAGTTTATAGCATTGTCCATATTTTCACACAAAGGCCTTTGATGCACTCAGTCCCTGTCTGTGCTGGGAGGCTTTGTGGGACACAAATGAACATGAGCTGGGGAGGCACAGGAGGGAAAATACACCCTTATGCCATCAGGAGGTGGAAATCCTCAAAGCTTGGTCCTATACCAACACTGTCTGAGGGGTTTTTTTTCTTATTTTAGGAAAATACTTCAGAAATCACAGCTTGGGATTTCTTCCCTACTTTTCAAGATTATTTTAAACTGTGCCATAAGCAGAGGGAAGATCTCCAGCAACATAACTTTGCAGTAAGAAAATGCCTTCAAGCTGTCCCAGAAGACAAGGGCTTTACACAGAGATGTGTCCCCAATGTACAGATCCATGGGGTTCATGCCAAGAACATGGAAAAATCCTTCTACTACTGCCCTGCTGGCCACCTTGGAGTACAGAAAGCAAGCAACCAGCTTATACAACTGCAAAATCTACTTAAAAGAAGGGATTATCATGTTCCTTCCTCTCTGGGGAAAGGGAGAAAGACTGACCAGGAAAACATGACTGATAGTAAATGTTTTGGGTTTTTTTTTTAAATAATTAAATATCTTACATTCCCATAATCACTGCATTGTTTTAGGATCTCAGAGGTAACATTCAGAAATCATGACTGATAGAAATGGTAAAAAATTATCAAATCTGTTACATTTCCAGAATCACTGCACTTTTTATAATCTCACAGAATGATAACATTCCGAAATCATGACTGAGAGTAAATGATATAAAAAAAAATGCAGTGATTCTGGGAATGTAAGAGATTTAATAATTTTTTAATCTCACAGATACCATTCAGAAATCATGACTGATAGTAAATGGTTTTTTTTAGAAATGATTAAATCTGTTACATTCCCAGAATTTTTTAATCTCACAGAAACATTCAGAAATCATGACTGATAGTAAGTGATAAAAGATGATTAAATCTGTTACATTCCCTGAATCACTGCATTTTTTTATAATCTCACAGATAATGTTCAGAAATCATGACTGATAATAAATGGGTTTTTTTAAAAAAAAATGTTTAAATCTGTTACATTCCTGTAATCATTGCATTTTTTTTATACTCCCACAGGTAACATTCATTATTCATGACTTATAGTAAATGATAAAACATGATTAAATCTGTTCCATTCCCATAATCACTGCATTTTTTTTATGATCTCACAGATACCACTCAGAAATCATGACTGATAGTAAATGGTTTCTTGAAGATGAAGTCTTTTACATTTCTGTAATCCCTGTGTTTTTTTAAGACTACCTCCATATATGTTTAATCTATGAACACTAAACACGTTTTGCAGTAGTTTAAAAACAGTTCTGTTGAGACTTGCTGCAGTTTTTAATGTAACTGTAGATACCTAATCTAGTGTCATTTCTGTGTCATGCTGATGGTGCTAGAAGAGCCTCTGGCACTTTTCTGAAAAGGCACCTATTTGGGTTTAAAATGAGTGTATTTGAGGTCATTAGGAAAGGAAATTTCCAGCACTAATTCTGCCCTACCACAGGTTTTAGCAGAAAGAACAAACCAAAGAACAAAAGGAAACCCAACAACTGTGTTTGATGAATCCATGTGCAATATTTTTGTTACAGTGAAATAAAACACCAGACACCTTGAAGTTGCTCTCCTGTGTTTAATTCTTCTGAGCTACTTTTTAAATTGATCTCCCAGTACTTGGTCTCTTCCCACCCTTGTTATTAAACTAACAAAAGCAGTTTATACCACCACACTGTAAGCAAAGTAGTAAAATAAAAACTTTCAAGCATTTGCTTCAGCCTGTTGGACACATTTACCTAAAATCACATTCATGTTCTATTAAATAAAATTCCATACATACCATTTTATTTCAATATATAAAAGCAAATGTAATATTCAAATGCCTTGTTTCAGCATTGTTGGTCTATTTATCTGATGGCAATATTCCTACACAGCTTACATGCCCCTAACCTGAATAATGGTAAAGCTCCCAGGAAGCTGATTTGCTTCAGAACAGATGATAACGTTCCTGGAGGTGCAGGGAAAAAAAACAAACATCCAAACCCTTCATATAAACTTTTCAAGAAATACTGCAATCCTCAGCAAAAATCAAGTAAGTTAACACATTTTGATAAAATTTAAAACTTCAGGGCCTGAGGGCATATTTCTCCTACAAAGAGGGTCACCTGCAAAGGAGGAATTCCACGAAATCCAGTTGGAGATTTCTGACTGGTTCATCCACTCTTTCCAGTTGTCCTTTTCATATTTAATGGTATTTATTTATTTGGACCTTTTCCTTGACAGAACTGTATATAAACTCATGAATACAAAGAGAGCAGTGTTTGACAGTTAAGGCAGCTGCTCTCCCTGCCTTTAGACCCACCTCTTCCCTGTGTGCCATTGCTCCTGGAGAAGGAAAAGATGAGCCAGAAGGGACAGAGAAGCAGTTCCTGAATGGCTCAGGCTCAGTTTACTGTGGTAACTTATATCTACAGCCTGATAATTTACAAAAATGAACACTCTGTATGCACCAGCAGTGGATAAGAACAGCAGAAGCAGGTACACATAAATCAGGATAGCAAATATGTGTGGGACACAGAAATCTGTGCTGAAGGACTGAAATGAGAGTTACCTGGGCTCCTCCAGAGGTTCTGCTGACAAAGGCAAAGTGTTCCTGCCAACAGTGATCGATCACTTCTGTTCTCCTTTCTAGGAAGGTGAAAAATCTCTTTCTTTTATGTGTCCAGATTATTTTGATTTTAAATGTTTCACAAAAGGTTACACCTTCCAGTCTGAGAGCACAATCATCCTTGATCTCATTTGGTGTCTGTAGATGATTTCATTTCACCTAAAAGCAATATAAGGGCCACCACAGATGAATTTTAGAAAAGGTCATTCCTTATTTACATATCTATCTTTGTTATATCCTGTACAAAAATTATGTCAGAATGAGATATGCCAGGAGGGAAAAAAAAAAGTACAGATAATTCCCTGATCTGAATGTGGATCAAACACTGGCTGCATTTGGCAGAAGTGCACATCTGATTGTTACTGCAGCCAGATTCCAGGAAATAACGGGCAGAATGTGGCACAGATTCCACTGCTCTGATCATGCACAGAAACCAGCTGATATTTTGAGGTTCTGAGGTTACAACATGTGGCTCTTCTAAAGCACAGCCTGCAACCTTGAGGGGTTTATTTTGTTTTCCAACTGGAATCTGACATGCATGGCATGTGAACATTTGGAAGTCATATTGATCACCATGCATTACATATAATTGCTTTAACTTTTATAGCATGCAGTCATTAAACTGACTTCCATAATAATAGAGCACTTAACAGAACCCTTGCCCACATGTGACCCAATAAAGAGGAATAAGAGTGGTGTCTAACTCTACAAAGAGTGTTTACTGGAGTGTGGATGGATACACACCCCTTCTAACTCAGTGGTGATGCTTCCAAAGGAAGGGCTGGAGAGGAAGCAGGTCAGCCTGTGATCTGTGAACAGATAGACACACACATAAGGACAAACTATTTCTGGCACACTCAACATTCTCTGAACAGCAGGGAGAGATCTGATATGTGAAACAGTAGGCCCCAGCCAATTAGTCTGTGGCAGATAAGAACCTCTCCTTAATTTGTGCTGTTGGGTTTATATGTGGTTCTTCCTCTCTGACTTCACTAAAACCCAGTTTTTATCAGCTGGGATGCTGGCATTCTTTCCAGGTGCAGCAAGGGATTTGGAAGGAATGAAGTATGATCTGGGGGCCTTGCTTCTGTCGTAAGGGGAGCAATGCTTTTGTAGTTCTACTGCTCAAAAAAAATCTGTGAACAAGAGAACTAGCTCCTTTATTATCCACACAAGTGCACCCTTTCAAAGCATCACAGGGAACTCAACAAGTAACATCCATTAATATCTGACAGCAGCAAGACTCAAGAAATCAAAGACTTGGAAATTTGCCTTGCCAGAGTGGTGCAGAAAAAGTTCCTATAAAAACAGTCAAGAAAAGTTAAAAAAATCCCCTATATCATGAATATCTTGCATTGCTGTTTACATCTGTGCATTGCTACATTCCCAAAGTTAAGAAAAGTAAAGGTCTTCTAAGACAACATCCCCAAGGCACATAAACAACTGTGGGGTATGTTGTTGAGATGGCAAATTCACTCCACACGTTAGAGAAACTTTTAAAATTTTAAACTGGTACTTGCATTATTCCACTACATCAGCAAAAGCAGCACCTCACACTTTTCTCAGTAAGAATTTAACAGCATGAATCTAAGTTTTCATTTGATGGAAAAAAACCCAAAAAACCCTTTACAGTCCTTTTTGCTAGAGAAAGAATTTTTTGAGGCCTCACAGGAGGGATTTTTTTCTTTCTCCTTGTTGTTGTTAACTTGATTTATTTTTACATATCCTTAGAAGCTGCAGTCAAACTTCACACAAAAAGTGTTTCCAACAAAAGAGGTTCATGCTTCTGGATAGAAAACAAGTAAAACTCAGATTCAAATTCCTCCTTTACTTCCGTGACCCGGGGCAGCTCCTGCTGCCTTTAAAGTATGCAGTACTTCTCCTGTCCCTGGTGATTGTTATTAATACAGTTTAGGGAAAGTGGTGATAAAGATCAATTCCTTACCCAGAAAAGAAACATTAACTGCTTCTTTCATGTCTTCCGTAGTGAGTGAGCAGCTACAGTTTCAAATGATCCCCAGATGTTTAGGACTTCTGGTGCTCAAAAGCAGGGTAGGTTTTCTCCAGAGCCAGGGTGGGTATTTCTGGTTATCCTGCACACTCCAACCCCTTGTCCTCAGAAGAGAATGTAAAGGTCAAAGAAAAAGCCTGTGTGGTGTAGAAGTCCCCAAGGAAAAATAAACCAAGGATGGTCTCTCAGCATTGGTCAACTTAAGCTATACCTCTGCATACTGAACAAAATATTGAAGGGATTCCTACAGAGATGGGTATATGAACACTACAAGCTTTTCACTTAGTTACAGGAAGATTTAATGATTCCAGTAAAAGAGTAACTGCTGAGGTCTCTCATAAAAACTATTCTATTTCCCTGGTTCTTTACAGCAGTGTTTTTCTTTATTCTTTCTCAGAGCTTGGACACAGTACAGTCCACCTACATTTGTAAACATGATTACTAACAGAAAAATGGAAAAAAATATTTCCACCTTAGCTACTACAAGAATAATAAGAACAATTTTCATTCTACTTCTCTTTCCTTTGCATTTTGTTCTAATTATTCCCTGGTGATATGAAGACTTACCTTTACTAATGCTTAGTCCCACTGGAAGCAATTAATGCTGATAAAAACAGGCACTTTCCAAGAGCTTTAAACAGATTATTGTCTGAAGAGCCCAACAATTCTGTTGTTATCATAACCAGGTAATAAAGACAGAGGAGGAACATGCCATACAGGACATTAAAATACTTTATCTTCTTGGTCTGCACTGTTCCTTTCCCTCTCATCTTCTGAGGAGCACTGCCCAAAAGATTTAGTGCTTCAGGAACAGCAGAAGCAGAGACAAAATGTCCCAAATCATGGTAGGACTCAAGTCCAATCTCTCACACCTGCAATAGACAAACAAAAGCCCCCAATCCTGATTTCAGAGCAATTATTCTGACTGAGCACTCAGATAACTGAGCTGGGCTCCTCTTTTTAATGAATTTTTAAGATGCCAATTTGACTTCATTAGATCAGACCATTTGGAAATTAAGCATTTACACGTGTGGTTACACTATTTCTTTCATGCCAAATAGGCAGGATTAAAATTGACTTCTCTGGTCACGTGCAACGGTCACAATTAACCAAGTTGTTCAGTCTCTGCAGGATCAGAACCAAAATACTATCTGAATGGTATTTTTAAACAGAGGATGACATTATTTGACCACATTATCTTAGCTGATACTGAGAAGGTGGTAGGATGGCCTTGCACACAGTGTGTTCCCAGTGGGAGCTGGGAGGTTTGAGTTAGACCATGTTAACACAGTTTAGTTCTCCCAGTTAGAATCCTGGCTCATAAAGCTACTCTCTATTCTACTGCAAAAGTATGACACAGGCAAACATGCATTTATGAGCAGAACAGTACCTAGTTCAGGTGTGAAACATTTTAATCTGTTAGCATATAAATGTTAGGAATGTTGAGTTAATAATCTGTTAATCCTTGACTACTGTTGGTCACGGGTTTGTTCAAACTGAACTCTAAATTCACTTATTCAGTAACTCCCAACTACACACAATCTTATTTTTATCAAAATCCTGCTACTTACTGATATATTTCACTCAGCTTGTCAAAAACAAGTGGAAATACAAACACCACAGACAGAGGTCTTCCAGTGTAAAGAGGCCAATCTTCCTGCTGAGAAACCTGAAAGAAACGATGAAGTGCATCACTGATTCTCTGTTTATTGGGAAAAGGCACATTTGTAAGTCTTAAGAAGTAAATGCAAATTGGAAGCTCTCTTCCATAGCCCTGAAATGGTATTGTGGGAGACACCAGAACTCTGCTGACAATCTGGTATTGCGGTTCGCTGAGAGAAAATGGGAGAACAGCTGGAAAGCAATTTCATTAATAATTTCCACCCTGTTTCTCCCTCTTGCAATTCACTTCATTTCAGGCTTTCTTTCCCCATTCCCAAGTCTTCCACATTTTTGTTTTAGCACTTCAAGAAATCTTTCATCTACAGATTTCCCCTTCTTTCCCCCTTTTTTGGCCTGTTTCATTTCCCTCCCAACTTTACCTGAGGGGAAATCACTGTTCACAACTAGCTAGATGGCTATAGAGGAGAAACACAGGAAAAAATACATATAATAATTACAAAAAAAGTTTTTTAACTTTAAGGATTGCAGAACTTTCTTCATTTGAAAATCAATTTCATTGATGGGCATCCTACTTCAAAAAGAAATTGTCTTGTTAATTAATAAAATTTTGCTCAAAAATACCAATCCCCTCAACTATAAAATAAGCATGGGACCACTTGGCTACTTGTCACCAGCTTCCCAAAAAGCATCCTTCTGTTTGCTAAAGTAGTTACTACCCTCAGATATTATTAAACTGCAGAGACTATGGGGCTTTTTAAATATTCTTTCATGTCCAAGATTATTAATGTGTCCTTTTTAGGTGTTATTTTTGTATAGATTAGCTTGTGTTTCCCGCCTGAATTCTCAATGAGGCTGCAGCTGCAGTGTGACCTCAACCTTTTTTTTCCCCCCTCTCTTTTTTTAATTTTTATTACTTAGCAGAGATTTTAAGATAGGAAATAACGGGAAGCTTATTGGGCTTGAAGGCAATCCCTAGTGGTACACACTTTAGTTGGGGTGTAGCTGTTGATATGTCTGGAACCACAAGTGAAAGTCAGCCAGAGAGCCCACTGACTCAAAGCAAAATAATGATGAGGGTAAATGTCCTGGGATCTGTAAAATCACCTGTGATGCTGCAGCTCACCAAACTATACCTAATTTAACAACTTTCTTAAAATGTACAGACTTCTAAACTAGAAATTAGGAAGAGCCAAAACAGAAAAATGTGGTGGAGATGGACAAGATGATTGTGAAATAAAATAAACAGGCTTTAAGAGAAAGCAGAAAGTTCAGCTTGTCCTTATATTATTTGCAAGTGAACACACTTTCTTATAATAAATATTATAAATACATAAATGCTATAAATAAATATATATATTAAGAATAAATATTATAAATAAAGATCTCCACTGACCACATCTAACATGAAATTGGAGAACAGTCAGTTATTTATGGTAGAAATGAGTAGATGAAGTGCTTTGCAGAAGCTCACAGAACCCACTGTAACACTTTTGGCTCACTGGACACTCTGAAATAGAACCTGAACGCTTCAGAACGAGTTAACCCAGCTCAAGAGCCTTTGAAATCGGCTTTTGTTTGTCACCCATAGGCTCTCATGACTCCTCCCCCTTTTCTGCACACTATATTATTATTCATGATCTGTCAGCAGCCAAGGAATTCCTCTGGGTGATGAAGTGCATTTGGACTAATTGTTTCATTTACTTTAAAAGAACAAAGAAATATGTCAAAGCACATTTACTCTTTTGGGGACACTTTTGGATATGTGTTGCGAGGTTTTAAGGTTTTTGGAGCTGAAGATTTAACTTCCAAAAATTCTTTTAAGTCAAAGCATCACCCAGTATAGATATTAAAGACACATGGTGAGGAGAGCATCAAAGTTCTTGCATTTCTGCTGCAACACATTTCACCTGAATGCCAACAGTTTTCCCAGAGTATCTTGACACATCTCAGATATGACACCAAGGAATTCAGGCTCTTCATCCTCTGCTCCCTAAACAAAAAACTGATTTTGTTTCCAATCCCAAACCTCTGCCCCACTTCTGCTGTCCTGATGTCCTCCCGTAGCTGCTTATCCTGTTTCTTCCTCTTCTGTTCCCCTCCCAGCTGACCTGAGTGTCACCCTGGTCAATCATCTCTAACTCATCTGCTGGAAAACATTAAACTGTATGTTCACCTCAGTCATCATGGGCTGTAAAAATGTGCTTCAGGTTTGTCCAAAAATATATTTGAAAATCATTACTTTACTGTGTATTTTTTCCTTGGGCTGTTCCTGGACTGGTATCCATTTACACTGCCCTCCAGTCTCCCATCCCAGTGCCTGTGTGCCTAACAAATTAAAACTTTAGTACTAACAGAATGTAATGGACCTTTTTATTAGGAGCTTTTATGGCATTATTTCCTTACTGTATCAGTACTCCAGAAGAATATGAAACTGCCTTTCACAAACCTCTCTGGCTGTATAAAGACCTGAGCTCCAGCTCGTACTGTAAGGAGCAAAGAGGCTTTTGACACTGTAAGATAAATGGGATGGAGCTGTCCAGGCTCTCTCCAGGAGCCACAGGGAGACCTTAGATAATTTGCCACCAGCAGGTGAGGCGAGTCCCACACAAGAGCAGCCCTTCCTCACTTCTCAGGTGGTCAGCTGACACTTGAACACAAACTCCCAGTCAAATGTAGAGGTGGGCAGAAAGCTAATAGTTATATTTAAATGTTAGTCTGATTTCAAGTTTCCAGTTAAATAATGAATTAAAATTTGATCTGATTTGCTATAGTATAATTTTCTTTAAGACCTGTTCCTGTTTCAAAAGGGATGTATGTATTAATTCTCAACTGTAATATCACATCCTTCCATCTGTCCACTTTTCTACTATTCCATGTTCCCACAGGCAAGGAAATACTCAGCTTTTCACTTCTCTGGCTTTATGATTTCCCCCAGTTTCCTATCCTCAGGTTTACTCAAGGCAGCTCCCTCAGATCAGCCACCTTTTTCTCACAGAAAACCAAGAAAGAACCTGAGGCTTTCCTAGTAAAACATACATATCCCCACCTCAAAACCTTGCTGAGCACAGTTTTTTTGGTTTTATTCTTCATTCATGTTACTCTAAGAGTTTCAAGGAAGTAGTTTTTGGTACTCTGGTACATTACAATTTTTGAGCAATTTTTGCTCCAAGTCAACAGGTTTTATTTCTTTACCAATTCCAGACTCTATTCCCACCTCTTTAGTTTCTGTCTTTCTAGGTAAAGAAGTAGTTTGTCAGTGTTTTTGTTTTTCTTCTTTTTTTTGTCTTTTGTGCAGCCTAACTCTTCACATGGTATTAGCTTCCTTCACATGGTATTTGCAATGCTTTGATCATTCCCTCCCCTCATTATTTTGTTCCTCCACTGGGAAGGATACATTAACACCAGAAACTTTCCACACTAGGTAAGAGGGCAACCTTCTCCTTGGAGACACTGTCTGTCCTGTTCAGTTTTACATTTTGCCTTGTTATTGATATTGACAGTGAACACTTGGTACTTATGGAAATTGGGGACGTAATTCTCACCATAAAACATTTGCTGCAGCAAACTCAGCCCAGCAAACAAATTGATGTATACAAGGGGAACAATATAAAAGCTATCAGCGGGGCACAGGCTTATTTTATGCAGATGTACAGTTTGCATATTATGGGACTCAACAGCACTCAAGTTTCCAATAAGTCCTTTTTTTTGCTTGACCAATTTTGTTCATTACTTATAGCTCCCTGCAGAATTCAGAGCTGTTGTTACGAACATATACATTACAGAAGGAACACAGCCTGACATGCATAGCTGCTTAATAAGGTTTTCATCAGCTGCTTTTACTGACATTTTTCATTTCTCTCATGCCCTGCTTTTAATGTCCCAGTCTTCATTTGATTCCATAAAACAAAAGGAGTGGAGTATTGCCACAGAAAGTGTTCGTGGCTGAATATAAAAGGAATCACACACTGCACTTGAAGCATGAAGGCTCCATAGGTTTCCTGTTTGCATATGCAATCTACACTGGCAAAGTTATCCTCTTTTCCCGTATCAGATTAACCCCATTAAAAAAAAGCATGCTCAGAGCTTTGATTCATAATTGAAAATAATCCATAATGAGTTTTAAGTGTAACTTTCAAAAGCAAGCCTGCATATTCGTGCAAAGAATTCTGTGCTATTTTCCAAGGACTGCACTTGTGAAACTGCACTGATCCCTGGCTGATGTTCAGAACCCGCCCATCTCAAAGGACACCAGTCAAAGGAAAGTGTCCTTTCATCACTGAGGAGTCATTGTGAAGTCCTGAATTGTGATTATTTGAGGTAACAGAGTTGGCAAAAAAAACCAAAACCAAACAGTTCTCTATCCTACCAAGATGTCAATAAAGTGAGTGCCTGAGGGTTGTCAGTTCAGGTCTATTAGGACCTGAGGTAAGTTCAGTCTGGCTCGAGGACACAGCTCTGACTCACACCAGAAAGCATATTTAGGTGGCACTACACTTACTGAAGAGTGGTCTGTACCCAAAATCAAACTGTTTATCACGATCCAAATATTTAGAGAAAAGTAAAAACCTGCTAATTTTTTCAACTGCTGTCAGCAGTAGTGGTGTCTGTATCCCCTGTCAGCCACCCTTTCCCAGCAGAAAAGAGGCTGACGAAGGTCTAGTACATATTTTTCTGTACGTTTTCTACCTTGCTGTGGGGTGTAACTCTTCAGCATGAGATGCCTCATGATATGAAGAGGAGAAAGACAGTGAAGCCTCACACTCTGTGGTCAAAGGAGGTGACCAGAAAGCTTTCCTATTGATGCAAACCTGCTGCAAGTCCACTTCCATTCTCCTCAGGGATTTCCATCAATGCCCTTTCTCACTAAGCCTCTCCTTCTCCTTAGCTCACAGCTTGGCTTTGTCCCGGCCACGCTCCACCTCCGGCAGTTGGGATAAATGAGGGATTCAGATTCCCAACCCCTTTACTTGCATTTGGAATAGGCTACGGCATTCTGGGCAAACGTGGTTTATTTTCTTGATCCCCATCAATATAATATCAGCTGGCACCAGGAAACCTGAGCTGCCTTTGCTCAGATCTGATACCCAGCACTGCTCCCAGCACTGCCAGAGGAGGGTTGTGTTGAAGTGCCCTGGACAGCTTTGCAGATGTCAGTGCCAGCACACCTCAAAACCATCTAAAAAGTTGACTGTTGATACAATAACTCTCAAGATGTGTCCAACAACAGCACAAAGGAAAGCTGTGAAGGGCAAGGGGGGAGATGGAAGAAAAAAACCAAGAGGCTAAAAAGTTTGGAGTTGGTGCTCATTATTATAAATAGTGCCTAGTGCAAAATCAGAAATAAGTTGTAGCTAGTAAATTATCCATCTTGCAACAATCTAACTAGATTGTCAGGAATAGAGAGAATTAAAAAAGGTCCAAATTTCTACTCTGCTGTTCATTTCCTCAGGCAAGAAGCAATTCTGAACCTCAGTCAGATCCCAGACTTTATCTGCCTATAATGGAGCTCTTCAGGTCCAAGTCTTATTAAAATTAAATGGATATTTTGAGTGTGTTTTGAGTCACCTCTGATTGCTTTAAGCTTTGGTGGTATTGTCAGACCAAAAAACCCAACGAATCCAACCTAAAAATAGTCAAGAAGTATGTATTAATTACTTTTTTAAAACCTGCAATTTACAGTGACATTTAACCCATCTTTCCAGAGCTGCAATTTGAAAAGTGTGTAATTACATCTGACCAGTGATAATCAGGGAGACAAATAAAATAAGACACATTTAAGGTGACCTTTCTTAATTGAACTTTGCCCGCAATTAATTATCCATTGTCTGGATGTATATTATTTACAATCAAGAAACAATTTATAATAATCTTCTAGGACTACAACATATTTTTCTAAATGAAAAATGATATCACGGGTTGCTTAGTTTCTTCTGTCCCAACTCAACAGGTGTTTTGAAAAATAATATACAAAATTTCAGCCCGAGGGAAAAGAGGATTCAGTATCAGAGGGTTACAGTCTACTTCACACGAATTTTAAAAAAAAAGTTAACTGAGTTTGATCTTGTGAATGCACACTCTTATTTTAGCAATTAATGGAGCCATTCTAAGTCTCTCCACTGATTTCAGTGGAAAACTCCAGCCCCAGGAGCTGCTTGGCTAAATGGAATTTGTTAGCTGTGCAGCATTACATATTAATTTATACCACCAGGTCTGACAGTCTACCTGGGAGGCAGAAAGGCTGTAATTTAATATTTTAAGGTATATTATGCTCATTAAATGATATGTGTACATTAAGTGAAGGTAGAAGTTAACAGAAATCAATTTTTCTATAATAGAATACAGTGTAAACTAATGAGAACTAAAGGAATGTGAGTCACCACAGTGTAACAAAATATCCTCACATCTACACGTGGCCCTCGGGAATTGTCACCTCATGCTCTGTGTGACAGATTCCACCAACAGTGGGCTCTGTTGTCTGAGGTGACTCACCTGGAATTAGTCAATGCTTCTCAGTGAAGCCAAGGAATGTTAATATTCTAAAGAGCTCAGTAATACAATAAATCCTCACACTGCATTTACAGTATTGGCATAATGTTTAATTTTAGTATCTGTAATGGTTTTCCAAGAAAGTGACAGAGAAGTTACAATTGTACCCCAGAACTGTGGATTAAAACCTCTTTTCCCTCCTCTAATCCCAAAGCTAAAATGACTTTGTTTTCTGTACTGATTCACTGATACCTCAGGATAAACAGATATGTATCTTTAAAATATAATGTAAAATATAATTTTAAATTTTATAATATCTAAATATGCAAATGAGTACACCACATAAAAATTACTCAAATGCCACAGAAATAAATGGAACAACAAAAGATTCTTATAAACCATATTGCTATTCCTATTGGATCTTAAACATGATTTTTTTCATTACATGTTTATTCTGTACATTCCTTAGAATAGATGATTTCTAATGGCAGCTGAAGGCAGCAAATTCTGTAAAAATTTGCATGCAGTAAATTTACCCAGAAAACACTGGAAAAGATGCCTGGGCCTAAAAGCTGCTGAAACCCAAAGGAACATTTTGATTCCAGTTGTTTTGGATCAGCCCACGAGTGCAAACTACCTTCTGCATTTGAAAATCAGCATTTTAGAATATTAAGTCATAAAATACTCCTATTTTCTTGTTCATTACAGTATCATCTTCCTTACATTATTCCCTTTCCAAATTATATATATATATACATATATATATACACACACACGCTGCCCTTTTTCCACAAGAATGACTTAATATATTGAGACATCCCAGCTTTCCTGTTATCCTTCGTATTTTCCCCTATTTTGCTCTTGCCTCCACTTCTGCCCATTTTTAAGAGAACAAGTAACACAACTGCACCTCTTGCTAACACCAGATCTTTGGAAATGCATTTTAATGACTCTGAAATTCCTGACTCCTCTCACCTCTGACTGAGGTTCAGAGTTTCCAAAGGCAGACCCATGTTCTCCCATTAGAAACAGAGATTACTCCCTGAACATGCTCAGGCTCCGTGCTTCCAACACAAACATTTAGCAGTCCCTTGGGAACTGTGCTCTACCTTACAACTGTGACATGAGTTTTTCTACAATGCCAGTGGGAACTCGCATTTTTAACATCTGTGTGCTCCTGGAGAAGAAAATGTCCAGATATGAGGAATAAGCACTATTAATAGACATTCCCTAATTATAATTTCCATGATACCTGAAGTAATACATCTTAATGTGGCTTCAAAACCACGTGCCAAGGGAAGCATTTAAATTCCACCTGTACTTGGATGTACAATCCACATGACTGAATGCACAGAACAGGAGAGCACCAATGAAAGACCATTAAACACCTCACTAACCCCTTACACGCGCAATCATTTCCTTCATAGTAACCATGATGCAAATTTAAGCCTGGCAGAGAGCCATTCCAACACAAGCTTCCAAATCCCTGCATGCAGGATCTCAAGATCCTCTTGACCTTCACAAGCGATTTTACCAAGCAGTGAGAATTTTCAGAACTTTTTTTCCTCAAAATAAAACCTGAATAACAGAAATAAGAGTCAGTAAAACACCTCAACTAGTGCCTAAACATCACAGAATTATTACCTTTTTCCCTGGTTGGGGCTTTTTTTTATTTGAAAAGACTTGTGTCAAGTAAAATCCTTTCTTTTCAGTCTGGAGTAGAATAAGAAGCTATTACTCCCTAACAACTAGGGAGCCTATCCAATGAAGGAGGCCTCTGTGGGACACGTCAGCGTTTCCGTGCTGGCTGCCGTGGAGGGCAGTGACGCCGATGGAATGCGAGCACAGGTCACATTTGCCTTCCCAAACCTCGTCCCAAATGGAAACAAAAACCAGCTGTGACCAGCAGAACTCTGATTAATTGAGAGTGGCATCCTGAGCCCGGTGCTGGTGACCCAGTGACTGGGAATTGCCCGGGGAGGTTTGAAGCCTCGTGTCCTTCCCAGGGCAGCAGCCACAGATCCAACAAAAGTGCCTGGTTCGATCCCATTAGCCCACTGCTGTTTACAAATGTCGGGATCACACAGGGCCTGCCCGTGGCTTGGCACAGACAGACACGATCAGCCCTGGCACTGGAGGCTGCTGACAGACTGCCAGCCCCTGGTGCAGATGGTGGCAGCACGAGAGCGCTAATTACCGATGACATTAATGATGAGCTAACCTGTCCCTCTTCAGCTAATAAACAGACGGAATGTGTTCCCTATTCATTTATTTTTCCCCCCCCCAGATAACAAATTGTTCAGCTTTAATGGTAGAGAGCAACAAAACCAAATCATCTGTTCTTTGGAGAAATTTGTTTTCCGCTAATTGTTCTAAACAATCAATAAAAGAATTACAACTGGCATCACCCACTGAGAAGAGAAGCAGGGAAGTCAAAGTCAATTAGCTTCCTGTAGGATGATGCACTCACATGGAAAGAGTCATTACAACAGGGTGCAGAAGTCAGACTGCAAACTGTGCAGCTCCAAGAACAAAGCAGACTTGGATGGAAAGTCTAACAGAGGGCTTTCACATACCTGCCAGTTCTCCAGACAGCACTGCGGTTCCCAGTTGTCCTTTAGATGCTTCCAAAAACTGATGGCAGACAGGATCCTCGGATCTTAGGAGCACACTGAGCCTTCGGAAGTCAGGACTGAGAAACATCTCATCTACAGAACAAAAAAGAACAATCAATTCAGTTTTGTGGCATTTGTGGCATTTGTATTGTAGTGCAAATATGATAAATATGGAAAAGCTGAGGACTCCATGGTGGCTACTGAAATATTATCCAAGTGGGCAAAAGAGCTGCCATAGTTGACTTCCCAGCTTTTTCTTTACTATTCTCAACGAATTTCCACCACCATGGGTTTCTGATACAACAATATACACAAATACATACATACATATATATACACATATAAATACAAACTGACTATTCAGGTTGAATAGTTTAACTAACAGCAATTGGGTCAAATCAGCAGCCATTTAAGAAGGACAAGTCACCTCACCTAGAGGTATTTGAGACATGTAGAAGTGGCACTGAGGGATATAGTTTAGTGGTAGATTTGGCAGTGTTTGGTTTACAGGTGGCCTCAGTGATGTTAAACAGGGTCTCTTCCAACTTAAATAATTCTATAATTCTGTGAGCATCCACATCAGAAAAAAAAAAATCAAGCACATAAAATAGACCTATCCTGTTGGAATAACTTCTCACTGCTCTTTTATCTCATTTTCCTCAAGTGCATGGAGCTTTAGATTTACTTTTATTGTTTTAAACATTATTCATGGATTGTTACTTCGAGTGCATTCAGTTAAGAAATTACCATTCTAACACACTTTGTGTTGATCATAACTCACTCCGTGCATTGGGAGAGTCAAGTCCCCATTATTTCACATCAATTCCTTGCACCCCACAGTGAAAAAAGCTTAGTATCACATATTTTGCCCTTGAAAACTGAAATCATAGAGGTCTACCTGAACCCCTGACTGATTTAACTTCTCTCCTGGGCTGAGTTCCTGACTCTTCTAAGGCAGGACTGGCACTGGCACGAGCTCCTTGAACAACAGTGTTTCCCTCCCCCAGGCCTTTCCATCAGGACACTTTCCTGGGCAGGTTTATTTTTCTACAGCAATGTCTCTAATTTTATACAGGGTAAAAACTGCTGGCCACCCGAGGTCTTAACACACTGAGCAATGTTTGCAGTGGTGATGCAATGCAGTATTTGAAAACACATTATCTCCCACTTTATGCGGTTGCACACAAAGGAGTCCACTGACTGTTTCATGCCTGCACGCTTGCAAAGACATCCAAAACTTCTTTTACAGGCCACCTACTTTTCCATGAGTTATCAGAAACAACACAGGCAGCCTATTTAGGGGGGAATCACAATGACTGGCTGTTCTGGGTTGGGAAAGGTTTCCATCCATCCTCACAGCTCTCTTTATGCAGAGCTTGTAAATAACAACAGGCACAAGCCCTACAGCCACTAATTTAGCACCACGTTGTGACTCCCTCTGTTTCTTTGCATTTGCCTCAAGCAAAGTCAAGTTCTAGTGACCTTTTTTGGCCAATATATACGAAACTGGCTGGTGTGACCTCGGTGCTGTTTTGTACAAAGCGTTAAGTAAGTACCTTGCACAAATAGTACAGTCTGACCATGAAATTCCTGTGACTTGGGCTTATGTTGGTTTGTCTACACACTGAGGAATAATTCAGTTTTGTTGAAAGGGAAAACAAACATTTTGTTTCGTTTTGTTGCAAAACATTGCTAATCCAGAGGCTATTCTGCTGCAAAGCAGCAAAAGGAAAAGGAATGAAAAAATTGTCGTATTTAACAGTTCTCAGTTTTTCCTCCTTCACCAAGATTCTGGTGAAATGAAGACAACGTCCCTTCTTGGCCATATGGATAACAACAGTCAGTTCAGCCACCTGCATAACATGTTCTATTTTCCTCTGCAAAAGAGCAGAAACTTGATACAGGAGGAAACATCTCTCTCATAAAGTCTCTTGTTTACAAAGCCACTGACAAAATTTTCAAGATTGCTCTGGATGCCTTGCTTACTTTTTCAGCAGAGATGTTTTCTTCCTGTGCTAACACAAGACAGATTTCCACTGAATGTCAGCTGAGTGCTAACATTTGCTCTTTACAACATATCCCTCTAGAAATGAGACCAAACTCTGCATTCCTGCTCATTTTGGCAACTCCTGTATAAGTAACAGTTGCACTATGCCATTCTGAATCACAAGTTTTGCTTATAACCTGTAGCACATATTTAATGTCCTTAATGCTGGAATCCTCATATTCAATCTACACATACCCAGGGTGGGTATCTCACAAAACCTAAGTCAGCCCTCACCCTGCAAGTTTAGCTCTTCCCTCACACACAAGAAGTGTTTACACAAATTAAAGGCAATCTTTTATCATACCTTTTGGGGTCACCTGAAATGCAAACTGCAAAATCAAATTCCTGCTCACAGCAAACCAGTTAATTCCTCTTCCTGCACTCTGCTGCACTTCCCCATGCACACAATGTGGTAATTGCTTTTGCTTGACTTGTTCCAACAGCCATTTTCCTGATGTGACAGCCAGGGCACTAATATATTTATGCCCTTTGTAATCGGCCAGCGCTGCTTGTAATTAGGTGCAAAGTTAATTAAGTGCAATACATCTAATAACTGCCTGCCAGGAACTGTAAAGTTTGATTTAGCACATGAACTGTCAAGGTGTCAGAATGGTGTGTTAAAAAATAAGTTGCTAACAGAGAAACAATCCTGCCACAAGCCAGGGAAAAGCACCGTGACAGGGAGTGAGCTGAGGAAAGGGAAAACTGAGCCAATACTTGCTATTTCCAACACTGGGAATGACCCACCTGTATGTTGGGAAGTTGTATCTTGCTTAACTGAACAACAAATTAAGGTATTCTTTTATTTATTAGCCAATGTCTTCTCCTACAGACAACCCTTCTCTTCAAAAGGCATACAGATGGTATAGAGTCTTTTTAAGCCTGCAAATGTCAGCAAGAGAACAGACTTGATTTTTAAAAAAATTAATGCATAAACAGGATTACAAAAAGAACCAAGAGGGCCTGGAGAGTCACATTTCATGTTCAGGGACCTGATTTTGTTTGTTTCTTTTATTGCCCAAATTACAGCTTTTCTTCTACTGAACCTAAGAGAATATTCCTTATTCTTCTTCCTTAAATTCAACTTTGATTGGCTCAAATGTTCCCTTCACCTCCATCCCTGTGTGGTATGAACTGCAAAATGATCTTTTCCTCATGCTAGGCAGTCAGGGCAGGTGAAGAAAAAAAGCACAGCTGGTCAGCAGGGGAAAAAAAAAAAACCCAAACAACAACCAAATGACCCGAATTCTACACCCAGGATAATGCAGGACTAGCTGAACATCAGATTTGGAGTTCCAGGGAGCACAACTGATGAGCTGCACATGTACCACAGCAGCACAAGACATGTGCACAGCTCAATAACACTTTGATTATTAACACACACACAGATGTATGAAGCTCAGAAAATTACACCTGTAAGATATCAAGGGGGAAAGCACGGGCAAGGCTCTGAAGCTTTTTTAGGCCAGCAGATGCAAATAAAGTGCTGGAATTTGTCCACATACAGGATAGCTCACAGACCTTCAGAAATAACCTACGTTCAAGGGCAACACTGCTGCCTCCAAGGAGGTCACCAGCAAAGCTTTCCTCTCAAAATACGTCCCCAAAAATCCCTGTCAGATAAGCCAATCTTTGTGGTTCATCATTAGGAACTGATATTTGATCAGGGAAATTATGCTCTAGACTGACATGAAATTAATAATGCTTGTTGTGTGGTGCCCAATGACAAAGGTAAATGCTAATAGCTCTGAAATCCTAATGAATGCCAAAGTGCTCTTCCCAGCTTTGATTAGTGCTTGTGTTGTGCAATTATGCTTTTCTATAATTACTGTGAATTACCATCATGATATTATTATTCTCATATTTTCTATTCCTCTGAAATTCTCAAAATTTCCTGCAGCTAAAAATGGATTTCATTTGCATTATCACAAGCTTTGATTGTTTAATGAAAAATAATTCCATGCAGACTCTTGTGTTAAATTGTCCATTTAAAATTTTCCTGTTATCTAGATTATGTTGAAGTGTCCCTTCTTTCATTTATCATTTTCCTCTATTATCACAGTCACTGCCCTCCCTTGGTGCTGGATTTCAGAGAGAAGGAAAAAATGAAAGACAGTTTTACCCATATCCTCATCTTTTGCCTGGAAGCCCTTTCCCTGCATGTTCTCCCTTTTCCTTGAAATTCCTTATTTGGAAAGCTTAAAAGTGACAGGACTTTTCAGGAAAATGTGGTAGCTACTTCAAAATTTAGTGGGAGTCAATTCACTTTTTCTTGGTTTACACTGAAAGTTTTCATTTCTTTTGCAACAAAAATGAAAAAAAAAACTTGTGACATTTGCACAGTTTTGACCGTCCTAAGGTCTGATTTTTATGTTTCTCAGTCTAGGTCAAGTTCACCATCACTTTGCTGCCTCTAAATTAAAAGCATCCATTGCAGTATTTCTACTAAAAGAGTAATTCAGTTATTTTTCAAAATAGATATTTTGAACTATTTTGTGATGTATTCAAAAATACTGGACTAGAAGACGGTCTAGGTACCCAGATTTATATTATGTATTTCACTGCGTACACAAATAATATTATTTTGTTATTTCTGCCTCCCTTATTTCTCTCCAATCTTTTTCAACTGCTTCCATTTTCACCTCATATATGCAGCTGATTTTTCTCTCACATACACACAATTCTCCTTTGCAAAGTGTTAATATAACACGTGTGGTCACAATTTCACACTTGTAATATTCAAATAGCTTCAAAGTTAGTCAGAATAAGTTTGACCATGTCCATATGTACACTTAAGGAGATGAAAGCCTGGATCAGACGAAGGAAAACAACCTTTTTTAAAAAAAATAAATCTTATAAGAGGTTATTTATCCCTTAATGATTTTTTTTTTCATTTTCCCCATGGATAATAACAAATGGAAATACTTCATCTGTAACTTCATCGTGATGTGGGGAAAATTGAGCCCACATTGAACATCTGTAGATTGTGTCTTTCAAAGCAGATTCCATAACTTAAGCTAAAGAATGCCGGGTTTCCAAGCATCCC